ATAAGTGGTCAAATTTCTAAATACCGATTTTGTAAATAGGTTATATTATCAGAAAATAGAGCGTACGTAAATGAATGATCGATTAGGTAATTTTCAAAAATACTATTTCATTAATTAGAACCTTTCCGTTTTATTTAATTTCGTGTAAAAGATGAACAACTTCAAATGATCACTGTTTTCATCAACATCGAGTTCAGACTCTATCTTATGATTATACCAAAGTTAACTAGATGAGGTATACGACAAATGACTAAAAACCACATACAATACTTTAAAAAGCCGATCACCTTAATACAAAAGAAAATAATGAAAACAAACACTGAAATTAGGGAGAAGATTAGTTAAAAAACAGATAGGTGTAATGTGATATTTGTGATGTAGAGGAAGATGTGACTTTACATATACTAATTTGTTTTTATTGCAATTCAACAGCCACTGATTCCCAACATTTCGTGAATCGAAACCAATAAGTTTAAACACACTTAACTAATTCATGTCGTTGGAATGTTCAAAATTAATTTAATCAACTTCTGTGTTGATGCTTCAATATTGATTATTAACTTACGTTGATTGTTTTAAAAGTAGCTTAAAAGTGGAACATAGTTCCGTTTCGTTTTGAACTTATTAAGTGTATATAACTGCTCCCTAGTTAAAATCTCTGACGAAATTTGAACCCAAAAAGGAACATATATCCCAGGATTTTATTCATTTAGCTACTAAATTCATTTCGTATTGGTTGTTTGAATCTTCTCATTGATGTTTAGGACTGCAATTTATTAGTCTCTTATTGGCATATGCGCATCCTGTGCTGATTTCCTCGATATTACTTTAAGTCACATGCATTATAATCAAGGATGGATGGTGGCTAGCAGTGGAATCAAGGAAGCGCGTTTTGTTCGATTGGGCACTCATCAGCTGGGTGTACCCGCACCTCGGAGTTGATGTTCACTCCTGCTACTAAATTCCTAAAACTTTGAGTTGAAAATTAGGTTGTTTTGTTCTTTTCTTCTGACTAGACCTTAGTCTGTAAAGTAGACATTTAAAATAAATTTGTTTGTACATGATACACATATGACTATCATTCCATACTGTTAAGTTGGTCAACTATTTTGTTTTAATGTATTACTTTTTTTAATTTTGGCCCAAAAGTTCATTTAAAGGTAATGAAACATTAAGATTATGACAATATTAATATAAACACCATTTCCTTAATAATCCATTTTTACTTGTGATGACTGCGTCAATTTCAAACTTTATGAGCTAACCAGATTTCAATACTGCATATTATCTTACACATTCCATTCACTTTAATAAGTCAATCCGTATAACATCTATGCTAGTTAATCAAGATACTGTAATCATATTGATAAATATTATGTCTCATTCAAATTGTAATAGATTCGATTGAATACTTTATTTAGTATACATCATTACATTGATAAACGTAATACATGGATTGGCTGTTTGAATCACTGTCTTCTTTCGTCTAATTAACTCTTATTGTACAAAAGTAAAATTATATACTAAAACCTGTTCGAAAAGTTTAAAGATTTTATAGTTATAAATAAATAATATATTTGTAATATCCCAATGAGTAGGAAAATGAGGTTTTCTGACGTTTCGTTTATTTATTCTCTGAAGAAGTGGCTTACACCAAGTCACGAAACGTCGGAAAATCTAATTGTTCTACTCATTTATGTCTACTCAATTTATTCGAAATTACGAAGTCAAACCTTGGTAATGATACCTACATTTTATAGTTATATTAAGTGAGAGGTAAACGTGAACACAATGTACTTGACCTATCTAGTTAGTTGACTGTGATATGAAAATCTGCCAAATTATTAAGAATAATAGTGCAAATTATAGTTAGATTACCATTATTAATGCATTTTTCTCGTATTTAACAATAAAATAACACGATTATTTTTTTATGAAACCTATTTTTTCGGATTCGTATTTTTAGTGAATTTTCCTCATACATAGACCTGTCAAATTCTATTTTCAAGTCTTATGTTAAAAGAATTGATTCGACTTTTCCTTTCTGTTTAGATTTATTCATTGTAGTATGCAATCCTATAATGGATTATTCTTTCACTCCCTCCTCTCTCTCATAATTCTTACTTCATTCTTTATATGATCCATTTTTCTAAAATGACTAAATTAGACAAAAACAAAGTAGAACAGAATCAGTCTTGAGTCTGCCTTGTGAGTCTAACAAAGCATTTTTCTAAAATGGCCTACTAATTGTATGTAACTGAGTCATTCTTACCATCAGACTACAAGTGATTTTCTACCCCTAGTTCAGGTTAATACATTGTAAGGGGTGGGAAGAAAACTTATTTTCTCCATTGTCTGAGCTATCCAATACACTTGACATAAAATGGTTCAATTACTCCCCCCTACCCTTTTCTCTTTATATATTCTGGAACTGAGATTAGTAGTGCAATTCATTGATTCTTTTTGAACATTGATGAATGATGAATGAGTCAGTCATGTTTTTACACATAATCTCTGTGCTGATCGTAAATTGTGTATATCTTAAATCTTAAAGGTCAAAGGTTTCAATAAATCAGAACACATCTTCAATCAGGAAGTTCATTTAATTAATATACGTTAAGGAGAATGATTTAATTGTTTTAAATATTTCTATCAATTAGTGTCTATTTTATAAAACTAAAATATTTTTCACTAAGTAGTTTCATAAAGAATTTTATTTATATATTGAATTTAACCATATAAAATATTTAGATGATTGTTTCCAGCTTCATACTTATAAATCAGTGTTTATTCCTAAATAAGATAACTTAATCAATACAACAAATACAATAGGAGATAATTTGTTGATTATATTGTAAATACATTAATTTTATATCTAACTATTCAACAGTGATGATACTTTAAAAAAATATATCATATTAATCTACACTGAATAAATTTATTTTGCAGCTTACATCACGAATTGATTAGGGTCAGATAACCGTTAAAAAACCAGGAAACACAGAGTAGCTTTGTCACCTTAAAATGAAACTCTTCAGAACTGTACATATACGACCCTATGGTGCTACCTAACTGAGATCAGTCTATGAGTTATTCCATTTTCACTTAACAAATTAAATGAGTATCATGAATATTCCTAATACCTTTATTCTACCAACTAATTCATTATGAGTACAATTATCAGTTTGTTCAAACACTTAAGATGGTGTAATTTTACCCATTTTTTTACTCATATAAACACCATATATTTCTCTTGATATTTACTTTACTTTAGTTGCATAATGCTCTATTTAACTTGTGTATTCACCTTTAGATGAAGATAATAATAATAATAATAAATCAGTTTATTAATACTCACAAGCTGAGTATGGATGAAATATTATAATTCATTTTGATTGGATGAACGTATTTCTACTCTACTCATCATCACTAATTTTTTTAATCATCACTCACCATAATGTTATTTTTCATACTGATTTTTTTTGTTATTCCCTTACCTTTTTCATAATTTTTATTTTGTATAAACCAATAGTTTTTATTGTATTTACTTACTGAGCGTTTATGCGTAAACAAATAGAAGGATTTTTATTATTATTAGTGATTGAGAAAAATAAGATAACCAATTAAATGATTGAATTAAAAATTTTAACAAATTTGAGAATAACAGCAAGTTTGATTCCAAAAGTTTGCATTTGTAAAGTTGAACATTACAATGCTTCGATCAGTTGTTTTCTACTACGAAAAAAAATGGAAATTCTCAATACATTAAGTACTATCAAGAACTTATAATGAATCCTTAAATAAAATGAATTAGAATAACTCACCAACTAGGTACAAATTTGTTTACATGATTGTGAGCCAATAATACTACCTAGCAGCTTGAATCAAAGTAGATGAAGTGGGGTTTGAATGTGTGAATGCGTGGCCAAGAGTCAAACGCCTTAACTACGGAACCATTACTCTCTCACAAGAAACTGAATAAAACTCCGTTACTCTTTTGTATTTACTGATATGAAACATCGGGTCAAACCATCCTTTCTATAAAATCTCTTTGAACTATGATTTTCTTTTTACCATGTATCAATCGATTTTGTTTAAAAGAAGTTTAACAAATATTATACATTAGGAATCAAGCTAAACTTTCATTTTGTTTTTACCCAACAGTTTGATGTGATTGCTTTTATATAGAAAATGTTTTCTTCTGCCAACCATTCTTGCTTAGGGTGATAGTAACTAAGTTATTAAAAGTTTTAAAAAAATATATAAGTATATTGATACATCAAAAATGATCTGTGCAAATTAATGATGATGAACCTTCACAAGTCGGATGGCAAATGAAATCAGTTTTTATAAAAATAGACATTTATAAATTGGTATAAATTTCATTGACCATATCACTCAATATATATACCATGAATTGATCATTGAGTAGTGACCAGTGTGTCGTTTGTTTAGTACTTTATTGCTGATAAATTTCTATTGATTATGTTTCAAAGTGACCATTAATTTAAACGATTCGACACTGATTATATTTTGTTGAGGTGTAGGTTGCTCTCAGCTAGTCAGCAGGAAATACTGGACCAAGGCTTTGCATTAGTTGGCATTCTTAAGCATGGCATGACTAGAATCCTGAAGGAGCCGATGCTCTATCTGCAGTTTGAACCGACACTACCTAACCTCAAATCCCACAGCCAGCATTAACTCCCTCAAGACTGTAAGAAGATCATGCTGACGAGTACAGACCAACATAAATCATGTTCCAGCGTTTTGTATCGACTGATTCCAACCACCTAACAGTTCGTTGATGAAAGAGATGACTGCCGCAATAAGAATTTTAAATTTTCACTTTTTAAGCAGAGGTTAGATATCGACTTAGTAACTGCATAATATACGGAAGTATATAAGACATACTCTTGAGATTAATATTACTTTAATTTTACAATCGCATTAACAACTATTATTAACTAATCTATTAACTTTATTTGTTCTTAAAATTTTAGGGACGCATCTGTCTGTCAGCATCAAAGTCTACGAATAGCTCTTCATCACCCGAAGAGGGTGATGTGAGTACATGCAAGACAAATCAATCAGTAACCAATTCTATAAAAAATGAAACTGCGAATACTAACTTTTCGCCGGGAGCAAAACGTGGTTTTTTATCCGGTTTAGATGAAGTTGACGGACAGATAAAAGATGACAGTGTTGGTTCACCAAAGTCTAAACGAATATGTAAAGATGTAGACAATACAGGAACAGATACAAATATCACAAAATGTGTCTCTTTCTCAAACATCACACCATTTTGCTTACCTATTGGAAATTCACTAGCCGACAACAAGCAGGTGCCTCTAGTGACATTTAGTTCCCCTAGTGTGAATGGTCTAAATTCACTATCAATTCCGAGTCCTTTCTTTGGACAACTGATCCATTGTCTAGTCTACCTGAAAACGTTATTTGTGGTCTGTCCACAACAATCATGAATAATCCGCAAACATCAACATTGAGTAATTCTGGAGATAATTCAATGACAACAAGCACAGGACATCATACTGAATTACAGACAACACAAAATCATCCATCTGCATGGGTTTTAGCCAATCCATCTGGTAATTTATCATGTAATTTGACCCAGCAAGCAGAATTAACCGCACTACAACCTACTTTATTTGTGCCTGTACCAACCCTTGGTGATTCATCTGTGACTCCAGCTCTAAAAGTCCCGCAGTCATTGGATACGTCGACAACTAACCCTTTGGCAAACTGTGCTGGAATTTTACGTTATCCTGATATAATTGAGGCTTTAAAATCTATGGCTGCCAGTGGAAATCTAATATCGGCCATTAACGTACCATCTTCATCATATTCGACAAATATCCAAACACAAACAAACAATTCATCAAATTGTAACGATAACATTGAACGCTTACAGTCGGCTTCACAGATAAGCTCACCTAACCTATCTAGTTCAAATAATCTTGCAGCCTTAGTGGCTCATCTGACTGCATCAAGTAATTCAAGAACAATTCCACAATCAGTTACAACAAATATTCCAAATACAACCTGTGGTATTACATCTACTGATAATAATACAGCTGATACCTTGCCTTTTAGTACAAAATCTACTTCTGAAAGTTCAAATATTTCAAATTTTAATACATTAGTTTCTCCTACACCATTATACACCAAGGTTGATCAAATAGATTCAGATGGAACTTCACTAGTTCCTGGATTAACATCTGTGAATAACATTGGAACCAATGAAGATATCAATTTTCCTTCAAATGATCAAGCTCTAGATATGTCTGTAAGTTAATAATTCATTAAAAACATAATACTTTATGCTCTGCTTGAGTACACTGAAAACCAAATATAGTATGAATGTAATAAAATTTGTATTGACACAAGTGAAACAGATTACTCCTTCATCTTCTATCTTAAAAAATTCCCTTGTTTGTTAACTATGCACGTCGTGCATTGATATTACTCCAGATTTCCTTGCAATGACATATCTTTGGTTGATTAATTTTACTAGATATGAACTGCCTTTATAAGTGTGTCACTGCAATGTAATTTTTTTCGGTTTTTGGCAAGATCAACTTGGATATTGTTCGATAACTTGTAAGGGACACTAATATTCTTCTACTTAAATGATTGTCTGTAATCACAACTTTATCAGACGTTAACATACAGCCTTTCATTAAATCGTCAGGTATTTAGTAGGTGCCTTTTATCACTTCTCCTAAAAAATATATTTCACTGAACAAGGTTATTTTTATCCTTATATATGAAAACAATTTTGTTGAACAGTAATTACTGTCCTAGGATGTAAGGATTTAAAAAAGATATACTATTTTAACCTGATAAGTTAAGAATGCAAGAGAACAAACTCATACGTTAAAATATATTTGTCGTATAACAGACGTTCGCTAAAAATATAAAGTTTAGATGAATTTATTGCTAACGTAAACTCTCAGTTGAAAAAAGTTATGAATGTTCATGCTTCTTGCTCATTTCTAACAAACTGAGACAAACTTTTGGTATCATTCTCAATAAGAACTAAAAGTTATCAATAAGCAGTGATTCACATATTCAGTGTTTTTTGTGTAAAAATATTAGTTGAAAATGGTTTCAACTCCATATTTCTTATTTTATTTCTTATTCTACTATGAAACTGGAGATAATTCGTCGTTTAAGTGAGTCTTTAGAAACCTAATTTAATCAATTCTTATTTGCTGCTTCTCTAATCTTTTTTATTAAGATACTAAAATTACAGTGCGCTTTTGATACTTGTGTATAACCAGATTTTTTTAAACAAGAATATGATTGTTATCTTCTGCTGTACGAGTTATCATCATATTTTAATATACACCAGAGTATTTTTTATGTCAATAACGTTGTTCGCAGACCTTTGCTATGCATATTTGCTTATAATATATTTTACGCTCGAGTCGATAAATCAGTAAATCTTTTTTTCACCCAAAATCTGTAGGCTTTTGAGGTAAGAAAAGCTAATTTATATTGCTGTCTGTAGAGTTCACCTCGTTACGAAATTATATGTCTGTTTATCCTTAAAACTCTACGTGTAAAATTGTGTGTTAATGATTTTATTTCCCCTTTTACTCCTCTTGTCTTAGTGTTAAGTCAATTAGTTTGCCTATTGTTTCTCTTACTATCATATTACATTACTGTTACTACTATTACTACTACCACCACCATCATAAAACATCACTCATGTAGATATGCATCCTTTGACCCTCAAAATTTGACATTTTACATGTTAACACATGATGCACATTTCAGTTTTTACGTTTTAACTGTAAAAAAATTCTATTCACCACATTTAGACCATAAATTTTGTGTATACTTAATGAGGAAGACCAAATAGAAAATAAAAGTAAGAAATTGTCTGCTTGTCATTTCATGTGAACAAGAAGTAATTTGTAGTATATTAATTTTAAATTTATTAAGTCAACTCTGTATTAACTGTAAAAGAAACTATTTACTTCGAATTGAAATGTTGTGTTGATAACAATTGTTTTATTAAGAAGAATTGATTACAGTTGTTAGAGAGTAATCACCACAAAAAAAAGACAATGAATTCTAATGAAATTACATTTATGCCTAAATCTAACTAATGTAGATAAATGATAATGGATCTTATTCTTGCATATTCAAACATATATTTTACTTCTGAATTCATTTCATGTTCAATTTAAAGTAACAAGTTTATAAGAGAGAATGTATTGTAATTTATTACAATATCGTACAATAGCTAATATAGATTGACTAACTTATTAACTTCTGCGTGTTTTCGTATATTTATGTTCACTGTGTGTTAAATTTCACTGTGTTCACGAATATTATTCGGAATAACCTGATAGTGAGTCAGTATTAAGCATATTTCTAATATATATTAAGATAACCATATTAAATTCTTTGGAGAGTATGCCTGTAATGATCACATGTATCATCATAGGTTTTGAAATTCACTTAGTAATCGGGTTTCCTGTGTTAACATCTAAGATGCTTTACGTGTATGATTAACCAATATATTCTATCAATCACTCATGAAGTACATATCGAAATCAGATTGGTATCTTTTTGTTGGTGTAGTTCAGTTATGTCACATCAAACCAATTATTTCAATTGAAAATCACATGTTTTCGGTTTACTTTCACAGCAGATATCGATAAAGCATCTTTAAAAAAAAAGATTTGTAAAATGCAGATTTGTGTACTGAGGTCTGAAGAGCACTGTTTTTGTGAAAGAACTGGTGGGACTAACTGAATACCTAAAGCGAAATAGGTGTAACGGCATTCGAATCTTCGGTCTACTAGGATGAGTGCTTACAATGAAATATAACAAACATTAGTTAACGAGTTTATAACATCTACTCAACAAATGCTATAATTGCAATATTTCTAAATATTCTCTATAATGGAGAAGGTTAACAGTTCAGGTAAATACTTTAGGTGTTATTTATTTCTCTGTGCTACATGGTTTAGTCATGGAGCTTTCATTGTCATTCTAGACAACATTATCAGCTCCTACTTCATACAAGCGTTCATCACCTAGATTATAGAGCCTAATAATATTAAAACCACATTCGCTATGTTTTGATACTGATTTTAAGATCAACTGACTCTACAAAGTGAATGATCATTTTACTCATCAAGTTTGCTATGAATCATGAATTATAATGTGGCAAAAGTAGATAATCAACTAAGCTTCTTATTAAGTTCAGGTCACGGTTATTCATTTCTTTGTTACTTGTTTTCATGTCACCAGTTCATAGAATATATGGTGTAAGACCATTATCTTCCTAAAACGATCATTTTATCACTTTGGTTCATTTAAAACAGTTTATTTATCATTAAGAAAGTAGCTTCCTATTTGTCATAACTTTAAATTTCTTGAAGAATAAAACAAATGTTCAATATCTGAATGTTTGGTCAGTGAATTACCACATATCCTTTGTGTATGATCTTCTTAGAATAAACCTAGTGAAAGAAGATATTTAACTTGATTTCTTATAATCGTTAAGAATTTTCATTCCATATACAAAATTCCTTTGTTTTTGTTAACCTTAAAAGTTGTTATCTAATGTTATAAAATATATTCAGTTTGTTTCTAGCCTGAAGTTATCAATGCACTCTGTATATGGAGTTTTGAAATCTGTTTATACTGGGCATTCTATATATTATTCTTTAAGATTTTGCTGAGCCCATTTCTATGTGGGATAGACAAAAAATGTACACCTTTGTAACAACTGTTCTATCTTAAACCTGAAATGAACAGACAGGCAGTAGGTGCATCCTATCCCGTCATTAGCACTACTCGGCTTTGACATGACTGTTTTACTTATTGATGTACACATATACTACATCTTTAAACAAAAAAAATAGAATAGAAACACGTGATTTTATGTGCATTAAATGTTTATCTTAAATCCTCTCATATTTTATTCTGAGTGAACTTTTTATTTTTTCTACGAGAGAGAGTTACTTTACTACGCTTGAATTCACTACTTACTTTGCTATCCCTATAGTTTGCTTTCATGCACATAAAAAAATCATTGGTACATTGTTGTTGTTTGTGTGCATTTGCTGATAATCTCACATTTTTCTTTAGGTCATATGCAAGTTTAATGTCTTTGGTGCTTTTTCAGCCTGCTGTTCATTTCAGATGACAGAGTCCAATTGAACAAAATTCAAAGCACATGTTTGTCTTGAACATTTTATTATTGAGGAAGGTTTAACTCTTTCCTTTCCTCTTTTTACCTTCTACCCCTTCTTTCTCTCTCGCTCTCTATCTTATTCTCGCTTTGTGCATATATGAACCATAATGTTATTTCTTCTCCTTATCTCGTTATTATTATGTTAGGTATTTTGCCTGTCCTTAACACACCTAAGGCTGAAGAAATGTGTGCTTCGAATATACCTAGCCCTAAGTATTTTTGAAAACATCAAAACAAGTGAAATGAGTATTGATTGAAAATTATATTATTCGTATTAGAATATCCTTCATGACTGGACCATTTGCCTTGTTAACCTTAAGCTATCTAACATTTGATATTAGTAAATATTGGTATCTCGTAGATTTAATTATCTACGGCAATGACTGGTAAACATAAAATTATAGATACTCTTTGGGATGATATGCCCTTAACATAATTTATTGAAGTATTGTATTATGGTAATTACTGATAGCTCCATAACAAATTTGGTCAATTTTCATCGTTGAGATTAATAAACGAGTACAGTTAGTAAACTTCTGTTTGTCATTTTACCAACTATGCTTACAACCTTTATAATAGTCATATTGAGTTTTCTGAAATTTATTTCCTTCCTTTGTTTTACTATCGTATGATTTGTAAGAAGGAAATTCTTCACGACTTACATTTCTAGATTAAAATATCTTAAGTGCGATAACTTAAAAATTTTATTTATTAAACAGTAAAACTGTAAACACAGTTTTATATCTGTGTACACCGACCAATATTGTCTATTACTTACTTACTTACTTACGCCTGTTACTCCTCGTGAAGGAGCATAGGCCACTCACCAGCATTCTCCATCCAACCCTGACCTGGGCAATCCTTTCTAGCTCCGTCCAGTTGTAATTCATCCTTTTCATATCTGCTTCTATAATCCGACGCAATGTGTTCTTTGGCCTTCCTCTTTTTCGCCTCCCTTCAGGGTTCCAAGTTAGGGCTTGCCTCGTGATGCAGTTTGACGGTTTGCGTAATGTATGTCCTATCCATTTCCATCGTCTTTTCCTAATTTCTTCTTCAGCTGGAAGTTGCTTTGTTCTCTCCCACAGAAGGCTATTGCTGATGGTATCCGGCCAGTGGATGTTGAGTATCTTGCGTAGGCAGCTATTTATAAATACTTGTACCTTCTTGATGGTGGTTGTTGTAGTTCTCCAAGTTTCAGCTCCATACAGTAGAACTGCCTACAGTAGAACTGTCTATGCTAAGCCCAAATAACTCGATAACATCTTGAAGAACTGAATTACTATCAGTCAATATTACAGTCAGAAATAATGTTCCTGAAGACAAAGTTTAGGATTTTGCACCTACTGTTTTCATCTATCGAATATTCAGTACCTCAGTAACTGGTTGGGTTCGGCGTGATTATCTTGACCAGTGGTTAGAGAGATTGGATGATATGGCTTGAAAATGCTTGCAATGGCACAGTTATATTCACCCTTTGTTTTCCTTAGATTTTAAGCTTTTGAATTCCTCATAATTTCTTCATTTCATTGATACTTATATACTTGAATCGTATCCTTGACGCTTAAACTCTTCTATCAGCACTAATACCGTTACTACCTGTACTAACAATTTCACCCCGCTGTCCTAATGTTGTATGGCAATTTCAATCGATGTAGATACGTACCAAGTTCTACGTTGTAACTCAATGACTGACTGATATTTATCCATAAGATTTTAAAAAGTTACAAGGTGAATTTCTACCCCGTATTGAAGGAATTCTCGGAGTTCTAATGTGAAGCCGTGACCAGCAGAGCTAAACCATGCCAGGTGGAGACAGGTATCTACCTCAATACAGTAGGAAATGGTTGTGCGATTTCGTGGATTGGTTGAGGGTAGACATTAACACCGTTGGATCCTGACCCAATGGTCTAGAAGTTAAGCGTTCACGCTCGGGATCGAAGGTCCTGGGTTCAAATCCCGCGAGCGGGGTTGTGGATGCGCACTGCTGAGTCCAATAATAGACCGAAACGACCGTCCAGCATTTCAAGGTTTTCAATGGTGATCTAACATCAATCAATTCATGATCTCAATCAAAATAAATTATTGTTGTTTTGTACAATATGAACAATATGAACTCACTAGTCCTAAATAATAAGTTTGAATAATATTTTTACAATGTAAAATTAAGTTTCAGTTATTAGTTATTGATAATTAGAAAAAATATATAAACCAAGACTTGTGTTATGAGTTTGAAATTTTATCATATTGATGAATATAACTGTTCTATTTTATCTATTGCATTAACTTGATTATTTCTTAAAAGGAACATTGAAAAATATTAACTTAAATATGCTCATTTTATAAATAATTTTGATCATTTCTGGTATATTATTATTAGTAGTAGAAGTAGTAATAGTAGTAAACATTAGGAAAGTTTAATTGAATTTTAAAATAAATGTCTAATGAAAATTTATTACTATTATCATTATTAAAAATAATACTGTAAATCATTTAATGCTCTTATGATTAAATAGTATGAGATATAGACAATAAATAAAACAATTTAAAACTGATCATAATAAATAATTATGTTTCATATATATATTGCTTATTTATCTTGTCATTTAATATTTAATAATGTATTTATATGATACTATGAAAGAGGGAAGGGAGTGGTAAATTACTTGGAATGAACAATTTTTACTCATAATTTAGATACTGTCATGTGTGATAATACAACCCGTAGTTTTTAGTGCTAATCATTTATTAAGCTGTGATTTATATTGCTAAACGTACATATACAATATATATATACTTATGATCAACAAGTTTAATCATTAGTGTGTAGATCTGTATATATATGTATGTGTATTCTACACGGTCACACTCACACTCATTATCATTTTTATCATTTATTATTGAGAGTAGTTTAAAATTGTACTCTGTTGACCTCATTCATACCTACAGACAATCTTCCATTAAAAACGAGTAATGTTTTATATATACTACTTTCTAACTTTGGGGGTCTCTTCCTGTAATAAAATATTTTAACTATTAATGGTGGATTGGCGCCAAATACCCGCATATATAGAACATACATATACATATATCTCATGACATTAAATGATCACAGCAGATCACAAATTGAAACTGGTTTAAAAAAGACATTATTTTGTAAAGATCTATTAAGAGTTCTTCCCTTTACTTCATTATACGGCAAAGAACACTCAAAGTCTTTGCTCAACCTAAATAAATCATCTTAGCAACTACGAGTATATTTGATTAACATACAAGTTTAGACATGATCCAGCTTAGTCAGTTGTCTAAGTTGCTCAATATTTTTTATCACTTACTGACAGATTTAACCTTTATTATTTATCAATTAAACAACTACTTTACGCTAACTATATTATTGATAATTAATTTCAATAAGTTATCATCTATATAACCATATTAAGATGTAAGACATTAATATTGTATTGATGATTCTTACAAATAACTAAAGACCAGAATTCCAAAGAATTCTAACATTGTTTTTCTTTTTTTTCACGAATTATTCCCATCATATTTTGTTGATTTTCATTCTCATTAGCTTCTCTCAAATATTTGGTCATATAAAAGATAATACACAGTACACTTTTAAATTAAGATCAACCTGAATAATTGTCTACATCTGAAGATATTTTTTTCTATGAAATAGCGTTTACCGAATATTAAATGAAAAGTTTTATTTTGATACGATAACTTTTATTAATAAATATTAAATACAGTAAGAAATTCATTTTCTTCAATTTAATATATTATCTATTTTCATTTAATCACTAGGTACGATCTATAAGCATACCATCAGAACATTCTCACTCATTTACACAAACATCAAATATAACAAAATCAGATACAAAGAATCTTAACTTACTTACAGGAATAAATATAAGCGATTCAACATGTAAGGAAACACTTGAGCAGCCTACATTTAATGTCGTTAATAATGTTGCTGAAGTAATAAATGCAGCAATTAAAGGTGGTTTAAAACAACGTTTAATTCAATCTATTGAAGTCCCAGTATCAAGTTTATTTCCAAATCCAGCTCAGTGTTTAACTGCTCTTGCCAATACAATATCTACCTTACCAACAATGAATGAGACAGTTGTTAGTTCAGATAATCCATCTGATAAGCGAAATCAAAATATAAGTTGTCAAAATGAATCTTATATCAATACTATTAACATTAAAAAGGAATTAATGAATTCTACCATGACAAATAGTCTTCCAAATGCTGAACCGACAACTCTGACATCTGGTGATAATAAACTTATTGATTCTATCAATAAGTCTGCTCAGAACAATAATTCAACCAATACACTGATAAATTTATCTCCTACCTCTTCTCATATTGTTAGCTTAGCTCAGTTGCAAGCTATTATGGCTGCTCTGGCTAATGCATCATCTGTCTCAATATCACTGCCAGTTAATTCGACAGCATCAACCTCTTCTTTGTCTTTAGCACCAACATGTTCAGCTACTGTATCATCACTGAATTCTTCAAACCCGTCAATTCAACAACTAATAAACCCTTCAACTCCCTCAATACCATCATCTGGAACTAATGTATTAATAAATACTTCCGGCTCAAGCTTAAATGTGGCTGGGTCAGTAACTACCTCCGAGGCTGGAAATACTTCATTAATTCCTGGTTTAAATAATTTAACTAGTGTATGCGGTTTTACTCTAACTGGACAATCTGGTTTCGTAAACAACAACATTACGACGTATAATCCATCAATGTCAACAAATTTCGGAACAATTAATTCCAATATCAAAGGGATTACCGTACCTTCGGGTGAATGTAAGCGATTCTGTTTTAAAACCGTTTAAATAACTATTATAATCCATAATTAGATTTTGCTTATTGGTCACACAAATCTATAAGAATTTGTGAACCTCCATCTCACATTTTTAGCGCTCATCAACAAGTCTTGTCTACAACCAAAAAGAGACGATATTTCCTCATATATATGACTGTGTATCACTATACTAATGGAATTTTATTGGAACTAAATACTGGGCTATGTTACACTGGGTACTATCCAGTGGCCAGTTGATTTTATCGCAGTATTAGAAAAAATATGCAGAAGTTGATTCGAGATAATGTTAATTCCGAACAGCATTAGCATGCACAGAATAACCTGCTACCAAGTGGAAAACTGTAAAAGAAAACCTATAAGGAACCTATGGAAGATGAGAATTTTAAATAATTAGTGATACAATCTGAATGAAATATTGATTTATAGCCTGGACTTCTTACTGAAGTTTGGAAGAGTGACAAGGCTGAATTAAAAAAAAAGTATCAGGAGCTGATGATATAATTCCAAGTCTTCAAGGTTTGTCGCTAAACATTTCTAGTTAAATGATTTGAGGAAATAGATGAAAGACTAAGAATCAAAGTTAATATTCACCAATTATTCTTCCTTGTTTGTCACTCCAATCCACAAGATAGTAGGTAAATTCTTTTGTGTCTGGTTAAGTTTCTGAAGTTCTAGAGATCATAATCCTCGTCCGTTATTAGCATCAAACCCAAGAAAGAGGATGGTTTTATGTATAAAATGGTGTGTGTCAATAAGATTCTCAAATTATCTTCTGTCCCAGGACACACGTTTAGCTTTTACGGTAACTTATTGTTCTGAAGTTATCACAATTGTGACAGGTTAGAGGCTTTGATTAGGCAACTGGGACTCAAAGGAGAGTTAAACTAGCGTATTCCATTATTTCAAGGATATAGTTTTGCGATGACTTACTAACCCTTGTAGTATGAAGTGAAGAAAGCGTAAAACAAAGATTATGGACTTTCATTGTCATATATATACTGTTCTAGATAAGTCTAGCTCAAATACTGTTCTTTAATTTGAAGATTCTCTTCGGACAGGAGCACCTATATGAGAATAGCTCCATACAAAAATGATTCTGAAAGTGGTGTGTAGATACTGATAAGCTACTTGTGTCTATGCAGAAGGCTTGTCTGACTATATTTATAGGTGATATTATAAATGGTGAGTTAGTGAACAAGGTTCGATGTTAGATTCTTTTACCAAAATTATTTGTTATTTGTGTCAGATCGTATGGTGAAAAGAACATTGTTATGGCCTTAGCCCATGCGATTATCGCGAAATACGATTACCAAATTTAGATACACTGACTTATATGACCAAACTAATGACGCATAAACCTGTACGAGCAGCTTAAAGTTCCAACTAGTTTTTTTCCCGCTTAGCCTTGTCTGTTAAGTCCAGAACTCCAGTCTCAGCCTCCGCGATAAGAAACATATATTTCAGACATATTGCAAACAAACCAGAACGCATCATACCATAAATAAGAAATAACAATTATACAAGATCAAGCCAAAAAGTGGCTGTGATTTTGAGAGACTGTCACCAACAAATTGAGAATATCTCAAGAATAGTAAGTCGTATGATAATAGTCAGTAGGTCAAATAAAAGCTTATAATGAAAGGAATATGGCCCCCAAGTGCCCTGGTATGGCCGAGAGTGCTCTGACACGACCATGCGTATGGAGCCTCTGCCAGGGAAGTCCTACTCACTGCCTTCTAGTGGCGGGGGTGTTGTCTACGAAAATGAGAGGACGGCGCCGGACGCTTTAACCGGATCCCAAACCAATGGTGCACATAGGCTCCAGTATCCTGAAGGAGCAAATGGCGTACGAACCAATCGTTGGCCATCGGCTACCATGGGACTGCATCTCCTCACGATGCTCCACTGCCTTGTGGGCTAGACCTTTAGGTCAAAGGCTCGGGGTGTGGCCCCCTAAGAAAACCACCTGCTTCGGTTTTGGCACCCGGGCAGTATCACAGCCAACACACAAATAAAATGAAAATGATGGTATTTACTGAAAACTATTCTCGCTTCGATTAACAGTCAAACAATTCACTTTATTATTATTATTATTATTATTATTATTATTATTATTATTATTATTATTATTATTATTTACCACGTCACTTATTCACTCTCTTTTTTCCCATTTTGTGTATACTTATTGTGTGGCGCATATATATTTAGTACGTACTTAATAGTTATCCAATAGGCATATATGTATAATATTAGTCCATAAATAATTCCTAACGGTTACCACTCATTTATTCTCGTCCGGATATAACAAACATACTGATAGAAGGTGCATTTTGTTTGTAACTAGTGTTAGGATTCGAAACTCAGTACCTGTTCATCAGTTGACTGTATATATATTTCACAACAACACTGGGATTTGGACTGAGGAAACAACAGTTCAAGCACCATACGTTTGTTTATTTAACTAACAAATTACATTAGATATGATGTATCTTATTTAGTCAAGTAGTTATTAAGCTCTGATGGATGAAATAACTTATTTCTCTGACCATTTCTTTAAGTAAAGACGTACCATTCATTTGTAACTTGACGAATGATTTTTGTTATCTGTATTATTTTTTATTCTTTAATTAACATATTATATATAAATAGTTTGTAACAAGTCAACTCAACAATGTCCAGTGAAATTAGCATTTTTATCTTGGGTACTCACTCATACTCTGACCCAGTTGTAGTGCAAAGGAAAAACGACAACAACAATAACTATGTATAGGATAGTAGAGAATTGTTGATATCGAGGAGTTAGGACAAGAGAGGAAGAGAGGGAGAGAGGAAATGAGAATAAATTTATTGACTATGCAATTTATCATATTAGAAATATATACCATTGATAACTATTTTTCTCTATATTTTGCACTATGTATTTGTGGTTTATGAATAAACTTATGATGTTAATGAAGTAATAATTTATATTTTGTTAATGCATTGTAAATACATTTTTAATAAGGACTGATGTAGAAATGTTTCTTATGGGATGTTTGTTAATCAGTAACGTGACATTGGTCCATGAAGTCAGTGACGTCAGTCTGGGGCATTCTAGAGGATATAGAGTACCTATTTAGGGTCCTTTTGATAACCACGACCAATGATTGTCAAATTTAGGCGACATAGCTCAGAATCATTCTCAGAGGCCCAGATGCATACACTCTATCTTCCCCTCAATCTTGAATTTCAGCATCTCTAGATACATACCTTCCCACTAAATCTTTATAAATCCTATTCCCAAGGTTTAGTCTTTCTTTTGATCATTAGCCTAAGTTGCCATGCCAGATTAACATGTAGAGGTCTAGATAACGAAAGAGATCGAAATAATGCCAGGCTCTGTGTTGACGATGTTTGTCTGCTTGTCAATCAATAATAATATTTTATTAAAAATGATCAATTTTATTTCTCATCAAAAACCTTTTTAGAAAGGACTTTTACTGATCATTTTCTGTTATCAGATGTGTGGAATGCCTCAGCAGGCTTTGTGTTAAGCGTTTGAAATCAAAGTCCCCAAGTTCAAGTTTCAATGTAAATATCAACACTGGGATCCAGGTACATCCAGTTGATAAGTCCTAAATAAGATAAAACGCGTGTTTTTGATTCCACTGTTAACCATAACCAGGTATACTAGGAACTCTTCGTTGTAATTATTTTTGATTTGTCTTTAAAGAGATTAATCAAACTTTTATTTTTACTACTGTTGATTAGTGATTTAATTTTAAGAAACTATTGAACAGATTCTATCATTTGTTAACAATATTCCTACTTATTTTCTCATACTTATAGGTATTTCTTAACAGGTATTCTCTCTGGTAATTTAGCCAATTTAAATATTAACAATAATAGTAATTCTGCACAACTAGGTCATACTGTTGTTGGGAATCCAGCATTGATTAATTTTATTTCAGCAAATAAATCTCCTGTACAATCAAGTGTTACATTAAATTCGACAAATGCAACACGTTTATTAACCAATTTAGCAACATCTACAGCTGGGACTAATTTATTATCTTTGGCAAACAATGGAACTATCGGTAATAACACAAATATATGTGGAAGTACTTTACTAGGAGCAACTAATATACCTAGTGGCGCAATTAGTCTATTAGATCCACATCAGGCGTTATTTGCTGCAGCAGCAGCGGCAGCTGCTCAAAATATCCAGAAACCAGGTGTAAACAATGCTATAAATCAAATAGCTTTGGCTAATCTAAAATTATCTAATACTAATGGAAGACATATAGGAGCAACTGCTCCAGTAATCGGTCTTTTAGATCCAAGAACTGGTCTTCAATTACGTGTCGCAGACACGTCAACAACAACTTCTGCTATTCTTACATCTTCTAATCTGACTGATTGTCTTAACAATAATTATTCACATTCATCAGATAATGAACAAACTGAAACACAAATTAACGAATCAAGTCGAATGACAACTAATGAGACAGATTTAAACCAAACGAATGAACTTGAAACAGGTTCAAATTATGAAGATCAAATAGACGAAGAATGGGAACCTGAACAAGATGAAACATGCTCAATCCAAAGTAATGCACAACAATTATGTTTAAAGAGAAATAAAATTTGTGATAAAACAAGTGGAGATTCAGAATCACCGTGTAAAAATGATCAATCAAATGATCTCATCCTTACAAATGATATTCAATCTAATTTGCTACTCGGGTCGAGTAATAAACGCTCTTCAAGTTCAGCTAGAATAAGTGGTGGAAATTCATCTAATAATCGACGCAGTCTATCATCATCATTTAATGATTCAAGCAATCAGCAACAACTTCGTCCGCATCGTCAGAATTTTACCCCTACTCAAAATCGTATATTAACTGAATGGTATCAGTTGCATCAAGCGAAACCATATCCATCCACTGATGATACCAAAGAATTGGCAAATATATCTGGTTTAAGTTATTCTCAGGTATGTCTTTTATGTAATACGTTTTCTGAAATATTTCTTGAAAAAACCATGATTCTATTTTTAATACTTTTAATAGAAAGCTGAAGTAAAATGAAGAAATAGTGTTATACTTGTTATCTTTATTAGATAGACCTATTGTTTTAAAGTAGAATGATTCTTATATAGTCTTTTTGATTTGTTCAATTTATACACAGGGTTGGTTCAATGATTACAGAGTTCAGATTTTATACTATTAATTCACTGGTTCGAACCCGATTTTATTTACTTTGACTTAGGCAACCGGATGCTTTCATAATTTCACACACTTCTTAGAGCATCGAAGTCAAGTACAAGAATCTGTCCTAGATAAGTTAATTAATAAATAATAAAGCTATTTTCAAAATCGAATGAGCTAGAAAGTAATTTCTTCCGAATATCCCAATATTTAACAATATTCCTTGAATAGTTAAAATAGCCCAGTAACACAAATCTTTTTTTCACAATAACCTATGTACAATTTTGAAACAGCATGTAAAATCCGTAAATTTGTGTATAAATTCGAATGAGTAAAACACATGATGAGTAATCTCAACTACTATTTCATTTTTTTACTTAAAAAATCTAAAAGCATTTTATGTAGGCATTCTGACAATTGTTCAGAGTATCAGACTGCATTTAGCATTTTGTTAAGACAGGTTAGCAACAGGGTGCCAGTTTAGTAAAATTATGTTTCTGTACTGAATCATCATCATCATTACCATCACCATCTAATCTAAATGAATTCTCTGTTATATCGATGCTTCTTCTTTTCATCCCTACATTCGCAAAGTCTAGACGTGCTTAACTCATTCCCTATGTTCATGTTTGTGTGTCTGTACAGTGATGTTTGTTCCTAAATCTGCAGCATTTTGTTTTTTACTAGGGATATAGTGAGTGGGATGATGATCTCTATGAGGCTTGACAACCATACAAAATATTTTAGTGCCAAATGATTAAACTGATTTGCTAGTACTCAGTGCGGCATAACCTTAAGTTTAAATTAATGGTGTGTGCTCGTATTCTTATCCTTAAGACAAGTTGTACATACCTATGCACATAATCGATACAGTCCATAGATAAACACACATATTCACACAACGCATTTGTACACACAACCTACCATATTTCAGTCCCTTTTACACTACTCTTAAAATGCCTGTGTTTTTAGAGTGCACACACCTCGCATACTTATGTTTAGCTGTTGTTCAATCGATCTGTTTCAAACTGCCTTTCTAACATAAACTTTCAAAAGCACACTGATTTCCTATCTTTCTTGCCTCAATGGCCTAGGCTTTTTTTATAGGTCAGATGCTTATTCGGTCATCTTCTTTGTGCCCATATTCACCCACGTTCAATAGTTTCTCTAAATTTGTTTGTAGGCTTGAGGTGTATTTTCGAATCAATGAAGCAGAAAGTAGGAAAATTTATATTTTTGATTTCATGCACAGATTAACGGGCGAGTAAATGAATAAATATTAAAAAAAAATAACAACGTAAAGCGTATAGGTAATATAACTAATTTGTATTAGGTCAGAGTAATTGTCCTCTCCAAGAAATGACTACTTATTGTTCCCTTGACTACGCTTTTATCGATATAAGATGATAATAAATTTAATTTATCGAATACACACTAATTACCTTTCAGTGCAAGTTTGATTTTAGCATTATAGTTATTAAGATGCCCTCTATATTCAGTTAATAACTACGCACAGAAAAGCCGACACAATAGTTTACCAACAATAGTAGACTAATCCTGCTCTTCCATTCTTTAATGTTATAAATATTTCATTCAAATACTGACCCGAAATAACGACATATACACTCTTTAATTGTCATATTATTATAGAAATTTCCTGTTCTTTATTTTTCCATACATTCATATAGAACAGATTAGTGAAACTAATAGATCAGTCAGTTATCGTACTTTTCTTATAATTTATATCAATCAACTTTAATCTGATGTTTTATTAATTGTGTTACATGGTTCTGTATGTTTTTAATTCTGCCTATATATACTGGAGAGCTGATTTTTTTGTACAAAAACATTTTCTTTTCAACTATTAAATCCTGCGTTTGAACACCATTTTATTTACCTGACCACCCTGATAGTATTACTAACTTTTACATAAACAGTGAAGTTGGGAAACGCTTATTTTATTCAGTTCTTTGTAATCAAGTTACATTCATTTATCTGTTTGTTCTCCTCAGTTTATTTCAAACTATTATAGATTACAATTTATACTCTGTCAAGAGTGAGATGTAATAAAAACAGTGTAGATATAACAACTGCATAACAGGGAATTATCTGCCATGTTTTTTTAATATTTGTGTACTTGGTCTGAATAGTGAAGTAACGATAAGATCACATCTAATTCATTGTTAAAGATGTCTTCCTATCTTCAAAATTTCTTTTTTGAATTACGCTTTATAACGAACAGCCGTTTATTAACTATCTTCGTTTTTAGTAACAGTACCAGTCATATTCAACGTAAAGCCTAAATGAATGTATGTTAACTTAAATTTCTATTACCAACAAACGGTGAGAAAACAGAGGGGTTTTGGTCATTCTCGTGCGAATGATTACTTGTTAATGTATCGTCCCATTTTACTCAAGTCATACCTTATCTTATTTCCTCTCAAAAGATATTAATCTAACCCCATTACTTTTATAATCTTACTGAACGAGAAGTCATGGAGTTCTATCTCCACCAAAGAACATAGTATCCATCTTAATGTCTTTCTGAAATTCGGTTCATTTAATAATCATGACCATATAATTTTGTGTGTATTTTAGAATGCATTGATCGCATGATAGACAGATTCGATAATAAGTTCTAATTATTCAAAAGGGGATAGTCTCACAGATAGAGAAAGAGAGAGAAAGAAGAGAGGAAGAAAAAAGTAGAAAGAGAAAAGGGGGAATTAAGAAAAATCTTGAGTGGGTGGCTTATAAATAAAGGATAAATATACCTTCTTTTCTGTTGGACAAGATGAAAATAATGGAAACAATAACAGTATGGTGTTAACTAACCAACTCTTTCTCTCTCACCTTTAATAGATTGTTTCCCTTAAAGGAGATTGATTGTTTATCGAAAACAATTTACATTACTAAAAATAATTAAGGGGAATAATTTATTGATCTTCAAAATTTCAGATTTTATTTAACAGTTGCGACTAACATTGGGTGATAATTCTTATTTATAACAATAACTTTTAAGAAATAAAGTATTCAAGTATCTTGCTTTCCTTAAGATCGGCTACGCTTAGTGGAAGGTGATGATGGTAGTGGGTTGGAAAAGTGAAGGATTCTGAAAATATAATTAATTCTTAACTCATTATATGATGGAGATAATTTCGCAGTTCAAATGGATGTTTTTGGTAGTGCAGAGTTCCCCGAGCTAGATAGTTTAATCACGAAGTTTCGTTGTTATTCTGAATAGCATCTCCAGCTCTTACTTCATGTAGAAGTGAGCTTACTAGCTAATCTGCAGGTGTTTTATCGGCTTCTTCCGATGGCACTGTTCGTGATTATCTGTATTCTTCGATTTCATTGTCTTTATTTGCCTTTGTTGCCAGCATAACTGCGTAGCATTAACAACCGACGAAGACAATCAAAAAAGGAATCCACTTCTACATGAATTAAGAACATGAAATGTTATCCAGAATAACAATGAACGCTTCGCGACTAAACCATCTAGCCCAAAGAACTCAACACTATCAAAATAACTCGTTATATGCATTGACAAATCTGATTTAGGACAACAAATATAAACGTTTTAAATTTACATCAAACTTTGATAAGTGATCAAATCATTGTTTGATTTATTAAATTTACTGAATTACAATTATTTAATTTATTTGACACGAATAAATATGCTCAGCATTTTGAGAAATTTTAGACATTTCAACGTAAGAAGGATATTGTTCTCTACAAATATTTATTGGCAATAAATGTATGTACATTATTTTCAATGGTACTTGTTAGATGCAATTTTCCTTTTCTATTGATTTATATATCTATGTAATTGTATATTAATAGGTGAAAAAATGGTTTGCCAATAAACGTGCACGTTCTACATCTAGTGGTTTACCAAAACCTACACCACCACTTGCACCGGATTCTTCAACAGATCCTTCAGCTACAGCTGCTCTTGTTGCCGCTGCTGTAGCTGCTGCAACGTCAGCTGTTGCAGATGTTAATAATATGATGACATCGACTTCTACAAGTCCATTGAATGTTTCCTCCTCGTCATCGTCATCTAACTGTTCTACTATTATATCTAATATTAATAATAATGATACGTCATTGTCTATTCAACCATTTTTATTAAGATCAAAATCTGTATCATTTTCAACACAGTCATATACTGATTTAAATTTTCTTAAAACTGAAAATGATAAACAAACAGAATTTGTATCTAATCTTATTTCGTCTCATTTACAAATGAATGAAGAAAATATTCAGTCAGGATTGTCATTACAACCGAGTAATAATAATAATGTAACTGGCAATGATGATAATTCAGTACAAATAACAAAAAAGGACAACCAAGATTTAATACAAATCACAGTTGATAATCCATCAACTAGTGATGATATACGTGTAAATGATAATGATTCTATGATTGATATGACAACTACTTCATGTGATCCCATTTATTATTCTGTTTCATCACCACCTACTTTACATGTTCACATTAATAATCGATTAAGTTCTCCAACTAATCATTTAAATACACTATCATCAGTCTCCTCTTCCTCCTCGTTATCATTATCGTCTTCATCGGATGAAGAATATCACAAACATGACAAAATGGACAATAATAAAACAACATTGAAAGAGAAAAAATTTAAAGTTAAAACGAAATTGCCTACATATGATAATGATTCCATATTAATAATTTCTGAAGAAACTGAAAATAATAGTGATAATAACAATAATAATACTTCTCTAAACTGTTCTCCATTAGAAGCAATAAAAAATATAAATATGAATTGTACTAATGTGTCTACTACTGATGTAAGTACCTCTAATAGCAGTGTATACAGTAGTAATAATGTAAAAAGTGAATCACTCACATTGGAGATCAGTTAAAATATAACCTCAATGAATTATAAACATTTACATGAATCGATTAGATAGTTGATAAGAACTAATTTAATGTTAATGAAAATCAGTGCATATATTGTGCTTTGTTTGCATACAGCTTAATTCTTTTTTTGAAAATTTTATTTTTACATTTCACCAATACTCCCTATTCATCTTCTTTTTACAATATTACAATTCGTTATACAATAAGTCTATTTATTAAAAAAGTAATAATAATAATCACTTTGCCTTATACATTAGCATTACTACTGTTTTTACTTATACTCAATATTGGTAATTCTATACCCTTTTTTATTTCGAGAAAAATATCTATTATTTTTCCATTATGATAAAATTGTCTTTTTCTTTAAGGAAAATTGTGAATACACAAATTTCTCTTATGGAAAATTAAAGAGCTCAGGCTTTTGCTTTTTGTTTGAGTTGTTTAACAATTTACTCCTTGCAACAATATTCAAGTACTCATAGAAGATAAAATGTATTATATTTTCCAAGTTAAAAAAGAAAAGAAAAGAAAATAGTTCATTCTATTCGCTTACCTATCTATCTACCTATTGACACTTATCTATTTATCAATCAATCTATCTATGTATCTATCTATTTATATTTATGCATATTTACCAGTCTTTTCTAACAACCAACTTTTCCATTTGAAGTTGCATGAATTAATTTATGTACTTATTTTTCAAACAAACGAAACAAACTGTATTCTATCTTTTATCCATGTCCATGAAATATTCATATAATATTTCAATAATGTTATTAAATCTATTATTGTTTATGATTTCATTTTAATTGAAATCATTATTTTATATTTTACTTATTACATTTTACTCTATTCAAATGGTTATTATGAATGAATACTAGAAAGTGACTTTCATCATTTGCTTAATCAACCTTAATTATGAAACATAAATGGCATTTTTTGTTGTTGTTGTTTTATAATAATGAAGTCTATTACTTTTCTTTGTTAATTCTCTTTTATTGTATATAAATTCTCAAAATTATAACGAATGAGTTATTTCTTCACAAAAAACAAACAATAATAATATCAATGGCAAATTACACCTACATATTATTTCTTCTTTGTAATGACGAAAAAAGAAAATTTTTTTCTTCAGTTTATTTATCTTCAATTTTAGATTAATGTTGGCTTTTCAATTTACATCATCATCATCATCATGATAACACCAAAATGCAAAATGATATGATATATGTCAGTAATAGAAATCTTGATAACAGTTTGTCTTTTTTATATTACAAAATATGCTCATCTACAAAGTCTTTTGTTAAGATAATGATAGTAATCGTTGTATCATTCGCCCTTCTAATCTTATTGTCCCTTTATTTGTATTATGAATACAACTTCTTCTATTGATTTGTTTTAAATTCATTAGCGGTGATTCAATAATTGAAGAATGAAGTATAGTTTCGGAATCTACTGTGTTTATTTCTATTCGATAAACTGAATGATATCGTTAGTTTGGGTAAAATAGATCTGTCTAAAAGCCCAATACGAATATATCATTATTCTACATAAAAACAACATATTGATATATAAAATATACAAATTGTAGTGTATAAACTTCATCTAATTTGTGGCCTGTCAGCTGAATTTACCTTGATTGTAGTGCTGACTTTCATACCGAAATTCAAACCTAGTACATTTTTCTTAAAACCCCAACTCGTTATTCCCTGAGATAATTAGTCTAAATAGTTATTAACTTGGCCAACAGGTATGATGTATGAGAAGTCTAGAATAAGACTGAATGTGTATCCTGGATCCACTTCTGGCTACAGCTCGAAAATTACAAAATAACGATCTCGAAACACTCCTCGGAATGCGTGTATGGCAAATAAGACTAATCATAATTCAGCAATTAGTACCAACAAAGGGATAATTCAAGTCTTTCTAACATTAATATAATCTTTTGATAGATTAGAATAACTGGAATGACTACATTTTAGAAATCTTTTGTAAATTTATGGCTGAGATATTAGTTTCACCGAAACGCTGGGTAAACTCAGCTTACTCGAAAATCACTGACTGAGGACAACTGATATTCAGAAAATCTTATCTGACATACTGGTAGTGTGGTGTGTCCTACTTATACGGACAGGTAAGTAGTATGTATCAAGAATTGGAAGTAAAATTCATACTGACGGAAGGACATGAAATGGAGGAAAAGAATTTGAGGAGTCTCAATAGCAAAAAATCATAGAACGATGAAGCTTGTGAGATATAATTAAGAAAGATGTGCAAATGATGTATTCATTGCATTGTTCTTATATTTTACACTGGTTTAGTTTACTCTAGCCAAGTCTGGGTTCACTACCGGCGCATTTTAAGAAATGATTTGTTTATGAAATGAATTCAGCTAGATGAGAACCCGGGGAACTTTTGGGACCACATATTGGACTATAACTCAGTGAATCTTTAAACCACTAAACAATTCCGTACTGACAGATTCTTAACATCTCTGCATTTGTCGTTAACTGGAGTTGCAAATTACCTTTAATTTATGCAGAAACTTTTACAAATTACTAAACTTGGCATATGGGGTAAATTTCACGGTCTTTAAGTTTTGCTTGTAGCAGCTTGATTACAGTTTGGATACCAATAAAAACCAAAGAGCATTGAATAGCTATTTCATCCCAGTTTGGAACTCCTCACCAATGTGCACTCACCATCCCACCAGAGACCGGCCACAGGACACCCAAGTATCGTCCTAAACGCCTAACTTATGAAATTACTATGTTGACGTCTAACTGTACAATTCCAACATCAACTAATTTGCAATACTACACAGCGGCATTGGTGACATATTTCACTCCCGATATGTCTGAACTCCACAATTCTCCTTGGGAATCCAGGAACATTTTGAAATCAGTCACTAGTGAACTGACTATTACATTTTATTTGGGGAGATTTAGTGGAAGTTAGTTTTAATTTATAAGTTGTATTCGTCATAGGCTCATCTAAGTTGAGATATCTGTTGCTCAGACTATTCAACTAATACATGCTGATGTTAGGATTTTAGTTAACAAATTTTGTAGTCTTTTATCATCATACACATATATTACCTGTGTTTATCTACTTCATCATAATAGGCTAGATCTAAGTTTTAGATTTGATTTCAATCTAATCAAACTCTAAATTTCTTAACTTGGATTTTGAAGCTTACAAGTGTAATAGTTACAATTTTCAAAGTACTATATGAATGAAGTGTAGAGTAAATTTTCTGTGTACTAGTAACTAACCTTCTCTTTAAAAAAAAATAGTCCGATAATAAGCATATATGTTTCTGCTAAAATTAATCAGGCATTGTCGAACCCAATAGATTTTTAGGAGCTTACTGAAATTTTAGTTTAATGAGTGAAAATCAGCTGATATCAGAGTAACTTTTTTGTCATACAAAGTTTTCACACATTGTTCTTAGAAAAACTCAATGTCAGCTATCGGTATTAATATAAATCATCTTGTATTTTTGTAATGTATGCATAACATAATTAAAACTTAGGTTTGCTAATTAAGGGATTCTTAATATTTTATCAGTCTCTATATCTTTGATAATGGTAGACGAATCAGGTTTTACGAACTATCTATATCTCATGTTTGAATAAGTAATAATGAATGTTTATTAGTTACTTACACCTTTGGTTTACAACAAGGTTAGTGTAAATGGTTAACATAGAAGTCGACAGAACAATATCAAGAGAGAGAAAAATACCTCTATTACAGTCATAATATTGTTATTTAAATAGTTTGTTATTCTACAAGTCTATCATAAGACACAATGATGATGATGATGATCATAATAATTTTTAATGAACTATTTATTTATTTATTTCTATTGTATAAAATAGAGGATGAAAAACAATCACTTCTGATAAAAAGAAAATTTAGTATTAGTTGATATTGGTGATAGGAGGACGAGGGGAAAATGTACTTTCTAATTTTGAATCACATGATCTTAATATTTTTCAACTCTGAATTGAAAAGTGAATAGGGATTTTTCTATAGTTCCTATCTTTATTTCTTAATCCAGTGATCTTAAGGTAGCATATTTTTTAACTTCCTTATTTATATACACATGAGAGTGATCACGTAAGGATAATGGTTCTTTCTCTCTCTCTCTATCTCTCGATATATTTGCTTTTCTATCCTTTTCTACTTAGTGTACATGCACGGATACAATGTAAATATGTATGTACATACTCGTGTGTAAAAAGTTCTTATATTGTTGAATATTTAGGAACGTGATCTGTCATACATGATCTTTCACCATTTATCATTATGAAACCATAATTCTTTGTTTTGCATTTTCTAATTCAATCAATTCTCTTAAAACTGAGCGACTTGGAAGAGATCATAGACATACCGTTACAGACAGTGTCAGCATAAAAAGTAGGTCAAGGGATTTCTGCTGATGATAATCAGACCACATAATATCAGGTTATGTGAATAAATTTATAAAGTGCTTAAGGATACCTCGCCTATTTTACACCTGAATACAGTTGATTAAGTTTGAGGACTTTTCTTCACAAGAAATTCAATTTACCTATGAGATTAAATAAAAAGTAATGAGTCATAACATCACTACCCATAGTGTTTAATAAAAAATACATGATTTTGTTTGTAGACTGATAATCTTTAGCTGACTAGAGGCCGTAAATAGAAACTAATCGCATGAAACGACGTATACGTAAGTGAATTTTTTCGTTCTAGCCACAGTACAATTTACTGTTCGAAAACTATATATGAACATGTATAACTCAACGGAAGTAAAGAGAATGACGAAGAGACATAGACACAATACAAAAAATAGATAGAAAAAAGTTCTACTACACTGATCTTCATATACTTGTCTTACGTTGATTGCTAATGAGATTGTTAGTATACATTAACTAAGTAGGAATGATATTTGACAAATCAATGATACTACTTGACTAACATTTTGAGATTAAATGTCATGGATAAGAAACAATTTTTATCAAATCAAATTTTGTTTTCTTAACTGGTTGTAACAACTGCCTCACTTACCATTAAGAAAAGTTAATACCACTAACTCGCATTTGATATTACTACAGAAAACTGAAAACCCTAACTTAGAAGTAAAAATGTGTTTTATTTTCTACTACTTATGAGTAACCATAAGTATACAGGGAAATATTCCACACGAGTGTTTCCGTTTTTGCAAGTTGATTGAGAACAGTGCCTAATTCTTGAACGTTGATGTTGAGATTAAGCTAACACCAAATACAAAGTTTGATTTCCGAGGTTCCTAAAAGTAATTTTACTATGATAACATTTCGGATAATATATAACGTCCAAGTATCTCATAGTTCATGGTTAATTAAGTTAATCAAATAACGGTAAACTGAGGAAAAGTATGTGCTCTTGATTTACATATTTTATAAAAGTATACACTGGTATGACCGAGGTTTTGGAAAATTCACTATCACTCTTTAAATGCTATTACACGGTCACATGCTTATAGCCTCATGTAGAGCAGTCCTACTTACTGCCCTCACTCAGCGTCAGAGGCTGAATAGAAAACGGATTTGAGGAACACGGAAGGTCTATATAGGGAAGTTGGAAAGCCAATGATTCACACGGGCTAAAGGACTATGGTGGGACAAATAACGTGCAAAAATCTCTTTACCAGAGGCTACCTTAGACATATTCCTTCTGAGGTTGCTTCATTGTCTCATGGATTAGACCTTTAAGTCAAAAGCTAAGTGCGTGGTTCCACAAGAAAATGACCTGCATAGCTCTGGGTTTCCACATGACATTCCAACCCACTCACAAACATGACAACTGATAATTACGAACAAAATGATAAACATGGTCAGGTCCTTTAACAAATCAGATAACGTTGACAGTCTATTTACCTTAAATGAATTTATTTGACCTTTCTATTCAGTTTGTTTGCACTCTGTTTACTTTTATTAAACATCTATGGAGGAAGTTTTGTTCTGCCTAAATGACCTTAGGTCTCTGATGTCGATTTTGTGAATAGTGTTATCGAATACAAAACCAAATACAACTTCTCGGAAATCAAGTGTGCTAGTTAAACCGGGCTCTTTTAACGTTCGTACACTAATGCAGATTGGGCAACAGATAAATTCAGCTATATCTATAGAAATTCCTAATGTCGATATCTGCTGCATTTCTGAAACTTGAATTCAAGACTTGTAAATTACAGCAAACATGTTCTTCAGCTAAAGACTCGAAAGTTTGTTTCATATGTGTTTATCCAGGGAGCCAGTGACATTGATGTCTGGTTTGCCTGTTGTCACAGTGAATGCCAAAATGGAGACGGAACTAATGGTTTGGATCTCCACTAACAACCGACTATGTACTATTAAATTAAAAGGCTCTATCAAAGTGAGAAGAAATTGGGGTGGAAAACAATTCCTTTTCATAGTCCCAGCCCAGGGTTGGAGCCCGGGAGAAATGAAGGACGAATTCCAACACGGACCAACCGATTTTCCCAAGAAAGAGCATTCAACAGATATTGTAGAGCTAGTTGATGTCAGTGCACAGGTCAGGGGTCTAGGCACAGAGGAAAGTCACCTAGATGATTAATAGGAATACGATGATTGCAGACGAGAAGACGGTGAGTTTTCTGTATCTTTGCATAGACCACAACCTGTTTATGGACATTACCAACTTCCGCTACAGCCATTTTCGATATGCTATTCTACCGTTCTCGCTTTCCAACTCGAACCTGAAGTTAAATAGCCTAAATTGGAACCATCTATCGATGGTGTGATCTATCGCTCCTTTATGAGCACCTATCTGTTTTCTAACCAAATTATGGCTTACCCCAAGTTTATCTTAGAGTTTCTGTGTTCGTAAAATGTCCCGTCCTAAGCAGACTGATATAAGCGAACTGGTTCCATCAAACTGAGTTAGATCTGAAGCTAACTAAAAGTGCATGAAGGCGTGAAAATGGCGGGTCACATAGCATACCTTTTCATGAGGGATCCCATTTATAAGTATTGAGTTTAGGCAAACTCCTTACAACTCCAGAGAAAAGCGAGTTTGATATTACACATACATCCTTACACCAGGAAACTTCACCAAGTTTGGGTAAGAACTGAGAAGCTTTGTAGTCAGAGTTTTCGAACAAGTTTCAAGCAGTAACCGCATTTGATAACTGCTAGGCGTTCTCGACATTTATCCGAGCCACTAGCAGCAAGAAGTCTGGTATCAATCAAATAATTTCTGAAGTTGATGGAATGCCAATTAATAACATATAAAGGTATTGACGACATACACCCAGGTCTTTTTGCGGATAAAGGTAAATGTAATAAGAATTTCACCTATAATTTATATCTACTGCTTAAACTTTTCAATTTTAAGCAATGGAAAGTAAAAATTCTGGACACAAAATGCCATGATTGGGATAATATGTAAAACGTGATTCGAGTAGTAACATACATGACAACATAATAATACAATATACAATTTAAATATACATTAAAGAAACAGTCATTAAATGATCATAAAAATGAACTAAGAGTTTACAAAGTCATCATAAGTAAGCTTGCCAACCAAAGTACATTCGTGATAAATTTGAATAATCTGTAGCTGCGCGAACAAGCAAACCAATATGTCCACCAACATCAAGTTGATCAAGACCGCCACTACAGTTGCTGGAAGTTTCATTTGAATTGACAACTAAATTCCCACTAACAAGACCTTGAAGTTTACCTTTTACACCAAGTAGGACACGTTCAGCAAGTTGATTGACTGGTTCTAAAAAGAACGATAACAGAGTGAAACGCAACAAGCAAAATATGGGATAAGTTTATAGCACTTTACAATTTTGATTATTATATGAAGTGAACTCATTTACTAAATACTAATTCGTATGTTGAGCTTTTAGTCACACTGCGTGAAAGGTTCGTGATGATATTTAGTTGACCAAACTGGAATGAAACAGATTATGCACTTATTGGTTAAATGTCGAATGCTTTAATCACTACACTCTTATAATGAGCAGTACACTTTATAGGTTTCTTTTTTTTTCATATGAAATCAAATTGTTTGTCATTTTCTATAGGTTAATGATGATGTGAATGAGTCTGATTTAAAAAAAAAATCATGAAGTTTATACTGACTACCACCAAGAGAAAATCTCTAATCATATCTCAAGTGACTAAATAATGTAATTCATATGATGACTTATATCTGTTTATATTTATTTTAATACCTTTCAAAAATCAAGTATGGTAAAAGGAAATTTATTATGAAGTTCAATTGATTAGTTTGGAAAGATTAAAAAGTGTAAATTAGTTATTAAAGGTTAGATAACCAAGGAACACTAAGATAAGTAGAAGCAATTTGTAAATTATAAATATATAATTCTTATTAGACAAATTAAAGTATTACCAAGATCAGTAAACTGAATTATTTCTACAAAAGTGATCATTACAGTTTTTCACATAATACATTACGTTAAAATTTAACTTGTCTACACTAGCTCTAAGTCCTTTGTTTTTTTTTTAAATTTAAATAATGTTAATTCTCGAATACAGAAAAGATTTGGTGGAGAAGATTTGTAGCTCACGTGGATGATTTTGATGGAGTCTTGTTCTCTGAGTTGGATGAAAGCTCCACGACACAAACCATCCAGTTTAGAGAACAAAACCATATCAAAAACAGAAAAGAGTAAACTGAATCCAAGATTGAATTTTCATTACAAATCAAATAAATACTGGTTTAAGCATAACCATGACGAAGACTATAGACGATTAATTTCTCTTAGTATTAAGTAAACATCATTGTTACATAACAACACTATGGCACGAATCAATTTAATATTTCATGATTATTACGTTTACTTGACACAAATTTTAAATGTTCATCATTACTGATTACATTGCCCCCGAATGCCCTGGTACGGCTGAGAGTGGGGAGAGTCAGCTCTCCCTCTCAAAATGCTCTCACATGGAGACATGTATACAGCCACTGTCACGGAAGTCCAACTCACTACCTTCACGTCACGCCGGTGTTCTTTACGAAAGGGACAACACAAAAAGCGAGTGTCCGGCGCTTGAAACGGATTGATGGACACGGAGGATCCAACTAGGGGAGTTGGGAAACCCTGATTCCAAACCAATGGTGTACATAGGCTCCGGTATCCTGAAGGAACAAATAGCGTGTGAACCAATTGTTGATTACCGGCTACCATGGGACTGCGTCTCCTCACGATGCTCCACTGCCTTGTGGCTCAGACCTTCAGGTCGAAGGCTCCGGGTGTGGCCCCCTAAGAAAACCACCTGCTTCGGTTTTGGCACCTGGGCAGTATCACAGTCCTCACAAATATCAAATGAGATTTGTGTGGCGTATATGTATTTGGTTCCTCCTTGTACCAATATCTATGTGTTCAAATAATAAATAATAATGATAATAAATAACTGATTACATATGCCTGAGTTTTGAAGAGAAATCACTTGTTTGACAAATTCCCAACTAGAATGCACTAATGAATTACTAGGTTAAGAGTATAGAAGTAGCTCCATTCCAAACCATATATAAAGGCGATGTGAAACAACCAATGCTAAGCATAACTTATAACAATGTAACAAAGCAATAATATTGTATTTTTTGAAAACTCTTTGGTTAAAATCCTAATTTCCTACTGTGAATTACATTTAAAACCTAAGGTTATGTAGAAAATTGATACAACTATAAGGCATCACAAGTGTCAATATTAAGTCACCTAGTTGTATAACATATATCATAATAAATAACACAAAATAAAAAATACTTACGAAAAAACTTATTAAATATAAGAAAAGTTCAGTCATCAAAGACTGTTCACTGATAAGTACACTCACAAGATTTTCATGAGAATGAACATATCATTTTGTTTAACAGTAGAAAATCATAAAGTATTCTAGTCAAACAAAAGATAAACAACGTTTCGACCACTAAATAATACTCATGTCTTGAAAGTCATCACTCAAAATGAGTTTGATGTGTTGATAACTGAATGTAAAGGTCGCTTAAAACATGAATGAATAAATTTTTACTCAAAAGTACTTCATCAGACAGAGACTGAAGCTGGTAAGAAAAACTGTGTGCTACTGTTAATTACAGACGCAGACTATAAAATTATTGGTTAATTGTAAACATAGTAAAAGTAAACGATGTATCAGAGATTTGTGGATAATCGACACTGTAAATGTAATGCGATATATTAAGTCTAGTGCTCTCAATGTGAAACGTTGAACTTTATTCTTTAAATACAAACATAGGAGAAAACGATGAGAGTTAGAAGGATGCTATGTAACTAATTATCGTAACTAATAAACATAGTAACACATTTCTTAATAAACTGATGAAATATTTGCACTTGTATTTTTGTCTACTCACTAGTAGTGTGTAGTGTCACACCTAATATTTACCTAGAGTTCGTGTAAAAACTATCATACTTTAATTCAGATAGTCCCATTTGATATTAATATGATTCAATAATTTGAATCTGTTCTTTATCGGCGTACGCGTAAATATATATAACTTAGAGTAAAGATGAAATGGAAACGAATAAAAAGTCTTTAGATCATACATTTTTATGCAACTGATTGGTCTTATAATTTGAAAACTGAATTATAGATACGAAAAGTAACACTCTTCATACTTTTAAACATACATTTAAACAACTGATCTTCAGAGATGATCGTGTAGTTATACCGAATAAGAATTAGGAGGACTATTTTAGTAAAGAATCACATGAATATAGACAATAGGCCGGGCGGGTAGTACAGAATGTGCCTAGATATCTCTAATGAAGATACTCAACTAAGTCATACATTACTAGAACTAAAGATCATCAGAGCTAAAACTGTCACTTTATTAACCAGACGATTGCGACAGTGAAATGTATTTCACTATTTTGTTGTAATGAGAAGTCATTTTACTTGTTATTGTTCGAAATACTGACTCTAGATTAAGATCTGAATGTGAAATTATCAAAGTTCATATAAGAAAAACCTTGTCCCCATGTGTAAGCTACCTCAAAATTGTACATTTTACGTGCATAGTTTCTCAGATTGCGAACAGTAAAATGTGTTAATGATGAGAAGAGTACAGTCGATCCCGCCATTGTCAACTTGCAGGTTTATTAGTTCCATTTGAAGATCATGATCAACTATCTCAATCTCAAAAGAAAACTGGCAATCAGTAAACTGGAGGTCCTAATGCTTCAATATTTTCATAATGAGAAATTTTATTTATAAACGTTGGGATCTCCATACTATATTTCTGAGGTTTCGGTAAGATAGAATGTGTCCCTTATGTCGGGAAATGAGTGTATTCAAGTTCCTCAAGTTGCCTAGATAGCAGATTGAGTTTGAATTTTATATTCACTTGTATAAATTACTAATAGATGTTTACAAAAACGATAAGGAATTGATTTTGTTTCTCACATGTGCAATGGGTTAGGCTTTTTAAAGTTTAAGAAAAACCCAACTAGAGGTATATAGGTCAGATCTACATGAGTCTTAACCTACTTCTTAATTGTATCATTATTTAGCGTCCGCTGGTAATTTCTTATACGCGTTCAACTTAAGCGTTTGAAGGCATTTATCATTTTTATTTAATTTACAATGTCGTTTGGCATTTGACTTGTAGTTTACTTTAACATCTCTGCAATTCAATAGAAGGCCCTAACTTTTACTATTTGTGTTTTTCACCCGGAATGTTGAGTTGCGCTACACATATTGATGACAGACAGTTGAGGATAGCTTCAGAGGCTTGAGATGAAAATTTTAGTGAAAATTATGTTCCAGTATGCAGCACTCAATCAACAGAAAAGTGGTTAAAACTCTTGGATACAACTCACTTATAAAACAATGAAAACGTTGTGGATAATTTCAGCTATAAAAGAATTTCCTATTTAAATAAAAATATTGCTCAGTATGAAAGAAATACTACTTTTTATTGTAACTGAAACTATGCTTGCCCATGATAAAGAAAAGATGATTCTCTTAGATAATGACAATATTTATATACAACTTGTCTAATAAACCCCCAGATATTTCGAACGTGTACAAGAAAGCTATTCTGTTTACAGTTAAACAGTATGATCAAGATATCAAAGAAAATTAATAAACATCTTTTTTTCACTATTTCATCTTTTTGTTTTTAAAAACCGAATATAGCATGAAAAATCTATATTGAATAAGGTATGTGAATACAGAAGTTTCACAGATTCAAAATAGGAAGTTGAAATCTTTTCCAACACAATTAAAGTTACTTATTCAATAGATTTTTATAGCATGATGTAAAAGATGAATTTCAAAGGTTTTAGAGATAATAATGATTAACATATAAATTGTGTTTAAAGATATTTTAATTTAGTTAGCTAATCAGTTATAAAAGCTTGTGAATGAAACCCCCAAACGCCATGGTACGGCTGAGAGTGGGGAGAGTCAGCTCTCCCTCTCAAAATGCTCTCACATGGAGACATGTATACAGCCACTGTCACGGAAGTCCAACTCACTACCTTCACGTCACGCCGGTGTTCTTTACGAAAGGGACAACACAAAAAGCGAGTGTCCGGCGCTTGAAACGGATTGATGGACACGGAGGATCCAACTAGGGGAGTTGGGAAACCCTGATTCCAAACCAATGGTGTACATAGGCTCCGGTATCCTGAAGGAACAAATAGCGTGTGAACCAATTGTTGATTACCGGCTACCATGGGACTGCGTCTCCTCACGATGCTCCACTGCCTTGTGGCTCAGACCTTCAGGTCGAAGGCTCCGGGTGTGGCCCCCTAAGAAAACCACCTGCTTCGGTTTGGGCATCCGGGCAGTATCCCAGCCCTCACAGTGGTCGAATAATTTATGTGGTGCATATCTATTTGGTGCCTTCTTGTACGAATGTTTATGTGATTAAATAAATAAATAAAAATGAGTGAAGTGAATCGACAACTAAAAGAGTAATTGAATATTGATACTGATATTCTGAACAACATTGATCTGAATATAATCCAAAAAGATACAGAATTTCAAAACACAATGACAAAGAGAAAATGAATAAATCATAAGAAATGGAGAAAAAACAATATTCAATGTTATCTTGTGTATGTAATTACCTTTTTCATCAATCATATTAGTATTATATAACTGTTGATTACTAGGAAAGATGAGACTATTTTCATTTGGTTGTAATGTATTCACTTTGAAATTTTCTTTATTCATAGATTTACTAGTATTCTTATATTGATCATTAAAAAAGTAACTTGATGATTTAGACTTGTCTAATGTTGTATTAATTTCAGCTCGTTTAGCTTCAAGCGCATATAGTTGAGCTGGTGATAAAGACCAAGAATATAATGGGTCAAAAAGAAGAACCTGAATACCAAAAAGCAAAAAAGAATTGACAATAATTCGTGAAATCCACATAGGGATATTCCTTTAAAAAAATATAAATTCACTATACTGTTACCCAGAAAAGGATCATATAAACAAAACCAATACATTAATGATGATATTTATTCTTGTTACAAAATAACAAGCTGGATTCTAATTGTTATTCATTAAAATTATTACGATTAGTGCTGTTACTGAAGTCGGTGCAGTTTTCTTTACATGAAAATTTTTTTAAGACCTTGAATGTACCATCGGTCATACCAATCATTGGGTTATAACAATAAAATAAATATATTGTTGACAGAGATAATGTAAATCTAGTTTCATGTTACACCTAGAAAAAGGTTATTTATTTTCATCGAAATCATGAACCGATCAATGTTAGATAAGCACTAAACAATTGGGAGTAATGGACGATCATCTTTGTTATAGTATGGGACTCTTCAGAAGTGTACATCCGAGTTCACATGTGGGGATCGAATTGAGGCTCATCTTTTCTTATCGTTGTTCTTTGGCATCGAATTCGATGAAACTCATTAAACAAATTGATACCTATTGTAGTGGCTATAATCGATAACGTTTTAGAGCATAAATAGGTAAAGAATAGGTAGAAATTTTAGTGAAAACACTGACAGTGAGATGCAGGTAAGTTTCAAATGAGGCGGAAGACACGTCATTATATGTTCAGTTTCTATACATAAATAATAGTTTTGACGTATTATTCAGTCAGAAATTTAAAGCTTTACAATACACTCAGTTGAGGTTTAAGGACGGATGTCACCTCTACGTGAGTTAGAATATAATGAAAGTCACGGTTAAATGATGCAATAAACTATTTAGTTGTGAAAAATATAACTATGATGTAAAGAATACTTAAAAAGTGAAAACAGTCTAGAAAAACGGATATTTCAATAATCTATGCAGAAAAAAGCCTTAAAAACGATTCATTTTCTTCAGAAAGAAACTCTCTCTTTATATCTAAACAAGTGTGTGAAGTTCCAATCTTTGAGAACAACTACGAAACATCTCACCTGCAATAAAGTCAGAATAACATCAGATCCATTTCGAAGCTCTCGTAATACAGCTTCAGCAGCTGGAATAAATCCTGTTTGTAAACCTAATGGACCTAAAGCGTGAACAAGGTCACGAGTTAATCGAAAAGGAACCATTTCTGGAGTTGGTAAAAGTCGACCCTGGGTAAAAGATTCAATAAAAAAAATAATGAAATATTTTGGAAAAAAAACAAAAAATTATCTTGTTAATTTTATTTACATAAAAAATTTGTTCAGAAGAATAGATTTTACACGATGAACGCTTCTAGTAATCGAAATTGTTAAAGTTTGTTTCATTAGTTGGAGTACGGTATTAAAACGATTGGTTTTTTCTTTACCTCTAACGGTGAATTCTGAGAGTATAAACACAAACATCAAAAAAGTAGTAATTGGTTTGAGTGTTATCGAGATATCTGTTTGATACGTATAGATGGTCATATTATTTCACAATAACACTATTAATAACGACCGAGTTATTTATGAAACAATTAACAAACAATAACTATGTGAAAATCTTACTTGATCGAAGGCCACACCAAGATCAATGTGAATAATCTCACCGGTAGATTTATGTAATAATAAATTATGGGGATGTCTATCGCCTAATCCAACAAGATAACCAACTACACTAGTCACAGCGATCGATCTAATGTAGGCCATTCGAGAGATGAACCAATTTTGCGGATTAGGAAATTGCTCCAAAAAGAAATAAGCAAGCACTGGTCTAGTGATGATTTAATAAGAAAAAGAACATAAAAGTGAAACAAAACAAACAAATTAGATATTGGAAACGATATCAAATACATATACAAATATATATATATATATATATATATATATATATATATATATATATATATATATATATATATTACCACTATGGCATTGTATCATGAGAGAATTAATCGGTTATATGATATCACAAGCTTACATAAAGAAGACATAAGTCGTCATAAAGTCATTTTTAACGTTACTTAACAGAATGTTCACAGTCAAGTGATACCTTTCTTTCAGTAGTACAAATAAAAAAGAATAGTTATATATTTCTTTGTCAAAAGAAACAATTAAGTTCAATAGTCCGAAATTCCTATGAGCTAAATTACATATTTTGATGCGTTCTACATTGAACAGACTAAGGAAAAAGAGTAATGGCTCTTGTTTATCTTAGCCAGTTAATACCCTGTAGACAAACATTTACATAAAGTGATTTATGGAAATTTGTAAGGCATATATTAAACATTCGAAAAGTGTGTTATATAAATTACAAGTCTTTTTCAGTTATGAAGTTTAAAGTTTATTTGCTACAATTTAACCATAAATAAACACTTGTGGTACCGTTTACGCAGTCAAAAGTGATATTAGAAATATGTAACAAAAATTATCACATTAAATGACGCAAAAGAGAAAGCATAAAACAGTATCATCATAACGATAATAGTTGATGAAGACACAGATATGAAAAAAACAGACGAAGATACAATTGTAACATTGGTTGGGATTTCGGTCATAGTTTAAATAAATGTTTTTAGTGAACGATTGTTTAAAATACATCCTTGTACAACACTAGTCAGCATTGCGCGTCGTGGTAATCTGTGTTCATGTATACGTAAAACATGGCCTAACCATCTCAGTCAATAAATATTCACAACCCCATCAACTCACCTATCAACATTTCTTAATACTCTGCGTTTAACCTCACTATTACTTACCCAGTGATCCCAGAAAATGCTGACAATACAATGCTTAGAAAGAAAATAAAATTTTGACGACTGAACCAATTCAGCTTAGAGAATTCGACTTCAACAAAATTATTCTTCTGAACTAAAAATCTTTGTCACTATCTCACAATACAACACGGTAAAGTATGAATTGATACATTTTTTTTAGACATAAATTTACGGAATTTTTGTTATTGAAAAAAAGAAAGAAATATTCCATCTTAAAGCTAAAATACATAATTCTCTCTATTCGTAAACAATTAGGCGATACAGTAAATACTGTAAGTACAGAATACCAATGTTGGTCTGTTAATCAGTAGAATTATTCACGATACATAAACGAGTTTATAATAGTAACTTGAAGAATTTATTATTAAATAGTAGTCTTAAGATATACGATTGTTTATTTTTAGTAATTTTAAAGCACACAGAAAGAGAATATTAGGATTTTTATAAATTATGCCTCAAAACTTATAAAACTGGCTTGATAGAGCTTTTCAAAACACAGTATATTTGAAGTAACCCATTATATGCCAATAGTACTGCATACAGTGTACTTTATTATTTAGGGAATAAAAGTAACATATAAGCAATAAATATGCTAGAAAAAAAAGAGGAACATTTTACCTTAATTTTTCACATATTTCATTGAATGCTACTAATTTACGATCAGGAGTTTTATCTTTGACAACTCCCAAACGCTGTTTAGCTTGAATTGGGGGCATATCACGAGGTCTATAGCGTTGGTGAGCACCAGTACGCTCATTGGCTAACCAATCGCCTAATGGTACAGTATCTTCACACCATTCTATAACACCACTACGCTGAGCCATCGGTATAACCTAAAAAGTAGAAAAAAACAATTTGTGATAAAAATGAAAATAAATGTAGATAAAGAGGTTGAAAATGGTATGGTTTCTTACAATCGGATTAAAGATACTCAGTTATTCGATTACGTAATAAAATATAATCTAACCTTATAGGTGCGTATGCGAAGTCCATTATCCATATCCAGCCAGTTAGCACGATATTTAAGTAAATTAACTTGAGAAGCTGAAGAGTGTGGTAAATCAATCTTATTGGATTTGCCATATTTTGTTAAAAGGCAGTTAGCAGCAGTGAAAACCTGGAAATGCAAATCAACCAACCAACAGTTGGAAATAAATCCATATTGAAATAATGTTCAATACTTTATTGTATGTTATTATGAGAATGCATGATTGTATTCCACATAAATATGAATATAAATCCGTTTGAATAACAGTTAAGGTCAAAAAGAATTATTGAATACTGAGTGTGGATGTATAATGTTTCACAAACCTGTTGCATAACTGCATCTTGTCTTGGATCATCTTTACCTTTCACCAATTGCCGATACAATTTCCCATCGGTACCTAAACAACTGATAACTTTTGGCAAATTAATTCCTCCGACAAGACGAAAGTCGGGAGAGAATCCTGCCACACGAATTAAACTAGAATTTGGATATGTCCCTGATCGATCAATAGGAAAAGTACATGTTGGTAGTGCGACAAGCTCTAGCAAACAATCCATAGTACGACTTGAAGAACGTTGTAAACTTGGTGATACCAAACCATACAATTTACATCCATTTAGAAGGGAGATATTACCTGAAGGGGAAAATTGCAATTATAGTATATAAATATACATATGTATTACTTGTGAAAGTTGAAAATGCATTGACGAAAACCAAAATGTTTCATTTAATAGTATAGAAAGCCAAATACGTCAATTCACAAAAAAATTATTTCTCCACTTGAAATTGTAAAACAAATCTAATTTCCTGTTGTAAGCTCTCAACTGAGATTTTACAAATACATTCATCCTCTTTAGTGTCTCACATTAACTCGGCGCCTAAATACTGTGAAACTGTTCGATCAAATTTAGATGAAAGTTTTTATGAACTCTAGTTTCCTGTGATAGGCTTTCAAATACAGAAAATCTCACGTTTTTACTACATATGAATAGTATGATCAGTGAACGCAGCAATGTGCTATTCGTACACCAAAATGCTAATATCTTAAAATAACAGTTACAAAAATCAAATTAGTATAGTCCTATGTACGAAACGTGTTCACAGAAAATAAAAAAAAGTGTATTTTCATAAGCATTATTTGATGCTGAGATAGCGAATCACTGTTGATCTTGCATATAGCAGTAATCTATTTTTTGTTTATTGATTACTTGGGACGCTGTAAATAGATCTCATACACGACCTGTATCTATGATGTATCTGTCTACCATCACTACTAAGCGATCTAGAAGTACTAACCATCAAATTATCTTGACATGTATTCAGGAAGGTGATCAGAGAGAATACCTTCCGTTTTTCTGATATGTATGTTGCTGTGAGTGCTGATAAATAGGTATATTTGGGCGTTTATCATAGTTCTAAAGTTATTTTCAATAAAACCCACTTAGGCCAGTACTACAAGACCATCCTAGCAGGATAGTGGTTAACCTGTTTATCTTTCAAACACTAGGTCGCAGGTTCGAATTCCGTTCTTTTTATTTCAGTTAGGGGATCCAGACATCACTTTCCTTCATAGTCGAATACACGAATCTATACTTGGTAAATGAGTAACAGATAAAAAAACTACCGGATTATTTGAAGCTTATAGGTGATATTTTGTGTTATGTTTGAAATGAGACGAATAAGTTGATATAACTAGAATTACAATTTAAACATTTAGTAAGAAGAAGAATATGGCGAAGAAATATTTCTTTTCAAATAGCTCGCGTTAAAGGTTCTCAATAATCAACTGAAGTTCAGCACAAGGCTCGGTAAAGTGAAAACAGATTATTTATTGTCAACTACGGATAAACTTAGGAGAAACATAAAGTAATCGGAACACGTGCTTTGTTTTAATTATTATCGTTATGGATTGTAATAATCCCAGTAGTGAAACCTTTGTTTTTTTTAATTGAACACATAAACTTCAGGATATTAATGATATGCGTCTAATTTATGAAAAATTGCTTAAGAACGTTGCTTAACAAGCATTTTTGGTATTAACTTGATAATAAACAGTCTTTATGTGTTACCTGTATTTGTTTTATATTTATCAACATCTGTATTTGCCCAGTCAACATAAGCTTCAGCTAAATATTTCATTTGAAATAAAAGTTCTTTGCGTCGACCAATAGATAATCGGTTATAAAGTTGTTGAGCAGCTTGTATACGGCAACTTAGCTCTGTGGATGACTGAAATTTAAAAAAAAAATCGATAGAGACATTAAATACAAACACAATTTTCTACCCACGACGATGCATGATGTGGACACACAAGAAATTTTTTAAATATAAATAATTTTATTTGTAGACTTTTAGGTCAAATTTACATTTCGTAGTAGCTCATTTATCAAGTACAGCTTTGCGTACTGCATTTTGAGTCACATTATTTGTATAAATATTAGCAGTAGTACGCAAAAACCTGAAAAGAAAGGAGACCAATGGTCCGAACCTGATAAACAAATGGTTTGAATGTAAGCATTTTAACCAGTAGACTGAAAATCAGTGATCAACTTGAGAAGTGTAGTACTGGCTGAAGTACTTTTAACTTAAATATTTTAAAATTATTAAAGGTAAGTAGAAATAGTTCTTTTGAATATTATGTTTTTTTTTAAAAAAAGCACAAAGCATATTTCGTAGTTGATAACAATTTGTACAACATTATATGAATGTATTATAAACGGAGGTCATCAAAACAAAATGGGATCAATAGCGATCTTTGCAGAACTTTGAATTTAATTTGAATCATTTTATAGCAATGGCTTCAGTAAAGTGTAGTAAATTAGAATTTCTTGAATTACTAGTTATTTCGAAACCAAACGAGCAACAGAGATCCAGATACTAACCATCTTTTCTGTTCATCCAATGCATATACTTTGGCATGTCGTGTAAACTGATAGACTCAATTTCAGGAAACATAAGACATAATTCCGTACTAAATATCATCAAAGAAACAGAATATAAATTGAAATTAGTTGCAGTACTATAAATTAATTTATTCTCCTCATATTATCGTAAAGTCTTTAATTTATTTGATGCTTTAAAAAAGTATACTATGCACTATTTATTCTAACTGTATACATATTACTTCAACGTGTTTTTTTGAGGAATAAATTGTATAAATGTCATGAATGAATAAATGAACCAACCTGATTAGGAATTGTTTCAGTAGATGCTCTCAATGAATTTACACGAGTTGAACGTTGACGACTACCATTATTATTATTATTATTATTAATATTATCATCATCATCTAACTTAGCATTGACAAGAAATAGTAAAGTAAATGCAGAATGATGAGGATGCCAATCTACCATTCGTTCTATTAGCTAGAATATTTCATTTTTTGAAGAAAAAAACAATTCAGTTGAATATGTAAAAAAGAAAACTTTTCATCTAAAAGAAAGTTATTAACAATGTTTATATACTCAGATACTCGGTGACAAACAATTTGTATTGTGGAAAAATGCTTACAATTTCTTAACGTAATTAAAAACAAAGAGCAAGTATGATACAGTGGATAAAAAATCAACTATCCAATGTTCATTAGGTTTTGATGATTTTTGGCATTATGAATAGTTAGAATAAAGACATATATTATATTATACTATATATAATAAGGAAAAATGTTACATAGACTCAAAGACGGACTATACTTTATTATTTTGTTTTTTCTTCATCGACAGCGAAAGATAAGCAGCTTCCAGCCATAATTTTAAAACTGTAGGACAAATATTAATGACACTCGGTTATCCAAAACAAATTTTATGAAGTAGGACTCAGACCTGAAACTTGACAGTTAAAGATCGAGTACATTAACTATTAACCCACTAATACTCCATGGTTTGATACACAAACCATAGCATAGCAACTAGTGAAAAATGTATAAAAAATAACTGAAAACAATAAAAATCTTAAATCCAACAATACAAAATATTAACTCTGTCGAACAACCCACTTTCATTAAAATATTTTGAAAAGATGAGTCAGCATCACATTTACTAGATAATCGAACGGCTAATTGTGGAACAAGAGGAAGAAATTTATCAGCTCGAATACTTGGTAGACGTTCTGACATAATCTTGTTGATTTTTGAAGCTCTATTTTGAAACTTCGAATTGATAGAAGACAGCCAAAGAGAAATGAAGCGAAAAATCTAGTATAAACATTGAAAGGAGATAAGAAGAATGAAAGTTTGAATGTAAAATTTACCAGTGTAAAGATCTATTAACTAAATGAATAAAAACTTGTCCTGAGTCCACACCTAGATGGATGATACAGATAGGAAATTAACATTAACACAACAGAATAAAATCTTGATGTACAAATCTCGAAATAGCTTTTAAGATTAACAACTTCACAATTAAAGTTGTCGAATTCCGAATTATTCTTTTCACATGTCAAATTATCACAACAACAGCTTTTCTAACATTGTGGTGCGTGCTACTAATATTAACATAAGTAGTATATAACGCGAGTCAGGAATGTAATGTCTCGCAGCAGAAGATTGTGAAGATCAAGAAAGGAAGAATGTGAATAGAAAGCAATTAGTATAGAAATGCAAGAACAATGAAGTCCGAGACAATTATTGAACATTTTGCAAATTAGGTATTAAAGTATGGTTTTTCTATTTTACCAAGTAATTCTGTAATGTGCTAAATATAATTAGGTTGTTCTCCTTCACTACACTACTATCAAAAATACTCTTATCACTTTACATCCAAGGATACGTAAGCACACAATAAATGAATGTTTACTCAATCCTTTCTTAATACATTTAATAAGTTTTTTAGAATTAAACCTCTTGTTCTGAATTAGCTAAAAGCTATATGATAGAAAACTGTCTTCATTCACAATAATCTGTGTTAAAAGTATCTATTCTATGTAGTAAACTGTATACAATATGAATATGTATACAGACAGATGATTTGACAGTGGAATAAGTGTAGATCGATCATGATATTTTCAAGGAAATTAAATAAATAAATAAATGCTTAAAACAATAATAGCAGAAATGAGTTGTTATTTCTAACCAGATATTTACTGAAATAAAACATGTTAGTTATAGTGAATACAATGTTAAAAAATATATTTTCGAACAGTAATTGTAATAGTACAATGTCAACAAGGAAGATAATTCATCATGCAATTGGTTCCCTTTATGAATTTAAATAAAGCAAGAACAAATATTGGTGCAGAATAGTATGAATTCATAATATTTCGAGGTTTCTTGTCAGCTGCTTGCAACCAAAAATGTGATAGAATTTTTACATTGAAATAGTGCAATAGTTCGGCATTTACTTGACACCGGGCATACTGTCAACATTTTGCACGCTTTTAAAATGATCAATAGACAAAGAAATACGACTACTCTCCGCTTCACTGAAGCGATTACGATAAAAAAAAAACGTAAACCGGATTTATGCACTCAAAAAGAGACAGTAATAAACTTATTATTACCCTGGTAATCCATTTTTTTGTTGGTTATTTGGGTTGTATTATTCATTTTAAAATATTTATTTTGTGTTATACTCCTCCCCTATTACCTAATTCTTAAACCAACTTATTATTCACACATTTACACTACCTGATTCTCTTAAATTATGTTAACTTTTCAAATTCTATTCAATTATTATTACGTAACCCATCTTATGATTATTCAATTCCATTAATCTCTAAAATTATCACACAATTTATGAACTTCACTAAACTATTACACCACCCACCCTGAATTAATTCCTTTTTTTAACCTCTGACCTGTTCTAGCATATATATATATAGTTATTATTGTAATCCAGTTATTTACACTCATTTATGTCAATTGTTTCACACTATCTCAATGTAAAAATTCTATCACATATTTGTTTGTAAGCAGCTGACGAGAAACCTCGAAATATTATGAATTCATACTATTCTGCACCAATATTTGTTCTTGCTTTATTTAGATAATTTATCATCTTGTCCACAAATATTTGATTGTTCTCAAAAACGAAAAAAACCTCATGTTACCTAGTAACTACATATTTTAATTATTCACTTTGTAGTAAATTCTAAAAAAAAATAAAGAAATAATTTAGTAGATTTTGAAGAAAAAAATCTTAAAATTTAAATTGCATTTATTAATTCAACAACTGTACCGATAAATTATGATCATCAGATAGAGTTAAACACTGAGCATAAGCATCAATGCTAGCTTCTAAAAAATGATCAGCATCTGTTGTCAATGCAGTTAGTTCATCAATTTCCAGAGCTGATTGACGTTGAAGTAACCGTAATAAACGACTGTGATAAACAAAGATGAACAGAGAGAGCGAGAAAGTACGATAGTGAGATAATGAATTTTAATAGATCCAAAATTTAAAGGTAAACTGTCATCTTGATTAAATTAAAAACAATTCTATTTAATCTAAGCACATTAAAAATAGGCAACTTTTACAATTTTATTTCACTTCATTTGTAAACGAAAAATTCCACGCTAAAATAATGCTGAAACACTTATTGTATCAATACATTGTTACGTCATAACAATAAATGATCATTGAAATCATGAACCGATCAAAGTTAAACAACTACTGAAAACCAGAAAGCACTGAACGACCGTTCCGTCCTAGTATGGGACATCTCAGCAGTGTGCATTCAAGACCTCTCAATCAGGAATCGAATAAATAACCACACTAACCACAAAATCAATATTACTTTCAATCATGGACAGAGATTGACTTTCTGACTAACGAATTCAAGGGATAGATGAGGAAAGAAGGATAACAAGTATAGTAACTCGTGTACGAGCCACACTCTAAGTGTGAGGGGTTAGTAATATTAGCCGGCTACCCAAACTGAAATAGATGGGGCGGGGTTCGGACCTGAGATTCAGTGGGTGAGAGTTGAACACCTTAGCCACTCAGCTACCAATCTAATAACAAATCTACAACAAAGAGTTTATACTGCTTGAACAGAAAATGAAACATCGCATTTTATGAGCATATAAAAATAAAATATTATGATAAATATCAACAGGGCGAGAATGTATAAGTTGGTACGAAAATAGAATTACAGTAATGCTGATGATGACTATGATTTGAAAGCAGCGTTAAGACAAAGTGAAGTCAAACGTTAAGAATCCGAATATAAAATGATTACTATCTGTAATTAAAGTTAAGTAGGTGATACGTGTTGCAATAATAGTATTTTACTGAGTAGTTATATTCTACTTAGAAATTAATGTTTGTATATATCTTCTGGTTAATAAACAATACGTTTAATCGAATAATGGCTAAAATAGCAGTCAAGTAAAAACTTATTCAGAATAGGTTTATCCACATATGTTTGATAGATTCTACATTGGTTATTATTGACTGACTAACTATAAAGAATGGATGCCTGGTCCGAATTACGTTTCATGTAGAAAAGGATTAAATAGTTACCTGGATGATAAAAAATATATAAGGATTCCAGCTTTATGATTACTTATAGTAATTAGATAATACACACAAGGCGAGAACTAAGCTGATATGCCGACCAAACTAAGCTGTGATCGGCTGGTATGCGAGGATAGACACATACGATCAAACTAAATGTAAGAGTGCGCAGTCTTACTGATTTCATGATCTATTGTCGTGCAAGTTCTCAAAAACACAAACCTGTTTCTTTTGTCTGCTATACTATGTAGATTAATAGAATTTTTATAAAATAAGTGTTGCAACCATTGTCTAACAGGCAGAGGTTAATTTATTAACCCTTTTTTGCTTATCTACCATTAAGAAAGCATCAAAGGGATTGATATGAATATTTATATAAAAAAACACTAATTGATACCTTTTTTCACCTAAATCTGATAGGACAACAACATCCTTTTGAGCTTGTGTGAGAAAGTTTTGTCTAGTTGCAAATTCGGACGATGTTAGGTATGAATTTAAAGTAGTGAATTGAGCATCGGAAAATTTAGCCAAACTCATAAAAGCATTCGCATCAGGATTTAATTTTAAACTTTGAGCTAAATTAATGGCCTAAAAATTAAGTCAATTGAAAGAGACGATAATTACTGTAACAAGAACTGATCATTTTTATCAGTATAATATAACAACATGAAAGAACGTATAAAAATATTGATGACTCTATAAGTGCTATGTTTGGAATTAGAAAATTTAGTGTAGCTCAGTTAGTAGGTACATACCAGTACTTCAATTCTGAGCTGTGCGAGATGGTTAGTAAAACTAACACTAAATTAGGTGAAGCGCGACTCGAGACTGAACACTAATAGTTTAACAAGTAAGTCAATGTTTTGAGGAAGGAGTTTCCGGTCAGAAAACATACAAGAGAATATGACAAGGGTTACAATTAGGGTTTTTTGAGTGCTGAACAAAATGACACTCCATAAATCTCAGCAATTATACAAATGACGTTAAAATCTTTATCACATTAGTAAGATATTCAAGCAACTTAGATTTAACTTTTACCAATCACAGTGAAAGTATCCATATCGTATTTTATTATAAAAACAAGGGTAGAAACTCAGAAGTAAAATTCTAAAGTGAAACTAGTCTTAAATGCTTTCTCTTTGTGTGTTTTATTCTACACAATTAATTGATGAGCTGTTTCATAAGAATAAAAAGTCATATTATGACCATGTAAAAACTCTTGAGTAACTTGATGATTTTGTACTACCATCTCATAAGTTAAGTCGTTTACTGCCTTTTATTGTTTTACAAATTAGAATATACACAACAAAACTCTCTGCGGTATACACTAGCAGTTCAATATCGCTTACAATAATTGGGAAGATCTCAAGACTAAAATTCGGTCATTCGCACGCAACATGGAGCCTGGCACATGTGTACATTGGGTCAAGTTATCACAACTCATTAGCAAAGAGAGATGAAACTGTTAGGGCAAATCTCACAGTTTTAGAGCTGGTAACGGTATTGGTGGTAATAGAACAGATTAGGCATTGAAGATACGATTTAATGAATTTAAATTAATGAAATAAAAAACCTTATAAGGAATTTTGAAACTTAAGATCTAAAGGAAGATAGTGAGTGAATGCATATGCGACACTGCGAACGGTTTGAGCAATGTGACGTAAAGTTTCTAACAATTGGTTATATGATCACACAGACCCCAATCAGTCTATCTGCACCTACCTACATGACTCAGCCCAACAGTCAGTGTTTTCATGGTTTGGCAGCTCCTAATTTCCTCCAGATTATTCCTACACTGGCTGTAATCGCAACTCGAGGTAGTCGATGGACGGACAAACGCAATACATGCCCTAACCATCTCAGTCGATTAGAGTGTTCCATTTATTTAAAGTTAGGGTTATTGCCAATTGATTCTACTTCATTGCACTAGGTTAAATTATTCATACCAGTCGATTAATATTAGCTACCAAGAATACCAAAAATTATATTTCATTTATAAATATATATCCAGTAAAATATTGATGAATTAATTGTTTTCATCGCTAGTGGTTTTATCACATTCACAAACTCATAAACTGTAAAACGAACGAGAAGATCTGACAATGTAATTGAAGACAGTATGTTCAAACTCATAGGATTAATTTTAAAACACAACAAAAGAAAAAAAATATCAAGGAGTAAATATTTATATGAAACATAACTAACTTACAGGGTTAATATAGTTGAGCAAGAGATCAGCGGCACTTTTTGTTCGAGATTCATATAACCAATTACATAAAACAGTTATACCATGAATATAGCAATTAATATAACCGCCTAAATGTTCAGATGATTTATCCGTTTGTTCTACCACCTAAATATAAAATTTCATTGTGAATAGAAAGGATGAAATTGCTAAATGAAATAAAGATTAAAATTAAAAGAAATAAGAACAACAAATCAACGGAACAAGACATTGATTCAAAGGTTACATTCATCACTAAGTCTATAACACGTAATAATGTATCATAGATTATGTTTAAAATACTGTTTTATTAACCATGAAATCAGTGTTTCACAGACTATCTCAACTTAAGATGTCGACTTCATACTATCAATAGGATTTTCAACCTGTTACATGAATTGATAAGAGAATTGTAATTTCTACATCACGTACTGATTATTAAGATTAAGAGTTGTATGCCTTAATTACCAAAAGGTAGATTACTGAATGACTAAGTATGACGGTTGACAGATACAGTCTTGGTTATTTATGAATAAGCAGTCGAAAATAGCGAAATGCATGTATAATCATTACGAGTTTCTGAGAATCACAACCATTTGTTTTTCATTTAGTACTATGAAAACTATTTCAGAATTAATCGGACTGAATAAACTTGGTGGGATTTATACTCCGTCTAAATAAAATGAGTTAATGAAAGCATTGATTAAGGTACAGTTATCTCATAGTCATTTTGAAAATAACAACTAGAATTGCTATCCCACAACAGATCACAATCACGACTTACATCAAGCAGAACTTTCACTAATATTACAAAGTTTTAAGTGTAACTGGTATTCGAAAGGGCTACAATTTTAAGATCTCAAATGAAGATCAAATTACAACCAAGACAATTTAATTGCATTGATGTAAATAATAACAACAACAATAGCTGTGATTATAAACTATTAAAGGTTCCCATGGTGATGACGATCTAGTTGAAAACAATAATGTTCGCTAATATGTGTTGTTATAACTGCGATTGATTTACTAACGTAATAATAATAACTATTATTATCATTATTATTATTACACGTTTGTGGAGATTGTTGAACTTTAAAATTTATACCATGGACTGATTAATGGTTGTGTTAGATCGATTCATAATATAAACTATGGAATTTAACAATCTTCAAAAATCTTTTACAATAATCATAATCATGTAATGAATAGTGGCTAACTGTTAGATGCAATTCCCTGAGTTCTAATGAGAATCCTAGATTAGTAGACTTAAACAATGTCAAATGTAGTGAAGTTACTGTTGGAGAGATCCATAAAATTCCTCGAAAAAAAGGCTTTGAAAACACTGAGAAGCATATTTCCCAGTCAGCTTTCACTAGAGGTTTTGCCAGAAACATCTAAAAAGTGAAAAGTCATATATCGGGTTTCTGATTGGATGGTTGCCTATACTGCTATTATGTTTAGTAGCGTTCCAGAATTTTCGAGAAACCCAGGGTCATTCAAAACACCATAAAAACCCTCAATTTTCTGTACATGAACGAACCTTTAGAGGAAAGCGTTTCTTCCATATTTCCCGCCTTTTCTCTCATGTTCAAGTTGCTGTGTAGATCTAGCCTGGGGTTACAAGAATAGCTTAGGAACCGAATCTAGCGTTCAATTAACAGACTTATCAGTTACATAGTAACGTCATTGGAAGATGGTTGCACAATATCAAGAACGGATCGAAGTAAAACATATACATTATTGGATTCCGCTCAACTGGTCTAGAGAATACGTGCTTGTACCCAAAACCGACGACTCTAGATTGGAGCCTGGGTGTGGGTCATGCATGTCCACTCCTGAAAAGTTTCCTATTAAGATGAAACAATTATTTAGTGCTTCCTGATTTTAAATAATCGTTTAACTAAGATCAGGTTGCGATGTAAACTATATTATTATTAAATTCGCTTGTTGTTTTACTTGTATCTTCCCATTTTTACTTAAAACTGCAATTGATCAGTCTCATGTTGGCATATGTGCATCCCGTGCGGATTACCTCGATATAGCCTTAAGTCACAAGCTCTTTAAACAAAGATGGATAGTGGCTAACAGTGTAATCCAAAACGCACGTTTCGTCTTATTTGGGACTCGTCAGCTAGGTGCACATGCATCCCAGAGTTGATGTCCACTCCAGGACTCGAACTCAGTACCGTTCACTTCAAGTGCCATCACGTTCTCCACTTAGCTACTGAGTTCTGATAGTTACCTGCTTGTACAATCGAGTGAATTTTAAATTCACTTGTATCTTCCCATTGTTATGTACTAGGAATAAATCTCCCCACCATCGACCGTGCCAGAGCATTTGAGAGTCATAATAAGAATATGACATTTACTGGAGATTCTATTCCAATCATCCAAAATTATTATTATGTCTCCACTTATTATTATCATTATTATTTGTAAAGAATATTATTCATTTAAAAAAAGGAGAGAAAAGAAAAGAAATATGAAATAATACTTACTTTATTAACAATTTGTAAACCAGATTGTAATCGACTAATAGATAAATCATAATCACCTTGTTCTCTTTCTAAATATGATTGAAGTTTTATACATAATAAATTTTGCCAATGATAATTTATACTTTTATTGAAATTATTTTTAAATAAATTTTGACAATAAATTGCATTATTTAAATAATTTTTTATAAAATAAATATTTGATGATTTTATTGTTGCTATTTCAGCATAATAAAGATATGTAAAAATTAATAAATTTTTTAATTGATTATTAATAGAATTAATAAAAATATTTTTCATTAATATTAATTGAATAAAATTAATTGATAAAGTTAAAAATGGTTCTAATGTATTAAATATTGGTTGATTTAATTGAATATAATTTGTAGTATTAGTAGTATTAGTTATGAAATTAATACAATTGAATGAATAATTAAATAAATTTAATATTAATTGTAAACAATAGTTGTAATTGTGTTTATATGGTAAATGATTACTTAATTTATTTAAAATATTTAAAAAATTAATTTTTTGACCATATAAAATTAATTGATCAGATGAAATAAATTGTATTGTATCCGAATATAATTCTTCAATAAAACATTCACTAAAAACAAAATAAAAACAAATTATTTATTATAATGAAAAATAGAATAAGATTTAATAATTGTGCGTAATATTAAGCATTTCAGAAAAATTTTCTCATTCAGTTTATTTATGTAAACATATAAATGTTGGTACAGGGAAGCATTAAATATATATGTGTTACACTTCGTTATCTGATTTGTGTGAGAGCTGGAATACAATCCGGATACCTAAATCAAAGCAAGTGGTTTTCTTAGGGGGGCAATTTCAGAGCCTTTAATCTAGAGTTCTAACCGACAAGGTAGTGGAGCAACGTTAGAAGATGCATTTCCAAGATAGCCGGTGACCAACAATGGGTTCATATGCGATTTGTACCTTCAGGACCTTGAAGTCCATAAGTAGCATTGAATTAGAATCAGGGCTTTTTAACTCCCCTATGTGGATCCTCCGTGACCACCAAACCAGTTAAAGTACCGAATATTCGTTTTTCGTCAACGACAAACTATTAATTTAAACTGGATATTTCTTTCCAATGAAGGACTTCCTAACAAGACGCAACTGGTGTTTTGTACTGAGCTTTCAAGTCAGGACTTCAAATACAGAAGGACCATCCATTAAGCTACTAGGAATATAGTTATCGTCTCTCATTCAAATAACGATGTTTATTATTCAGGGTTGAATGCTCGTGCTTTAATAAAAGTAATAATAATTGTAAAGAAGTATGTATTGGATTTTTGAATAAGTATACTTGAAGGATTTGAACAATCTTTAAGTAACGAGTTTTAAATAACACTAGGAAATAAACATTTCAAGCAAAAAATCGAATGAACCATATACCTTTGAGCAGTAGCTATTTCTGATACTCTACACCAGTCCGATTGTGAAGCAGCTCGTAAAAGCCAGTAAAAGGAAGTTTCTAAACCACAATTCTTCCAATTTGTAGGTGGACAAACCGAATGAGAATATGAACAATCTAAATTAGATATATCGTCTAATTTGTTATCCCATTGGTTTAGACGCCATGCAGCAGCTGATCGTAGTTCTTTTAATGTTAAATCCGACTGTTTACTAGCTATTATAGAGCATATGTAAGAAGAACAGAATACAATAAGTGTAATGTGTATGAGTGATTATAAGCCATTCTAAGAAGTTAACAATTGGAACTGACTTAAATGCATTTGTGAATGTGAAGATCTGATATTTATTATTAGTATATGTTGAGTTGTCGCGGCTTATTTTTGCTAGGATTGAGATATATACACTGATGGACCAACGAGTAGTAAATGATATCATATTTGTTTTGTCATTAATGCTGGTCAAATTCTATCGATCAAATTGCAGTTCAGCCACTAGTGTACACTTTTATGTTAGTCGGTCGAAGATTCTCGGTAAAAACTCTGGATCTAGGTTTCGTATGATTCCAGGGTTTACTGTCGATTACCTCCATCAACCTAAAACATTTACTCTAATTACGGTTAGTGTTTTATTCATCCTTATTACAAATACTTTTTATCCTGTCTTATCAACACAGTATTGTGCCTTACTCTATAACCAAATTATCTATTCCGAAAGAGTTTTTATAACAAATGCGTCAGGGAAGAAAGTTTCAAATGTTTAAAACTCTTACTTTTCATTCAGTTTGTAGTGCCAATATCTAGTGATGTAATACCCACCAACCCAGATCGAAGTACGTAGGGACAGCAGGGTTCCAACACGTAGCTTATTGCTTTAAATTCAAGTATTTTATTCATTAATCTCTCAAATAAAAAGATTAAATTGCTCAGAAACGTGTTTTCATGACTTTATAGGTGTCATCAGTAAAAATCCGATTATAAACAGTGACATGTAACTGAAAAATAATTAGTGATCGACATCAAATTTTTATGTAACTGTATGAAATATGTTTGTGTTTTGTATAAATTTACAACTATCACAGTGAACATACTGGACACAATGTAGAACCACTTAAACTAGTGGTTATATTGTAACATAGTCAATAGAATGTGATAAGCGATAAGGACTAAACAAACATGACATTGTCCATTAATCAGTGATCAGTCAATGTCAAAACAGTGGTTTTTGTACCGAGCTTTACCTGAAGGTTAATGACACCGTTCAGCTGTCTGAAATGAAGAATATAGAGAGAAATTTCGAAATGGAAACTTAATGTCGTTTATATATATTGACTGTGCAATAATTGATTGATATTCTTTACAAATTGAGTTGGAATTTCAACAAATTATTTAATAAATAATTAACCGATAAATAATAAATTAAAATTCTAACCAAACTTTGCGAATATATATATATATATATATATATATATATATATATATATATATATATATATAAACGTATAATTACCTGTTAAGTCTATCGAATCATTACGACTGAATTTTTCAAATAGTCGATTAGCACCTAAGTGTTGTAAGCATGAAGCCAACTTAGAATGTACACTATTTGATGAAGAATCCAGCTCTTCATTTAGATCATATTTATCATAACAACTAAGTAAATGAGACCAATTGCCCAATAATTCATGAACAGCTAATCTGCATACATAAATGAATAAATGATGGACATAAAAAAAGAAAAAAATAGTGGTAATGAACGATTGGTTGGAATTTGTGAACCATTCACTTAAATTAGGTCTATATTTAAAAAAAGTGTTATTATTTATGGAAATTACTAGATCTACATTTGATGACTATGAATACTCGTTACGAGAGTAATATGGAATAATTGTAATACTCTGAATATTACCTGCTGTTATATTGACTCTAATACTAACACATGATGTTATCGAATACTAAACAATATGCCTCAGATAGGAAAGGAATTATAACATAATATAGTCCACAAACTAATTGAATGAATGACTGGTTATCGTATTTATCGATTTAAAGGAAGAAAATCATTTGTATCATCAAATGGCAAATAAAAAAGACAATTTGAAAATCTTCACACATTTTTACTTACTTTGTCTTATCTAAGAGAGGATGAACGTCAAAATGTGTGGATTTCTCTTTAAAAGATTGTTCAGAATTATTCCAGGTTAGAAAACTTGTCTGAGATGCAATTAAACCCATTAAATCTCCCGATAAACGACAAAGGTTAACCCAAATACGATACGTCGTTTCATTAGTTGTAATCCAGTCGTCTGGACAATTACTAGATTAAAGATGAAAAGTTTATGAAAAAAGCTAAATATATATCTCTATAGAACAATATACATAAATAAATTGATAATAACAAAATTTTATTTTCTTTTGACGGCGGGACTATAATTTGTGGATGGACCAATCAGATGTAAGAGTGAAATACTTGGATTTTCGCGCGAAATTCATCTATTCAGATGGTTAACTAGCATTTTGGCATTACAGCCGATGTCAATTCGTGATGTAAACCTTAGCTCTAATCTGTAATCCTGATTCACCACACTAATTTATAAACCTATTCGGATACCTTTAAATGGTTGAAATTTCTCAAAGCCACTTTAGTCGCGACTTCAAGTCGTCCATAAATAATAGTTTTGCCTATTTGATTTTTCTGAAAACCAAATACATTAGTTCGCTTAAAAGACTGAATATTGGACCGACTTTTTCCGAATGGTGACAAATAATAAAGGCTTTATGAGATAACGATATAATGAAAATAGTCATATAACTTAAGTACTCAAGAAACAAAACTTGTGGACTTTTCACTTGAATCTCAATATACCAAAGGTTTAGAATTAGTAAGCATAAACAAATGCTGATGTGCTATTGATAAGGAGAAAACACAAATGAATAATTAATATTATACTCAATGAAGAAGTTAGTGAATTTCTATCACAGATTACTTCAATAAAATGTGAGAATTTTTTAGGCTAGAAACATATGACAACACGCTGCTAAATGTAGTGGTATATACACCAACCGAGTTTGATAAGGACAAAGAGATTACAGTTTATAGGATTAATCAGCATACTCAATTAAATTTTAAAGACAAGATTATAATTTATAAATAAACCAATGAGATTTCCGATAGTAGGTCTTGAATTTTGGGGCGAAATTCAATAATCTATATGGTTAAATAGTATTTCATTATAGTTATTAGTTTGTGAAGAAAACCCTAATTGATAAACTTAACTTATATCTCTAAATCTTAATCCTATTTCCTCATACGAATTCATAACCCCTTTTTGATCCTACAAGTGGTTGAATTTTCCCAAGTTCATTTCATCATCGTTTAAAGATCCTCGACAATTTATGGTCTCACCAGATAAATATGTTAATTTAAAACTAACTTACTCTGATAACCAGGCTAATTCCAGAAATAAACGAGCTTCTTGAGGTCTCTTAAGGATAGTAGCTCGATCAGCAGCACAGAACCAATTGATAGTTATTGAAGGATTTAAAGTTATATTTTCTCTAGATAATTAATTGGGAAAAAATTATTGAACAAAACCCGAAACAACGCAAACGAAAAACAGTGTTATTTCTGTGACAATTACAGCAAAGAAATGTATGTATACAAGAATTTTATAGTTTACTTGGTCAGACAACTGCTAAAAATTGGGAAGCATTGGGTAGCTATTTCGCCATGGTATGGGACTACCAAGTAGTATGGATCCACTGCAAGCACTTAAACTTTAAACCTCTGAGTCACTGAGAGGCCCAAAGTTCCTGGTTCCGTATTCGGTGGAATAGTGGATGAGAACTGACAAGGAGTCTATCCTAAGACGAAACAACTATTTGTTGTTTTTTGGTTTTGTTTAGTCTTCAAATAAAGTCATTTTGCGATGTAAATTAAACCATTTAGCAATATCCCTATTACACTAAGTATACAGCAATTGTTTTTCAATTATCTGTAGTCGGTATTCTATATACAAAATTTGGGATGACTACAACTTAGTATTTCTGAATCAATCATGTTTTGAGTTAGTTCTAAATTTGTCACTCGATATTTTGTAAGCATGCAGTGCTTATAAACGTATTTCTAGTGAAATGAAACACGAGGTAATGGCTGGATCACTAGAATTGATTTTTTTGATCTACAAAAACTGCATGTTTCACTAAAAGATTAGAGTTACACAACTACCGAGTGACCAAATACAGGTTCATGTATACTAGCTTCGAGTCACCTTTCAGACCGAATGACTAGTGACAATACTCAACTTTCAAGAAATGATCAAATGGGACTATATTCAAAACTGTAACCTTATCGTCGAAAGTTTAGTGTCTCGATCACTAGATCAACTCTCTACATGAAAACGTTAGGCAATTATAACGTCTAAACAGTAACCACATGTAAACTAAGTTGTAGTGAAAAAAGTTTGGACGTCATTAATCCCACTTAGCTAAAAGAAAAGAAAAAATTGAATTCATTTATCTTTGGTAAAAGGTTTCTCTATGTATAAAAATAAGGTAAAATGAAAGAAATATTAGTTACCCTGATCTCTTAATCCACTGAATAAAATGATTGAAAGCAACTAGAGTTTCAAGCAATATTTTCTGAAACCGAGGGAATTCAGTAAGCGAACTATTAACATCATTTGATAAACAGGTTCTGATGCCATCACATAGATCAGAACTAAACTGTTGCATGCTTTTATCCGCTGTGTTGTTTGATCCGATTCTGATGAGATAATATGCGATTAACCATGAACATAGTTTTTCAGTTAATTCATACTGAAAGCAAAATAGTAATAGTCAATACACTGAGTACTCAAGGTTTACTTATGATTAATAATGTCTAAAACCGATGGAAATGTAGTACGGACATAATTTGACATATTCAGTTAGGTTGATCCATTTATATGTATCAAGATGTTACACAGCAATCACAAGGCATTAGAGATAGGTAACACTAGACAGCTGTTCCGAATTAACAAGAAAACGGGTGTTAAATAATTGGCTGTTAATAGTAATATTTACTTTCATTTCGGAAAATTAGACTGATGGGTAAAACACTGTAATGAGCAGTTCAAATGATTTCTAACTACTTCCAATTACCCACTATCTCCAAATAACATGAATAAAGAGTCTACACAAGCCCCCCCCCAAATCTTAGTGAAATTGGGAAGACCATAACTATCTCCACGAAGGGAAGAAAAACAGAATGTGATCGGTTAACTCCAGAGGTTTACTTATTATTTAGTTATAAGTCAAGTTACCCGAGATACTAAGAATTTTGGAACTGCACCTAGATTTGATCTGTAGGGAAGGGTTAAAATTCTCTTGTGATAACCACAGAGGAATCAGTTAGCTAATATATTGTCAAAAGTATTAGACTTAATAATCATCCGACGTTTGTCTGGTGCTCGGGAAAACCAGGTTGGCTTTAGACCTGAGCATAGACTGATTGATACTCGACCTTTATCCGGCTGTAGAAAACATATAATTGTCGACATCCGACTACAGCAGTATTTCTTGATCTTAAGGCAGCATTCGATCATACTGAATTGAAGGTTCTGTGGCAATATTATTCATCGAAAGGTGGATCAAAAAAAGCATAAACTTTACGAAGACTCTCCACTCCAGTGCAAATGGTCAAATCAAAGCTTGTGGCAAAGTTCCATCAGAATTGCCAACCTCAAATGATGTTTCCCAAAGTTGCCCATTGCCTTTATTTTTATTTACTTTCGATAAACATGTTCTCCTAGAAATAACGTTTTCTCCAACTAAATTTTCAGGGATCAGTTCCCTACCAGAGGGTTCGCCTATCGGTTTAGAATACACAAATGATGTAGTCCTAGTTGGTGAAGATGCTGATAAAACGCAGTTTCTTGATCACCTTAAGTAACAATACCAGCTTATGTTTGGGATGCGTTACTATCCCTGAAAATCCCAAATGTTGCTTCAAGGATGGTTTGCATCAACTCCTAAGTTAGTGATGGGGAGTGAAGTAGCTGAGCGCGTTGATAACCATATGTATCTAAGAAATCTACAGCTCTGGAGAGTTGGTGTCTATTGAAATTTCGGTTGGTGTTTGCCAGCTTATGTCACATGTTGTGCAGGGCGGATATCCGTCTACAAAACAAAAAGCAAATGTACTAAGCAATAAAACAAGCTCTTCATTGCTCTAGACATGATCTATGAAAGTAGAAAACATGGATAGATTGAAGCTTCTTGATCATAGGTGTCCTCAAACCATATCTCGGATACTGTGGAACGAACGAATAGGCATTTTTTGAATAAGATGCATGGTGCCAAGTAAAGATGAAAAATTAGCGAGATTTCATCATCTGAACTGATTAGCACATATGTTATATACTCCCGATTTGCGGTTGTTATGTGGAGTAACAATAGGTTGGGAGTGTTGGAGAGAGTCAAAACATAATGTGGTACCAGCCCATGAATTCCTTAACTGTTAATATAACTCGATGTTATCGATGCAGATTATCTAATTAGGGATGTTGAGTGACATTGGTAACAACCCCCTACATTCATTCACTCTATCTAAACATAGACCTTTAGTTCCAGTATTTTTTCATGCATACCATTTTACTGTTTTTCCGACCTACATTCTTAATATTTAGTCTTTCTCATTATCATTGGTATCATATTTCTTAAAAAACATCTTTACAAATAGGATTATTGTCACCCAAGATCACCAAAATATAATGCATGGCATCCCCGTACTGGAGGCAATATTTTAAAAAATAAAATGTATATTGTTTTCGAATGTTTTAATGTCACCATGATTTCAATGAGAACATGTGAAGAAAATAAACAATTTTTTATCTCAAAGCTAGAAAAATCAAACAAAGAACCCACTTACGGAAAAATGTAAAAACGGTTTAATGCATATAAGAAAATCATCTTGAATTAAGCCTGATTCTAGGAACCATATGACAAAATCCATCAACCATGATTGAAAATTTGTGGCACTACAACATATTGTCAAGCTATTTTCCAAAAACAATCGGATTTTATTGGTTAACACTGGTAATTTTCCAAAATTTGGGCCTATTTAAAGAGTAACATTAATATATAAAACAGTTAGCATCATCACAACTTGATAAAAATGAAAATCAACATTTGGTGGGATGTGATTTCTAAAAACAAAATTGAACAACATAAATACTGAAAGATACATAACAGAAAAAGTGATGGGCTATAAGGTTTTATTAAGTGGGTGAATAAGACTGAAGAACTTTATATCACTATGAAAATGAACTCATTAAGGCTGAATTAATTTGTACATTACAATACGTGAACCAACCAATCTTTACTCAGATAGTATAATAAAGGATTTAGTTTAGGACCCCAGTAATATGAAAATAATAATTGATTATTATTTGTCTTGATTTTAATGTCCAATAGTAAGTAGTATATAATTAAGCTGAGAAACTCTATGATCACTAAATAGGCGAGGTTTCTGAATAAATGCTAAGTTGATATGCTCATGGAACGATATATCACTAAAATTTACAACTACAAACTATTATGTAATTAAATGGTAAAAGTTAATAGGCTTAAATACTATCGAATCAATAAAATTATAAGATCTGCATATTTGAGTAACTCAGTTCTAGTCTATTTGATCATAATGAGTTATTTGTTTAAATAATTGGATCTGGAGATAAAAACAACTGTTATCATTAACTTGAAATGATATCCCTTTTTATTCAGGATGGCAAAAATTATTGATATTTTTTAGTGACTAACAGAACACAAATATGTAGTTTTGCTTGAGAATGGCACACAAATATGACTAAATTACATAAAACTAAAAAAAGCTTTGATGTCCTTGTATATTCTACTAATCTAATACAAGTAACTTAATCAGACAAAGATGTTCCAACACAACTTGTAATCTTAATAAAAAAATAGGTAAATTCATGAAAAAATTACCACGAAAAAAACTAACCTTCTCTTTAAGATCCAGTTTTTGAATAAGTGATACGGAATTTTTATTTCGAGTTGATGTAGATCGACTAGAAATATCAGTTCCTTGGATATAAGGAGCTAGAATAGTATGTAGATATGTTGGTAACTGATTTTCACTGGAGTGTGTCAGTAACGAAATGACCAAACAAGAACACTGATCAAACAATCCATGTAATACTTCTGATGCACTCAAAGTAATTAATGAACTGGTAGTAACAAAAGAAAATACAATAAAAGAAATCAAATCTATGTACAGTGGTACTACATTACTTAAAATTAGCGTTTGGAAATAGAAATGTGAAGCGTTAGCGAACTATGAAAATAATTTACTCGGTAATTTTGAGCCGATGAAGAGGTTAGTTATGTCCGTCCTAAACATTTTGTAGGGCACTAGTTAAATAAAATAAAACTTCCAAGACAATAAAGTGATTATCACACTCGATAATATCAACGCCCACAGTTAAAAACTGAGTCTTCAACCGAAATTTCGATTTTAAAGGGAAATAACGACATCGCAAAAATTTCTGAAGGAGTGTGGAAGATTCTGAACTTTATCAGATGTTTCACTAGCCAGAACTATGCAAAATGATCAATCTAATTCTACAAGTGAGTCTCTGATTAGGTGACTAATACTAAAGATTACAGGAAGAAAGGGTTATATTTAGGAGTATATTTTTAATAAAAGAAAATAAAAATGGGGAAAGTTGACAGGTACATCTTTAAATGATAGTCTGCCGTAGGCTTTGACTGATGAAGAGTATTGAAGCTAAGCACTATCCGCAAGTTTAAGAAAGATTCGGAAAGTCGAGTACTAGTAAATATACCTACGTTCTAAAAACCAACGAGGAGAGGGCAACATTCGATAATCCACAGAGATATTGTTTATCTAGCTGCAAATTTCAGACAATATGCGGATGAAATTCATCATTTTGTAACATTTAATAGTTTCACGTACTATTTGCACTATATTTTCGCGATTTTCTCATAACAAATAAATGTCGAATGATTAAATCTCTTGAAGAAAAAGAGGAAACTAATGATTAATAGCAATAAGTGATTTCCACCTTATTGGAACAAATATTGCTTTGTACTTCGTACCAGATTTATTAATTTAACTGAGTTAGTATGAAAAGTACCTAGAAGCTGGCCTTTATTAGAGGCTGAAAACAGCTGAAAAATTATGGAAAGTCAGAAAATACTAGATAGTTGATTTTGTTTCGGTTTAGAATTCCCGTATCGTTATGCAACCATAATTCCACCAGCGATTGAAGTGAAGTACATAAGTTCCTGAAGCATACATGACATATAGAACACTAAGTGGTCGGTTACAATGTTGTCGTGTATAACACACTGATTTGTAAAAATGAATAAAGATTATAAACATTGTCACTGTTTATTAGCACAGATATTTGGAAGATCACTAAGAGCTAAAGTAACTACTACTTCATTCCTTTCGGTGGCTACTATATCATGAAAAGCATATACATCCCTGGATAAGTAAATCCATAGAAATAAGATAACATACTTCGGAATACAAATTGCACAGACAATAGTTGATAAAATCTGTTGTTTCACATAAAACATAGGATCCAGAAAATCATCACTCTCAGGAACTCCATAGTTAAAACCTCTACTTGCGGGATCTATAAGATTGAAACTTGAGAGAGTGAAAGAATTCGTGACTTGTTTTAAAAGACTGAAACAGTGTAGAGTAGATCCTTCAATCTTAGAATCCAAAAGAGTCGGTAATCTCTGGAACCATTTGTCAGGTTTTGAAGGGTTGAGAATGGTTTCCAAGTTATTCGTTAACTTGGTCAAATTTGAAAAATCTGAAATAGCACAAAAATACGACAGGAGATCAAGTTTACATATTTACCAGTACAAACTAAAAAAATAAAACCCAGTAACTTACATGTTTAATATGAGGAAGACATTTGGGTATAAGAGACTCACCTGTCATGGAAATGGAAAGTCTGTGCACGATCAGTTTTATTTTGAGAAAATTTACGACAAAATGTATGTATCAAGAATCGAAATTCCAAACTAGTCGCAGATCATCATCAAATATATATAAGGAATATTACTATATCAGGTAAATATATCGTCATGCAAGAAAATAGGATAAGTAGAGCTGTACATATATACTTAAAAGCTTGATCACTCACCTATTTCTGTCATATCTCCACCATTTCCTACATTATTCATATTTGTAACCGTCGAACTAACATGCCTTTGCTTATTTTCTGTAGATTGTTCCATTAGTATAGATTTTACTTGTTGAAATAGCATATCAAATTTGAATGTTGATTTATTCCCTTGTATAACATTAAATATAGTTGACATATTAAAAGATAACTCTTCAAACATCTTAATAGGATAAACTAATAATTGGGATGAATGAACGATATGAAATAATTCCAAATCATTCGAAACTATTTGTAAGAACTGAAAAAAACAAATAAAAATGTAAATAAAATGGTTTTGTAGAGATTTTCGCATGCTTTCAAATTGATTTTCTAAAAGAAGGATGTTGATTGGAAACTATTGAAAACCACACGGGACTGGACAGTTGTTTCCATTTTAATTGAGGGTTGAACAGTAGAGGTGGATCACTAAAGACTACACACAAGATTAAACCAAGTAATATCAGGTCTTTCAAAGAACGAGGAATTAAATACATCCAGAATTGACTGAATTTAAAAATATAGATCAATTAATCCTAAATCAACAGTCTAAGGATGTAATGTTTCTTAAGAACCTTTCAGGTTCCAGAATCGACTTTGTATTGGATCGTGAGTGAGAGAACTAGATGAAATCAACCATAAATTTTACTTACAAACAACAATAAAAGTGGTAGAATCCATTACAATAACTGAACTTTATATTAAAGAAACTTCTGAGCAATAAAATGATTAATTTGTTAGTTGAAACATTAATTTCTAATCATAAAGTTACTAGCCCTATTCCAATTCGGAAAATATAAAGATTTTATTTAGTTTTGTAGGCTTCTATAATATAAAACAACTTGGCACAAAATAGGTATACTGTGGCCAAACATAATTGTATTTTAAAGTTTAAAAAAGCATGATAAAGAATCTGACAGAAAAACTAACAAACTACTTTTCCGGTGGTCTATATTTGTGCGTGAAGTATCATATAGGACTAGAGAACGAAAAGTAACACTACTGTGTTCAAACTGATGTGCTTTTTGGGCTCGTCTCAGTGGCAACATTGAAAAGATGAAGATACATGTAGACTAATCTGACAAGTTCACAAAAAGAACAATGTGGAAACCGTCAAAAAACATAGTGATGTAATTAAATTGTTCGTTATAACAAGAAGCGAGAAAAAACGAATTATATATATATATATAAATATAGTGAGGGAGAACAAACCTGTTGAATATTTTCTCTATTACGTGTTGATAGGCAGCTAAGAGATTTTTCATACTCTCCCAAAAATGGAACGTATGATGTACTAGTGGATGAGGAATCGATGCAGTTACATTTCTCAATATCAGGAAAATCGCATAACTGACGTACTGCTTCATTGAAAATGGAAGGCTTATTTTCGCCGACAAGTAAGTTTAAAATCGATGCCACCTAAATGAGAAATAAAAATATTATTTGAATACATTTAGATTATTAGTGCTTTTTTATTGACCATCATCATTAAATTACTGCAATCCGGTGCATTTTTTATTAGTCACACTTTTTGAGACGTCAGATAGTGGTTGGAGGTTGCCAACAGGAAACCCTGGACTTAAGCTTCGCGCTATTCGACACTCGTCGGCAAGGTGCAACTGTACTCTTGAGAAGACTATTTCTCTACAGAGGATTTGATCTTAAGTCATAAAGCTTCACAGTTAGAGACGCTACCACCGAGTTATCCGGATCAGCGACTGACCTATTGCATGACTGATATGTATTTACAATTGATTGATTACTGGGTGGTGATCAATGTCATGTATGTCAGATCGAATTCTGTCAACTAAGTTGCGATGTGGCCACTAGTCTGGGAGACTCAACAGGGTTTCTTACTGACTACCTCTAATCACTACCTTACATCTCAACATAGTGCAAGGGATATCGAATCACCTAGACTAGTGACCATATTACAACAAAACCGATAGAATTTGATTTCCACTAAGAAGGGCCTGACAAGCATGAAGTTGTCACCACACAGTGACTAATCAATTATAAGTCACACTTTTTTTGGTGAAACATGCAACATATTTTACTGTTTCACTACTCATTAACAAATGCTTCGCTTTATTAAATTCCGCGCAAGAGTGCTCTTTATCTCACCTGAATATAATCCACATCAAATGATTGGTATAGCTGACGTTACAGGAATAATTAAAGTGATAAGTCCAAAATGAAGGGACCAGATGAATATATTTATGAAGTTATTGGTAAACATAAGTAGGCTGAAGAACGATTTAGTCTATCACCAAATTGGAATGAATTTCTTAACGTATATGTCGCTTATCTCTGTCGGACTGGTTCTAGATTATCTACTAGGCAGCGTGCAACTTTGTGATACGGTGAACTGATCATTCACAGGATACGTCTAAGGAGGACTCCTTTGGTAGACCATGCATATCAGGTAGGCGTGAGCGGCGAGGCCTTAGATCATTGCAAATAGAATTAGTAATCATTTTCCGTTTTTCTGTTGAGTCAGTTAAATCCTTTTTGGATTTGTCTACTTTGAATTTGGGTAAGTCGTCTAGGATTGACTTCATCTTAGTGATATAATCAGCTGTGTTCATTAGGACGACATCCGAACACTAATCTGTTCGTAAGATCATTTTGTCTAGTATTTTTTAAATCTGACAGATGTTTTTTGGATATAATATCCGACTTTGATGTCGGTGAAATGCAGTATCGGTTGGAAATATCAACTAAAGTTGATTTAAACCAGCCCTTCTTTTCCTCATTTATTGAATGCAAATCTTGTAACTGGTCAAATAAATTATTGAATTGAGCTTCTGTATCAATCCTGTTAGTATTTGTTTTTGGCATTTGAAACTTGAGTCGCAGTGGTAAAACTTCTGTTTCTAATATATTAAGCTTCATATTCGTTAAGACATAAATCAACTTCGAAGTAGTTTCAGAGAACCCTAAATATAGTTGTTCTTTTATCAGAGTTCTCGATAGCGATTTATGAAATTCCTTGCAAATCTCGGTTTGAAGATCGTGGATAAAGTTGATAAATTTTTTCCGACATATGATATTTAAATAATCGGGCACTTTATCAAAAGCACTGGCCTCAGTCATGTAATAAGTATTTCCGTTGATTCAATGTGTGATTTGATGACAAATCGAAGGTCGAAGTTTACATGAACATAAAATATAAGGTGAAAAGAGGAATTACAAATGTTTTGTAAATTTTTCTGGTCAATGGAATAGTGTTAAATGGAAATATAGGCTAATGTCTAAAATTTTATAATTGGCTGTAAAATATGTATTGATCTTTATGTTAAGCCAAGATGCAAAACTAACTGAACAGAAATATTTCTTCTTTTAATAAGTTTCTTCTGTTTTTAAACAATTTATCTGTTGAAATACAATGAATTTTCTATGTAACTCATAAGTACGAAATTATTTTGGATTTTGTTTCTGTATCTTTAATCACAAATATGAAATATTGCTTCCAAAATTTCCAAAGTTATTTTATATCATTTCGAATGATTCATTGAACAAATAGACATACAGAACTCAAATAATATATATCACTTTTATGAATGTAAAACTATTATAATCTTTCAATAAACTTGTAAACTATCATCTGCAAATGATTTCATGATAAACAAACTAGGAACAAATAAAATCATGAAGATAGAAAAAATATTATCTGCTTAATAAACAAATTTCGTAAACATATCATTGTTAAGTATAGAACATGATGTAAACAGTGATGATACCTTTTTTAAAAGTGATCGTTTCAATCCATCAGGATAGGTTGACTGAAATTGTTTGTTTGACTGTAAGAGATTTTTAGCTAAATTTCTAAGCGTATACACAGTTGAATGATGTATACTAATGAGTAACTAAATGGGATAGAAATATGAGATAAATTTATACATAACAAGATTAAACCTGAAAATAAAAGATAAATTATTATAATACTTAATTAACTAGGATAGAATAAAGTTCAGTTTAATTTTTAACAAATCTTATGAATTCCAAATAGAACTTCATTAACTCATCCCTAACCAAATCACTAATAAGCATACGATGGTGAATTAGTTATGTGGAGATTAGTTCAATTTGTAGGTGATACTCGTGATTGATTGACCTCGGTTGGAATATAAAGGTTGAATCCTAGCCTCAAGAGTTGAAGATACTGAGTTCGATCCATGGTGACGTTCTGGATGAACATTACCGAAAAGTTCCATACTAAGACAAAATAAGTGTCCAGTAGTCCCTGAACTTCAATGTTACTCCAACAAACATCAAACTGTGACAAAACCAGAGTAGAAATAGTTTTTGTCCTTCTTAATAGGATCATATTCATTTTACGCAGCTTGAAGTGAATAGTAGAAAGTTCTACTGTCTAGGTTCCGTATTTATTAACATTTACCATTCTGAAAAAACCAATGCTCTATTAACAATTTGAAACTGAATTGTCACAAAAATTAGCACTGGAGTTAGATCACTTCATCAAAAAACGCATCATGAAATATATAGTACCAAAATAACTGGCTCAGTAACAGTATAGTTAAAATCCAATCAAATATGTGAACTAAGTAACATAGCATTGCATAATAACTGATTAATGCACATACATGGTGATTCTATTAATCAACTTATTTTCAAGATTTCGCGCCATGAATGCAATATGAAATACTTACATAATATACAGTAAGTTAAATATAAATTCGTTTCCTCCGAGTGTTACCATTCAATTCAAAGAAATGAAGGAATATAAAATGTATATGTCCTAAAAATAACATAAACCTCAACACATATAAATCTATAAACAAAAAACGATGTACCTTTGGATTTTGTTGAAACAAGGAGAATGAACGAATTTTAACAAATAGATAATGAAACGAATCAAGAAGTTCATCAAGGTGTTCAATACTACAAGTGAAATCAGAGTAAATAGGTTCTAATTGAATAAATAATTCAATATTGGATTTTTTCGTATAGATGATAGTAATATAATTTGTATACAGTATGATATATATATATTCAAAATATATTCACCTATCGAATGTACATCAAATTATGGGCGTTTACAGTAACGTATTTCAACAAACTCACTTGAAATAGTGGTTGTATTCGACACATTGGGGCACGGTTGAAGCATTTGAAATAAAACGATTGTATCCAATAATGTGGAGATTTGTATACTTGGCTATGATCACACTCTAAGTGCATGAACTAGTAATACTACTCGGTTACTAAAATCAAGGTAGGAGGAGAACGCGTCTTATCCGTGACATAGTGGTTGAAAGTTGAACCCCTTGGCTACTTCTCTCTACATATGAAATATCTAACACTTTACATAGATTCACAGTTGATTAGTTCGCGTACACCATTAGAAAATATTGTATTGCACGCTTCTGTCTCAGAGCGATCAGTTCGATTCTCAAATCTTCAAACAATAATTATGCTCTTTAGCCTAGTACACAAACCTAGTCTTGGCTTTCGAGTTATATGACAATATTCGAATAGTTTCATTCCGATAAGTTTACTACAAAAATATTTAGATTAAAACTCTATTTTAAGCTTCCCTTAAAAATTACTTCAATAAGTTTTCTGGAGAAAAGCTATGAATAATATATCAACTAAGTCTTTTGTTTAACTTTACGAAGATTGATAAAATTACAAACATGTGATAGCAGTTATGAAAGACTAATATAAATGCTCAAATATTTCTTGGAACACGGCAAATATAAATAAATAATAGAAACTTTATAAGTTTGAATAAAGAAAAAACAAATATCGTAGCAGAATAATATGAATTCATTTATCTCGTGGATTCTTCGCAGTTGCTCACAAACTAAAACCTGCCTGAAGTTGGTGCTGATAATGTTGTTCAGGAAAACAATGAAAGCTTCACGACCAAACCATCCAGTTCCGAATACATAAATCCTCCTAAATCATCCACCTGAGGTACAAATCTTCACCATCTCTGAGCTTTAATTGACTAGTCTATATTACATAATCTAATAAATGAATTCATGTTATTCTGCTATGATAGTTGATTTTTCATTATCCAAGTTTATAAATGGGAAAAGTTGTAAGAAAATCTATAGTAAGATTCTAGACATAGAGAATCTGAAAAAATAAGTCAACACAATGGATCACTAGCTACAATCACATGACATGAGCAGAAAACAACTAATTTCTCATCTGATACATATAGTTGATAATTTTGGGAAGAAACACATTATCATGGTATAAAGACTTCTTTCATGTAGAACTGAATTTATTAACACCGTACTTGAAAGAAAAGGAATACAAAAATGTCCAAGATGTTTAAATTATTTGAAAATTTATTGACGTTGTTTAAGACTACTATCTAAGAAATGTGAAAGAATTAAATTGAAACATGATTTATTGAACACTATGTAAATATTTCTTGAAGATGACCATAACAACTTACCGAGTTAAATCACTAGCCAGCAGACTGACGTGTCCATTTACAAAAATCCAGACAGAAAACTCTCGCACTAATCTTAATTCATCATCATCACCAGAATCATATGATGAGGTGATATTGAATAGTAAAGATATAATGAGATTCGATATTGCACACCAACACGTTAGTCGTAAACAATAAGGTATTAAACGATGTGATACATTAATAGTAGACTGTGGACAAAGAAACCGTACACCAATTTGATAAAGACGATTGACTAAGTCCTAAAATTAACAAAAAGTATGAATGAAAAAGACAAATAGTGACAAGGTATAATACAAATTAATTGTAGGTAAAATAGGCAATTAAATGGTAATTTATTCATTTACTTGATTTGTGAGTAGAGTAAAATATCATAATAAATGAAGAGTAATCCCCAATTTATTTGACGAGGATAAGTTATCAAAACATTTTTAAAATATCTGGTATTTGAAGGTTGGCTTTTTTCAAGTAGAAGATTTATGTTCATAGGACCCATTAAGATGAAAAACTTTAGGTTAAATAAAACATTTAGGTAACAAGTTAGATAGAATGATAACAAAAGAAGTGTCTGAGCGTATAAACCTAATTATTATTCGGAGGGCTTTGTTAACACTGAGAAAGTGTTCATTAAATAAGTCTTGACTCAGATGCCGAAGGTCTATTTGACATCGTATGATGTTAGGTAATCAACTGCCAATAAAAATATGAACATAAAGAGCGACACTTCGGCTTCTGCAGCTCTACGTCTAAGAGAAACGACAACTGGAAACAGAAAATATTCGTGGATTACGAATTTTGTATGAAAAGCTTTTGCGTAGTGAAACCAACTATTTGTACAGGTTGGAGTAACGAAACTGATCATAATGAATAAAGGTACAAATCCATGGTAAAATGACAGTTGTAGTTATCGATGACTCACAAATTGTCTTGAGTGGTTTGATAATTTTCATATATATATATATATATATATATATATATATATGATTAACGCTAGGTACGAAATCCTGCTAGGTGTAGCAATTGAATCAATTAGATTCCAATCTGGTGTCGAATGAAGCTCTGGTTAACATATTATACATATCAAGTTGCCATATATTCTGACGCAAGTTTCTGGATGGAGAGGAGTTTGGTTAGGAAATGGGTAAAGTTGGCTAGACCGAAATATGGTAGCAAGTTGTTAAGTTACTGACCGTTAATTTGCATCAAGTAAGTAGAAGGAAATTATTGATTATAAACTCATGCCTTCATCCATTGATGATGCTACTCCACCCTATTTCTGACAAACGCAAGAAACCAGAAACATTAGAGCATTCGTCAAGTTATTATTTGTTGAAACCAAATCAAGTAGAAAAGTCTTGGGGAAATTAAGGACTTATCCGACCAGCATCCTGAGATATTGTCTGTACAACAGAGGAAGAAAGTTGTAGAATGAAATGGCTTATTGAACGAGGAATTCGAATTTCAATCGCTACGTCATAAATTCGACCTTTTTTCTGGATGATTGACAAGCATTAGTAGTCTTTATGAAAGAAAATAGTATGGTTTAAAGTCGGTTACATGAACTTTAATTGGTTATTAAGTTAGATTACTATTAGATTATTGTCGTAAAAATAACTTACTGAATTAATATGACATGAACTAATCAGATCATAGGCATACTGTAAATGATGTTGTTTTGTATCTGAAATCTGATTAGTAGATGCCGACTGATCATAATTTAAATTAATGTATAATTTGGCTAAGCAATTAATAAGAAATGATCCAAGATAGTGATGACTTGTAAGAGATTGTGAAGAACCAGTAGATTTGTTTGGCATATCATAAAGTACGCGTAATTCAAGCAAACAATGAATTAGTTTACATACATTTGTTGCTTTTAACAAAGTTGTATGAGTAAGCTAAATGTAAGCAGTTGGGTAAAGTTTGTAGAAAAAACTACACATCAGTTGAAAAATTTCAATCAAAATTATTGTTTTCAAAAAATAAGCTTTAACACATACAAATACAAATTAGAATAAAGATGAGTCTGAGTTCCTTATTAACTATGTTGGTGAATGGATGAAAATCTGCAAAACAGCATTAAATGATGTAATCAATCGTATGTAATTAGAACAAATTTCATTTCAATTTATTGAACTGGGATAGTCTCAAAATAGTTTGCATTACTTTCCATCTGGTTACAAATTATGTCACGGTTCTGATTCTAATCAGCTTCTAAAATGAACTAGATGATTGCTTAAAGAGATCATTATAACTGAAATACTGGGTTCCTGATTTTCAGTTTAAAAGTACCAGAATGAAATTTTAGATTACTGAGGGAGAACAGAGGCATTAATAACTCTAACAAGGTCCATGAACTATCTTTACAAACTTGAATTAGTGCCAGACAACCATTTTCCGCAGTCAGCTTAGTTTTAAATACATTACTACCCAGATCCAATAAATATTATTTTCCTAGTGTATATCATTTAATAAATGATGACATGAGAAAAAAACTAATAAATTCCTAAATACACTAAATGAAAAGCTGTTCTTCCAATTCTTCCCATGCATTTGATTTTACAAGCCTATGCAAACTTGTAAACACAGTTGTAGGACATGAAGAATGAATTTGTTTATGCTAGACAAAGAAATAGCACCAGTTCATAAATCCATTGACTGTAGGTTCAATCTATGTTGGTAAATGCAAGCTACCTGTTTGTTGTATACGCAATCAGAAGTTAGAAACGTTGTATGAAGTGTCTTAGTATCGCTCACGATGGCACAGATACATTCACTCTCTGTATTCCGCTAGATCTCGAATTATATCATTTGTTCACACCTACCTTTCATTTTTTTTCTACTCGAACCCTAACTCCAGTTGTTTAGTCTTCTTCATTATCATTATTACGTGAATTATTTTGACTCCTTTGCTATCCATCTTGTTAATTTCATTTCGTTGTGCGATAGTGGTACGTAAACTTGGACAAACGCATATTTGTGCTAGCCTCTAGGTTATGATTGTCAAAAATTTATTCACGATTAATTTAAGTTTCAGACAGAATTGCATTCCTAAACGAAGTACCTTCTCAATACCCTTCAGTTCTTCTATAAATAATTTGTTAATTATGAATGAAAAACGGACGGAAATCAATTATTTTACCCTTTTATAATGAATATTTTAGGAATTACAGTTCGGTAATCGTCAAATCTCATACGCTATTCGTAATCTAAACGACTCTCCGGAAACTTTCATTCTGCTAATCAGTCATAATCAGCATTCATAATCATTACAAATAGTCATTTTTATTAGTTGACCATAATCATAATTCGTAGTCGGTTTAAGTGATTTTCTAAAAACTTTATAAATAACTTCTAAGAGGTAGATTCATAAAATATGAAACAATTCAAACAGTGACAATCGAATTCTGATTATCATGTATAAGTGACAGGAACGTCCCAGTTAGTCATGAGATCTACTTACGATAAACGTCTTAGCGATACAAAACTTTACCCTGGCTTAGAAATCGATAACTCTAGATCAACATAAGCGCTTTAAAAACCATTTAAACGTCCTCGGAAAATCTTTAGGTAAAGGAAACTATTTTTCAGTCAAATATTTAGTGATATCAAGTTTAAACCATGTTAAAAAATCAAAAGTTGTATTGAAGATAAGTTGTGTTTCGAAGCTTATTGTGAACTGTGATGATTTAACTATAGTTATTAGACATCACGATATAGTTACAAACGATAGCTGAAGACTGTAACAGAACAGAAGGTAACTGTCACAAGTAAAAAATTCACAAGATCATAAACATGAAGGAAATATATGGTTAGTAGGGGGCCGTATTATCCCATTATTAATATTGTTGACTGAACTTTGAAGTTTTGGTTAGTATATGTGCATCTTGAGCAGACTGCTTCAATAAAGTCATTTTATTGCAAGTCATAAAGAATAGATAAGATAATTTAAACCCTTTCTAATAATGTTATGAATATGAAATCCATTTAATAAGTCAATGGCTATATGGCCTCAATATCTCACTGAATAACATGTTGGGCGCTTGAAGCGAAAGGTGTTAGGTTCGGGTCCAGGTGTGGACGTCAACAGTGGAATGCATGAACGTTCAGCCGACAAGTTTCGAGAAGAACGGAACGCCTTTCATGGATCCCCCTGTTAGCTGCAGTCAATCCATACGGAAGCAATAAAAATATATTTACCCAATATTTATAACTAACCTTAGATCCGCCACACAATTCTGTGATTATATGCCATTGTGGAAGTCTACTGTTATCATCCATATTTTGCATAATTGAATGGACAAGAATAGCACCCACCAGTTCAGGAACATGATCAGTAAAAAGAGAGCTAATCATCTTGATATTCTGCAATTTGATAGTAGGTTCATAGAAATCAGTCAAAGCCAATTTCCCAAAAACTGGACAAATTTCCCTAGAAAATATATATGAGTCAAACATATTAACGAAAACCAATTGATAAGATAAAAGTTTATCATTAAACAAATACACAGGTATTGAAGTAAAACATGCGATCAGTGATAAAATTGCTAACCTCTCAATTATTGTAACAATTTTGATAACTTTTTAATCAATGAAACATAAATAACTAAATAAAAGGATGAAAGTTGATTAGATTATTAGAAAATAATTCAACAATTCCTGATTAGTAGAACGTCACTAAACATCATTTTGTTTTACTGTATGGTGTACATTTTCAAAAGTTGTAATGTCAACACTAATATTCGTAACAAGAAAACACTGAATGTAAAGATTGTGCTTTTACTTCATGACAATGATAGTAGTTGACTTTCAATAATTTTGGATGGGAACCAATTAAATTTTAGAATTTCCTGCAATATACTTGCTAACCTTTACTATCAAAATTACTGTTTTATTATTATTAGTATTACTATTACCATTAGTAAATAATTACCAGGTAAGCATTCGTGTATTTAGTTTCGAGTCACACTTAAACTGTGGAGCCTTATGATAATGTCCGGCTGTCCAGACCAAAATAGGTGAGGAGGAGTTCGAACCTGTGAGAGTAGCTCACCTTTTTCACCAAAACAGATTTAGTGTCTGTTGATGTGAAATGAAACTTAAGACTCCACCAGTGTTCCGCCTGGTGTATCCGAAATTTTATTCTACACTAAAACCTACTTTACAGTATACAGTGCATGTCCACTTGACTGATGTTTATAACTGAATATCATCCCTTACATTACTTACGCCACTTATGTTACAAAATGTATATACATTTCATGCTTTTCACAATGAGGATCTAGGTTGTCAGATAATATATAGATCCATTCAAGATCAAAGTGTACTCTAAATTTAAACTGAAGATTTACCGGGTTTTCTCAAATTCCATTTAAAAACCGAAATAAAATAATAACGCATTATCTGTCAGCGATAATATACTGGGAAAGCGAGATTCAACGAAGGAAATAAGCGTCCATTAAAGGTTCGATTACTATACGATACATATGAAAATATTCGTTGTAAAAAAAATTTATAATAAAGAAAAACAAAGCTTAGAAGAGAAGAGAAACAAATGTTCTAACACATAAGGAACTTCATAATTTATATGACTGATGTGGTGAAATTCAGAAGCCAAATTTTATCGATTAGTGATAACATACATCACTGTAAAAGCAGTTTGTGTATATTTGGTAGGTTTTCACAAACAAGTTATAAATTTGAGTGTTTTTCGTGATACTTCATACATAAATAAATTCATGCATAATACAGAACTTGAATGCTGTTGTCAAAATGGACAAACATATGAGTTTTATCATCTGACTGTCAAGGCATTATAATTAGCATATAAACATGAATAAAAGTTGAAAAGACTACTTGCTTTTGAGCCTCCTGGAAATCGGTTATTCCCCAGCATCTCCAAGGGAAGATTGGTAAGAATTCCACTAGCCTGGATCCACTAACACTGAAGTTATTCAACCAACGTCTAAGTACTAATGGTAATAAAATAGGTCGGATATGTTGACGGAAATAAGTTATATCATTTCCAGCCAAAATTTCAATAATGAGCTATAATTGTCAAAAAAGAGCGTTAGTAGACAAAGTTACCCATTTTTTGTGAATAAGTAACCAAAATATAGACCCTACTATTAACGGAATGTAACTAAGGTAACGGTTTTTACCTTGTTTTCTAAAGGTTGATCACGAACTGATCTTAGCTAGAACATCATTGAAGACATGGAAACAGTGGATAGTCGTTTCTTTTTAGTATGGTACACTCTAGCAACGTACATCCACAACCATGCCAAAGAGGGCGGACCCAGGACCTTCGGTCTCGCGCGTGAACGACGAACTTATTAAGCCAATAGTCTTGGACTTGACTCCTTGTGGCAGGGTCGTAGATGCGCATTGCTGGGTGGCTCCATACTAAGACGAAACAGTCGTTCAGAGCAGCCTGATTTTCATTGGTGACCTATCTAAAATGAATTAGTAATTTAAACTACAAAAATCCTACAACCTCCACAAATCCTTCAATACTAAAATAAAAAAAGTTAAAATAAGACACAGAAGTTACCTCGTTTATCTGACAGCAACCGTTCACTTCCTCTTTATTGTAGATTATAGTCATTTGAGTACAACATACAGTTAGACATTCTAATTCAGGATATAGCATAGATAGAATTCTATCCGATGATGATGAAGGACACTGATTTTCGTTAATAGTACAAGTATGAGTAGACAGGACAGTTAAGAGTTTCAAGATTAATGAATATATATAAACTGTGAAATTCAAATTGACAGACGGAGATGTTGTATCAGTTTCTGTTTTTAATGATATGAAATTGAACTTTGTAGATGAGAGCAATTGGAGTAAAGTTTGACAAAGCTGTAGAACAGCACATTGATTGATTTGACACCAGGAAAAATTGTCCGATTTCACAATTAGGCTAAATTATTTGAAAACACCATGATATTATTGCTATCATATAATCAATAAGAATTTTAAAATAATACATTACATTCTGGATTTTATATCTTGAGTGAATTGGTGTTTCAATCTACCCAACTAACTTTTAATTATGAGATTTACAGATTTATAATATTTTTACATTAGTAATTTTACCTAGGAAGTAGAAAAATTGTTTCTATTATAATCAATGAAGTTTGCATCATAATACACAGGCCAAGTTAGTAGTGAGTTGAAATTTTTCTGCATTGAGTAGATGATTTTATTCGAGAATATAGTATTATCAAGAAAAGTTAAACTCCTTTACTTTAAATTCATTTGTTTGTTTGAATCTTCCCATTGATGTTTAGAATTGCATTCGATCAATCTCTTAGTGGTATATGTGCATCCTGTGCGAATAGCATCGATATTACCTTAAGTTACAAGCAGTATAAGCAAAGGTCGATGGTGGCTAGCAGTGGAATTCAGGATGCGCGTTTCGTCCTTTACTTTAGTTTTGAAAAAGAAAAAAATCTACTGTTCCTATAATTACTTTTTTATTAAAGTTTACACTTTCATGCCATATACATTTCTTAAGGTAAAGTGCAAAAAAGCTTGAAGTTAGAATAGGTTCAAAAAACAAGTTACCAACGTATTTATTTTAATCCATGGAATACAAGTAACAACATAAATCTGATATTAAATAGTTTTTTCCTCTTTTAAATTTCACTACAAAAATTATTCATGTTTTAAACTAAAAATAAGATGCAAATTTTAAAATAACTAACTATTACAGTTTACAATAAGATCAGCAGTTCTTTCCTGTATATTTAAGAATTTATTATCCCAAATTAATGTTATTTAAGTAAATAAATATTAACAAAATATCTAATCATATCTGCATGGAACAGAAATAAAAACAAGTAATAAAAGTTTTACGCATTTGTATTTTATCATGTCAGTATTTATTTCATTTAATAATAATAACTCATTGAGTCAAACTGTTTGTTATGTAAGGACTATTGATTAAATCTGGCCAACCAAACTGACGAAGGTGGAACAAGGCTCAGAACTGTGATTTATTGCGAATAGGAAACGGATATTTTAAACACTATGCAGTCCTCGACCCCTTCCAGTTAGAGATATTTCCGTATTGATCAATATCTTTAAATAATTTTCACTACAAAATATCTAAAAAAAATACCTGAATGAATTTACCTTTGGAGAAATTTCGCTAATTGAAAAGTTGCAATAGGTACAATATGTTGAACTGTTGGAACTAGACAATATTCTGGATTATTTTGTTTATCAATAATGTTTCCGGAATAAAGCTAAAGAAATTGGATTGGAATAAAAAAAACCATGAATATGCAGAATTCTTTAAAAGGTGGATCAACAAATTGCTAGTCTGATCATTTGATATTGACTGACTATCAAGATGACTATTTACTGACTTGTGGATACCGTAAATTATTTATCAAATTTTGTAGGCATCATTTTCTGTAACGAGTTACTTAAATATTCAGGTGAATATTTTTGATAATTTCTAGTGTTCACAATGTTTCCAAATAAGCGAAAGTTCAAACTTGTTTTAACCGAGTGGCCTGATCAGAAATCACACGGATAAGCAGTGCCTAATTCATTTCTCGCTGTCCAACTATGACTATCTACTATGATAGAAAGTTCATGATTTAAAAGTGGACCGTTTATAAAACTGACTAAGACATCATAAATTTATGTACTTTTTACAAAAATGTTATGTTCTTAATAAAAACTGTAACTCGTCTTAGTAAATAGATTACTATTTGGTCAAACAACTAGGACGCAAAAGCAAATTATGATACGCATTTAGATGTGAATTACATGATCCAACGTTTATGAAAATACAACTGATTTCAGCTTATGATGTAGTTCTATTTTTTAATTGATTAATCAGTAAAACGTTTTCGGAATTTTTAACTGAAGTGTGAGAACGAAGCTGCTACCTTGACGCGGTGGTCGGGCTTGCCTATCGTGATGACCCAACCGAGCTATATTGGCTGGAACATATGTTCCTGTAGGTTCTACCATGCCAGGCAGGTCGATTGGAGAACGGTAAGACTAAAAGCAGCAACTCAAGGTCTGAGGGCGAAGTCGTACTGCTGACTGTAGAGGGGTGTGACAGCAGTAAGGTGTTTCCTTCGGACAACCAGCATGACAGCGATGCTGCCTTCCCACAAGGAGGGGTGGGGTTAGAAAAGGTCGACCCTAAAAATGCACACCTCACGGATTTCCGTCTCCGGCGGTAAGGCCCTTTGAAGAACGGAGCTAACACGTCAAAAACCTTCCACAAAAAGGCCGTGCGCGACCGGCCTCAAGCAGTTGTCCCTTGGGCTCTGCGGTCACGCTCCCAGGTCGTCAAGACCAACACTAATCCAATTTCCTTTTCAGGTTCCTCAAGAAATACCCTTCCACGGTGTGGGCAGCCGGGAAGTGACATCAGCCCTCATACCCGTAACAGCACAAGAGACCAAGGTGGTCACATTCAAATCCTTCCTACACCTCCTAATACCTCTCTTATCTCCATGACTAACCCTCCTCACGTCTCTTTATCACCTCGCACCGCTAGGGCAAACGATTCGAGTACGTGGAACGCCATTCCTGGTCTCCTGAAACCACGCTCTAAACTACACGTAGGAGCTTTTAACGTACGAACACTTTGCCAAATAGGACAGCAGGCTTCCTTAGCTAAAACTTTAGAATCTCGCGCCATCGATGTGTGCTGCGTCTCCGAAACGCGCATACAGGATCCGAGTAGCGTCATTCATTTGACCTCACCATGCCAAAATAAAGAACCGACTCGATTTACGCTTCGTGTATCTGGAAGCCCTGATTCTGCTTCCCGTGGCCTCGCCGGCGTAGGTATAGCATTGAGTCCTAGGGCAGAACTAGCTCTCTTAGAGTGGATCCCAGTAGACAGTCGTTTGTGCGCTGTCCGACTGAACGGAACAGTAAGAATCCGGAAAGATAGGGACACTCGTCGTTGCCTCTTCGTCGTCTCTGCCTATTCTCCCACTGACTGCAGCTCAGATGATGTAAAAGATGAGTTTTACAGAAAGCTTTCGGACCTTCTCCGAAAAGCTAGGCGCTCGGATGTAGTAATAGTGGCCGGTGACTTTAATGCTCAAGTAGGTAAACTAAGCGATAGGGAAAGACACCTAGGTGGATCTTATGGTGTCGTGGCTCAAAGAACAGATAATGGCGACCGTCTGTTGCAGCTATGCTCAGATAACCGCCTGTTCCTTGCAAATACTAACTTTAAGCATAAGGAAAAACATCTTTTAACATGGCGACCCCCTAATTCGTCCCAACGTTGGACCCAAATAGATCACATCGCTATCAGCCACCGATGGAGGGGCTCGATAGAAGACTGTCGCTCATTCTGGAGCACATGCCTAGATTCAGATCATGCTCTAGTGCGAGCGCGTATTTGCTTGCGTCTTACTGGACGTAGGAAAGACGCTGCAAGGAAACCTCTTAGGGCCTACTTAATGATAGTCAAGCTAAGAGTATATTTCAGGAACAACTAGGAAAACAGTTAGGCAGCCATGTATGTGATGCCCACCCCGATGCAGCATGGAATGATATCCGAAAAGCTGTGGAAACAGCAGTGATATCTGCTAGTAAGGTAAACCAGAAGGTTAGGGAGCAACACTGGATCTCAGCAGCATCTATCGCACTGATAGATGCTCGGAAACTCATTCCACCTGGCTCTGAACATAATGAAGAGCGGAGTCAGCTTAAGCGCAAGCTGACAAGAAGTCTACGCAATGATCGCGAACAGTGGTGGGTAGCGAAAGCAAGAGAGATGGAAAAGGCAGCGGCAATAGGTAATAGCAGACAATTGTTCAGACTCGTTAAGGAAACCGGAATTAGGAACCCGACCGTTAGCGAAACAATCTCAGAGAAAGATGGACATATTATTCATTCTCAATCCAGGAGATTGGATCGATGGGCAGAACACTTTAGGGATCAGTTCAACTGGCCTTCAGCCACACTTCGGTTTCCCACGATCTCCAGTCAACCTGAATGGCAAGTTAATGTAGGTCCTCCGTCCCTTTACGAAGTTGAAAAAGCCATAGGAAATCTGAAACGAGGGAGAGCAGCAGGCCCTGACAGGTTTACTCCTGAGATTTTTAAGGATGGTGGTCCAGTATTAGCAATGAGATTAACTGAGGTCTTAGGTAGAATTTGGGAACTGGACGTAATCCCATCTGACTGGTCTCAATCACTGATTGTGCCAGTCTATAAGAAAGGACAAAAGTCCTCTTGTGACAATCACAGAGGAATCAGTTTGACTAATATAGTGTCTAAAATATTAGCTTCAATAATACTTCGACGCCTAACAAAGCTCGTGAAGAGCAGACTAGAGAAAACCAGGCTGGTTTTCGACCTGGACGTGGTTGTATAGATCAGATATTCACACTACGTCAGGTTCTAGAACACAGACACACATTCAGACGCCCCACAATGGTAGTATTTCTCGACCTTAAGGCGGCATTCGACTCTGTTGATCGTGAGGTTCTATGGCAGTGTTTGTCACTGAAAGGAGTACCAAAGAAGTACATTAACCTTATAAAGGCTCTCTACTCGAACACAACTGGTAGAGTGAGAGCTTATGGCGAACTGTCATCAGAATTGATTACCTCAAGTGGTGTTCGTCAGGGCTGTCCACTCTCCCCATTCTTGTTCAACTTTGTGGTCGACGTACTTTTAGAGATAACACTCTCCTCATCTAAATTTACAGGGGTTGAACTTCTACCGGGAGGTTCACTTGTTGACTTAGAATATGCTGATGACATAGTTTTATTTGGTGAAGACGCTGACAAAATGCAGAGTCTTCTGACCACTCTAAGCAACAATGCAAGCATGTTCGGGATGCGATTCTCCCCCTCGAAATGCAAAATGTTGCTTCAGGATTGGGTTACATCGACACCCGAACTAGTGATAGGGAGTGAAGTAGTTGAGTGTGTCGACCGCTTCACTTATCTTGGAAGTCTCATCAGCCCTTGTGGTCTGGTGTGTGACGAAATCTCAGCACGGATACAGAAGGCTCGACTAGCTTTTGCCAACTTGCGTCATTTATGGCGTAGGCGAGATATCCGTCTATCAACCAAAGGACGGGTTTACTGCGCAGCAGTTCGTTCCGTCCTACTTTATGGCAGTGAAACATGGCCGGTAAGAGTAGAGGATATTCGTAGGTTACTAGTATTTGATCATAGGTGTCTTCGAAATATTGCTCGTATATCATGGGACCATCGAGTAAGTAACAGTTGTTAGGAAACGGGTACTAGGTAAGGATGGCAAATCAATTGATGAAGTAGTGAAACTTCATCAGTTGAGATGGCTGGGACACGTGTTACGTATGCCCAACGACCGACTGCCTCGACGTGCTATGTTCAGTGGTATAGGAGTAGGTTGGAAGAAAGCTAGGGGCGGCCAGACCAAAACATGGCACAAGTCCATGAAGTCACTGACAAGTGGACTGAGTCATGTTGGTAGGTGTAGACTACCTGGTTGGGGACCGCGAGATGATAGCAACCGATGGTTAGAGACCCTGAATGACATGGCTCAAAATCGTTTGCAATGGCGCAGGTGCATCCACTCTTTGTGTTCTCCCAAATTTTGATCTCCTTATTCCTCCTCGTCCCTTTTTTTTCTCCTCTCAAATTTATTTCACTGTATTATACTCTTTAAATAACATCTCCAAACACTAATCTTCCCGATTACTGCTTATACTCTTATTACCTCTACCACTACGGGATTTGAATCGACAGCTGCATCTCTGTGCTAATGTGGTGTGGCAACTCGAACTGATGTACGTACGTACGAAGTTCTACGTTGTTACTGACTGACTGACTGATTTCAAAATAATATAGGATTTTATATTCCAATACTAAGAGTCATAAAGCCAAGATGTGGCACTAGTCAATGAAATTATTAACTGTGAATCTGAGACACTTTCAGAGGTACAGATGTTTTCGTTGTGGTTCGACAGATAATTTTAATACATCATTGGAGACCTTATTTAACATAACTCAAAATTAGTTGTAGTGACGATTATTTGCTTTTTTAAAATTCATCTTCCTCTATATCTTGACTTTTATTATTATTCCATAGTTTTCATCTTTGAATATCACCAATCCTCTTTGAACTACATTTTCACTACCGGTAAAACCACTATTATTTTGATTTCTTTGGTTTTAAACCTGTCAGCTTTGAATATGAGTATGAGTGGTAGATACTTTACTACCCAATAGGGTTTTGTTTACTAGCTCTACATGTAGAAACTGCAGTTACATAATTCTAAAGATTAGAACTCTATATTGAAGAAAACAAAATAAAGATGATTCGTAGATAATGATGTAATGTACGAGCTACATTAATATGTTTGTCTGTTCAACTTACATTTATCCAAAAGTTAAGACAATCTACAGTAGCGACTTCGAAACCTTGTAAAGATTTCCCAGAGAATTTAGAACCAACAGACCAAACAGTTCGAATTAGTTGATCGATATGTTGACCGATCAATTTCCAATGACCATTTCCTCAAGATTTAAATTTGCTTGATTTTGGAGTACATATATATATACCATACTATTTGACAGCATACAAAGTGAACGAATCAATTTAACAATTAAATTAATACACAAATATTGACTGCAACGTGCTAGAAGAGATTTCAGAATTTCACGAATAGTATCTACTATAGAACTAATAAAGTAAGTAATCATTTCAACAAAATCACTGTTTAAGTTATGATCATAATTTTTATCAGAAAATGTTTTATACATAGATTGAGATATGTTTCTAGTAAGTTTAGATAACCATTTAATAGGATCATGATCATTTAAAACAATTTTAGATATTGATTCGTGCAATGACTGATAAATTTGTTTCAGTAAGCTTACGTTTTTACATCGAAGACTAAATAAAAATAATGAATTGAAGATTTGAAATTTTACCGATTGATACAAATTATTACGTGAGTTAATTTCTTCTGAATTATCTTGATTATTTGTTATTTCCACGGTAACAGAAGAATCAGTATCCTCGAAATCTTCATCACCAAAATTAGTTTTCTTCACTTGGCTAGAAACAGCTAATGGTTGAAATGTATTTTCAGAAATTAATCGTTCAGATGTTGAAAAACTGAAATAACTGGTGGACAAAAGTATTAATTGATTTAATTGTGATGATGAGATCCATGATATATCGTCTATGCTAAACGTTAATAATTCCAATAGAATTTCTAAAGATTTAACAAACATTTCCAACTTTTTAAATTTTTGATTAAAATCATCCGTATTAAGTTGAACAGAAAAGTTGGTTATATCATTTTTTACTGAATCACACCATTGATACTTACTAGATATTAAATTGTCTAGTATTTGTTTCAAAACTCGCTCTAACATAACTGCGTAACATGATGGTAACTCATCCAGATATTTACATTTCTTTTGAGTAAACAAAATTTGTATCGAATAAATGATAACTCTGTAGCTAAGAAAACAACTAAACTAAATATATTTTCATCTGTGAGTGATAAATTTGCATTCAGACGAGTGTGAACTGATATATTTTTTCTGATAAAGTCAATAGCTTCAATATGATCTTGATTACTAAATGATGGTTGATTCAGATTACTTCCTGTATGAAACCATGGGTTAGAAGAATGAATAGTAGGAGCAAATTCATCTATTAAATAGATTTTATATGCCCATAGAATACCGGTTAGTAAAATACTCATTTCTGTTGGTACCTGCACAATTGTCGTGTTCTTTTCAGCAAGATCATCATCAGTGTTCCAAACTTTTGTATAATTGTATAATAGAAAAAGGATACCCGGATTAAATAATAGAACATTAGGTATAGTAGAAACACTTGAAAAAATATCACAAGGAATCAAGTTTCGCGGTAATTTTAGGCAAGTACTAATTAAAACAATCAGCCGAACACGCCATGGTGAATTGTTCAAATGACTAGTGTCTAAATCTAAACATCTCATTAGCGACGTAAATATGCGCAAACAAATGTTAGATACATTTACACACTGAAAATGATTGTTTCTGGTAGAATTGTGAAGACAGAATAAAGCTGACAGAAGATTACATACTAATCGATCATGATTTAGAAACCGATAACCCGACAAAGAACCTTCACGTTTATGACCTTGTAAACGATTCCGTTGTAAAGAACATTGTTCAAATAAACTATAAAAAATACAAAACAATTAGGACTGATCATTGTATAGTTAGTAAAAAATAGAATAATGAAAATTAAGAATCTATGTAAAGAACACTTAGTGACCATATACTTTAAATTTTGTCAATGGTTTGTTCAAAATTAATTTTTAACATCAATATTTCGAGTAAAAAGGTTTTCAAAAAATTCAGATAAGTAAACTATTCTAATACAGATATTTTATAAGAAATTCTCGTACTGCAATATTAGTGCGATAAGAAAATATGAATTGAATAATCAACTTCCGAACATTGGGTGATTTGCTTAGATTTTTTAACCATGTTTAATCAATCAAGTAGTATCGCCTGACATACATACAGATGCACAAAAAGTTTGTATCTTTAGACATTTTTATTATGTTAGTCGGATGAAGTTGAGTAAGTAAAATGAATAGCGGTTGATAAAAAATGCTATCCAGAATGCTAAGTTCCAGAGATTATAAATGTTTCAGCAAAGCAAGAGCGATAATATTTGGAAGATACGATTAATTCATTATATTTCGTACTTTCTCTTCCGCTAAATATAAATTTAATAAGTTTTTTTCAGGTTAAAATATGAAGTTTCAAAAACGGGGATCTAGCTGTTCTAACTAAGATATTCCTGAGAACTTTCATCTATAAAAGGAAATCAGTCATCATAGTTCGATTGCATGTCATTTGTTGAACTCGGAACACCAGGTAAAAACAGTATACCCATTCAAAATAATCAATAAACAGCATGACTCTACCTTATTAAGAACTGAAGAGGTCGTAGCAATCAAGAAGCATAATCATAATCTGTGGTTAACTTTCGACTCCTTCCGTAACAAGAAAGAACAATGTTAAGAGCACAGTTTTCGTCTTTAAAGAAATCAATACTTCCAACTCAATTTCCATCTTCTTACAGTCTTTAGAAATCTGTTGCCATACTACACGACAATATCCTAGAACTATCTGTATAATTATTCATAAAAAAATACCCTTTAAAGACTTTATTTTGAAATATTTACTACAATCTTAATTTCAAAATAATTTAACTGATTTCTGATGTTAAGGCGTTTCTTGAAAATTTCAAGCTAATATTTTTAATCAACCTAACTAATTAACGGAAGAAGAAGCATGAATTACAATGAATTCATATTGTTCAGCCAATACTGTCGTTCTTATTTTGTTAAATTTATTAGGGAGCCAGTTCATTGAAGTAGATATTTCCGAACTATTCTCCTCAAATTACATGAGTAATACTGACCATATATATTAATCTCACAAGGACTTACCTAACAGCAAACTCCCATATTTCATTATAAGCTGATAACACACTATCTAATGGAACATGAGAAATTGAGCCTTGGTATAATTCGTAATTCAATAAAACGACAAGTGTATGTAACATGGTAACCAAACATTCGTTTGCTAATGCTCTGAACAATACAAAAATAACAAAATCTTTGAAAAATATTTGTTACTTCTGGAATAATAACTATGCAAAGGAATCTTTATAACAATTCAGGTGGATACATAGAGAACTGAAAAAATCTCATTTACACAATATACTCCACAGTAGTACGACTGGTGTTTATTTACAAATCAAAGACCCTTTCGATTTACCATAATATTTGAACAGTATGAATAAGTAAGATTACCATTCTCTATGCTTTTTATATTTCCTGTTTTTTATACTTACAGAATAATTTAAAACTGAAGAAAACATTAACTGTTAGTCTAGTTAATAAGAAAACTGAATAAACAATTTACTCAAAATACCATTTAACATGCCCTTAGAAAAAAATTCGTAATTACTATTTATAAGTAACAAGTACAGAGGATTTTCTACGGTATGAATTTCTGATGTTTGACATCATTCACGATTACATAGTATTATAGCTGAAGAAGTACGTACAGGAAATGAACTTTCCACTGAACAGTCAATGAAAGGATATAAGGTTTGATAGAATAAAATGAAAACCCATTCAACTTAAAGCTCATATTATTATATATGTAAGACATTAGAAATGTCACCGAATTATAATCTATTAAATGTCAGCAAAATATCTACTAAATGAAACAAAAAAACCTTACAAATACCATTAACTGGTTGTATTGTTCGAAAACTGATATTTATATCCGATTACGACGAAAAGTACCAGATATATGTGGTCTTTGTTTACATGAATACGAAGTCGTACATCAGTCTTATTAATACACAGGTTGAGAAGTTGCCTAATTAAGAGATAACAATGCTTGAAAACAAAAGCAAGCTAACCAGAATTTTTAAAAATGCTATTATCAACCAATATGGTTTGCGGACATAGTGATTAAGTCAGTTAGCATTTAATTAGTAAGTAGCAGACTAAAATTGCACTCCATACACTTCGATTTCATAGGCTGTGCAGTATCATTAGTCTCCTCACACAAACAGCCTGGCTAAAAGTGAGTAAAAAAACCTATTCTTGGTTAATGAAGTAAATTACATAGTGAGTCTTCAAATAACGAGGATAATTAAACACTGATAAAAATGATTTTCGAAAGACTTACATTCGGTTAACCTTTACCGAAGTTGAGATGATCTTAAGAAGAGCTTCAATATCAGTATATAATTCATATTTTTTGCCTTCAGAACGTATGATCAAAGTATTTTGCCACATGAATCGGATAATCCAATCAATAATAAGCCACCTAAAATAAAAAATGTAGGATATAGATATTACCTAAGGAAAATATATTGTTGTTACAAAATTGGAGGTAGAAAATTAGTGAATCTTATGTTGTACGAAAGAATATTTACCAAATTTTACATGAATTCCATAAAATAATCGACGAGAGCACGAAAAATAGAATTAGATGATAAATTCCATAAAGTAAGATACATCGAGATTTATATTAATTGGATTTATTATATTTCAATTGTTTATGATTATGAAAGTGTAATAGATTACAATAAATATCGGACACACAAAACCGAAGTGAACTAAATGAAGGTTTAAACCGTTACTCGTTAGTTAGCTGATGTGCTTTATATACTCTTGATTTTATTCAAATGTAAGAAACAATTAACACTGAAGAATGTATCTCAAAACGTGGTGGATTATAACTAGGAATTTTCATTAAAATCAACGGTCTTGGATATTAAGACAGAATATTGAGACTTGGACAACACAGAAGTAATTAAATATCAATTACATGAAAGAAAATTGACAAAACATGCACATGATACAAACTCAGATGCTTTCCAAATTACGATGGTAAATGATCAAATTGATGAGATTATTTACTCCAACTGGATGGATAGTTAACTGAGTAAACCAATCATTCATGACAAAACTTAAAGATCAAGAAAGTATATATTGTTACTTCAAGTTAAATATCCTTCAGTGGAGAAGAGTTGTTGATATAAACAAAAAATACACCTAACTAAGAGGAATAAATTAGCTAGGAATATAAGTCCCGAAGAATTTAGTCATTCATGCAAATGAGTGTAAGCAATGATGATTATTCTGCCACATTTGATAAGAAATACGACTTTAGATGTAGTCTACTTGTATTCAAACTGAAAATTTATTAAACTATTACATTCTTTAAATGTTGATATACATTACTGTCAAGCATCATTAAACGCTTGTGCGAAAAATTCAAAACCATAATTAGATTAAGCACAAAGTAACTACTCCTTTATCTTCAAGGAAAAGATACGGTCACTTGTGAGATTTTAATAAAACCACAATAACTACATTCTTTTCACGATATAGTATTCTGCAAATTCTTTTTCCATGTATGGTTGCGGCTGATTATATAAGACCTTACGAAAACGTCTAATCATTCAAGTACATCCTCATCTTAACGTATACATAACGTACACAATCAGCAGACAGTACTTACCATAAGCAACCGAATTTCGTATTGTTATTGGTAAGGTTGACAAGGTTATCCCATAGGAGACCACTGGACACAAATGTCCCAGGATCTGAATTACCGACTTCAAAGCGAGCCCTTTTTTGTTCTCTCTGATTTTCCGGAGTATCATGTTCGATTTGTTCTCCAAAGAGTTTATTGGCAATCTCACTCTAACGAAGTTTAATATATAGCGTATTAGTGTACTATCAATATCAACAAAATCTCTTATTCTCTAAGAAATAGTTAAAAGACCTTTAGAAGATGTATTGAACGGTTTAGATTGATCAAAAAATATTAAAAACAACAAAGCTAAAACTATGTACATGAATATTTCCTTTTGGAGAGTCGAGTATACGAACGCAGTACGATACGTTTAGATGATTGGTGGAATTTGGCACATAAAACTACTTACATTTATACATCTTACAAATTTCTGCAAAATTGTCTATATCTCTTCTAAATAGCGTCGTACAATCTTCGTAAAAATCACGATGATATTTACCAGTGGCCTACGTTAAAATAATATATCCATGCTCTTAGAAAATTTAAAACTAACGGAATGTTTAATATGTTAAGTAATCGTGTGGTTGAGGTAAGACAAGTAAATAGTGTGTGACTCAGAGTATTAGATTATTTTCCTGCTTTTCAGTAAACATGCTATTTTAGTACAAACTAACCGCAAATATACTACTTCACTTATGCTTCAGCTTTACGTTTTTGATTTTTGAAGGGATATATCGGAAGAAATGGTTAAAACTGCGTAAGCACAACTGGTGAATTCACAAATATATGACAAAAACAAGCTGTTCCTTCATGAATTCGATGAAACATTAATTTGAGACATATTTTGTCTCATGTTAGCATGTTGCCAGTTTTAATTTCTAAGGCGTTTAGTATTTCGAACTTATAACTACTGCAAAAATCTCAGAAACGAAGGATGTAATGAAACGGCATTGCAATGGAAGCAGCTGTTACCTATTTCATAAAGAAGCAATCAATAACTCGTTAATATGCTAAAAATGGTTAGTAACTACAACTTAAAGACAAATCTGGGTACAGAGATGCATACACTTAGCCACATTGTTCACAAACAGCGAAGTCCCTAAAATATCATACCAAAAAGGCGTAATACAACTTTCACAAGAAAATGGGCTGCTCGATAACTTTTTTTAACTAGCAAACGACAATACGTATATGATACTAAAAGAAGCTTTTTTTATAATTATTAGCCACTAAGAAAATACACTTGAATTAGCCAGATATTTTACTAGTTACAACACATTACCGCCACTAGGAAAAAGTATAACTTGTTTGTAAATTAGGCTGAACAGGAAGGCAACTGAAGCAAGCTTTTAATGTGGAAACTGAAACTGTTATGTTTACATGATTATGCTGAATGTGAGCAATTATACGAAAATATAAAACCATTTCAGACTGCATACGTTTAACACGGAAGCTGAACTATATTTGAAAACAAACCTTATTATCATAATTTGACGAATTCTTGTCATATTCCATAACTAATACTGCTGCAAATAGACTAAAGAAGTTCCTAAGACCACTGACGGTTTTCCAACAAGTGTCTTCATTTTGAAAACTTAGACGAGAAGTGATTGAATTGAATTCGTGAAGCAAATACTTGTGTAGAACAGAAGACCCTGTGCGGTTTTCTTGACACGTCGTTATCTGTCCAAAAGAACGTTTATAATAACAAAACACGAACATCCAGCGCCAAAGACAAAATAGTTCTTGTTGAGTGCTTAAATCAGTGCTTTCATGAATGATATTTGATGATTGAGTATCCCTGCAAAGTTTTGGGAGTTGTTCTATCAGGAAAAACTGGGAGGAAAATGTCAAATGAGCTGGTGCTGGATGACAAACCTTGGTTTGTTTGATAAAGTCTAGTGTATTTCCTCCAGTGATATTGAGAGATTTACGGTGTTGTGCTGAATTCAAAATCGTTGTAAAAGATGAAGCTAGAGAAAGTGAATCCCATGTCGATTCTTTTGACCATGCTTCGGAATGAAACTGCAAAACCTACAAATAATAAATAAACAACGTACATTTCCTTGGCAGTAATCTATCCAAATAATCGAGACATCATTCCGAATAACTTTGTACTGGTACCCTAGTCACCTAAACGTAGAACATGTCTTGGCAGAATGTACAATATTCGTTCTGTCACAACCTCATTTGGTTGATAGTGTATGAGCAGAAAATGACCAGATGTTTAACAAGTATTAAAACCTTACTGTAGGAATAGCTATCTTAGAATAAGCAAGACAAGCAGGGTAATTCCTCCGGTCACTTACGTTATAACGTTGAGAAGGATCTATTTCTTTAGTTTTGTCGGAAATTCCGAGATTGATGGAAAATGTACAGCTGGTTTGATTTTCGTTGAATACCAAGTTTATAAAACTAGGAATCGTCTGATTTATAATCAAAACTGCTTCTTGCCAATCAGATATGCTGGTGTACACATTACTGAGTAACCAGCGGAGCAAATGACACACCCAACCAAGGTTTGTAACGAATATGTTTTTGGATTGACCGACCAGTGAATCACAGCTACAATGAAGTAGAAGCAAAACAGATGTTAAGATCTTCAAAGCAAATTGTGATGAAAAGTGATTTGTTGATATGCGGGGACTATCTCAAAATATCTTTCGGCTTCTGTTGAGTTGGATAAATAAAACTAGCTGACTATTTCGTAATGTATATACCTCTTAGGAAAATCTAGTCCTCAACATATGACTTAAAGGCTTTCAACTGAAAATATTGCAAAAACAACTATTCACAAAAAATCAACCACTGTGATGAAACGAGTAAATAATCGATTGCCACTGCCAATTTAACACACAATAAATATAACTTCAGCCTTCACCAGGGCAACCTGTACCATATGCTGTTTTCGATAAGACCACTCAGCAATCTGGTGTGATCAAACCCATTGTCTGAATGAACGGTACTGACTGTAACGAGTAGGAAGGCGAATGATGACATCTTTTTTTTAAAAAGACTTTGTCTATGCCTGTTCCCATATAGAAATTGTGGACGAGTCAGAATAGCTCAATACCAACATACATAGAGGGATATCCCGATATGTTGCACATGATAATATCTAACATATTGTATGCAATATTAATTAGCGTACATGAAGCAGCTGCATACTTAAATGTTATCGTCGTAGTTATAACTAAGAACTACGATACTGGTATTCGATCATAGGTATCTACAAAGTATTACTCGTATTTTCCGTCCATGGAGTACGCGATGCCTGGATTAGGAATGGCGCCAGGATGACAAATCGATTGAAGAGGTGGTAAACATTCGTCAACTGCGGTGGTTGGTCATGTACTACGTATGCAAAACCACAACGTACCTCAACGAGATGTCCTCTGGTGTGGGAATCGGCTGGAAGAAAGCTAAGAGTGGTCAGACCAAAACAGGGCATCAATCCATGAAGTCACTGACAACTCGACTGACCCATGTTAATCGGTAAAGATCACCTAGTTGGGATACGCGTGACTATTGTAACCAATGATTAGAGATTATTAACGACATGGCTCGAAATCGTTTGAAATGGTGCAGGTGCATCGGTTCTCTATCTTTCCCGAAATACTGAGATTCCAAATTCCTCATAACATTTTCGTCCTTATATAACTAATTTATATTTTCTCGAATCGTATCTCCGATGCATAATCTGTCGTATTACCACTGGCAATAATATGACCTCTAATATTCTAGGATATGGCCTTACAATTCCGCTTCTCTATACCAACGAGATATAGCGATCTGAGCTGATATACATACGTTCCAGGTTTTACGTTGTGACTGACTGAAAACTAAGAAATTCTCAATTACTTGGACAAGTAATAGATCCGGTAATAAAGTACAAATCTTGCTTGATGGAGAGACTTGAACCTCCCTCGAAAACCCTAACAGACGCTTTCGTTTCATCTTAAACACGGATAGTCAACCTTTGAATACAAATAATATGGAGGCCATTTATTTAAAATATCTACTGCTAGACTCACACATTATCCAGATCTCAATTTCTACTCCATTAGAAAACACAGTCACCCTTTGAAAATAAAGTCATATTTCTAGTTCATAAAGATGATACTATTAAGATTCTTAAGGCTGTTAGGTTTTTTGTGTAATAGTCCTCAGGTTGATCAGAATTGAAATTGTAAACATTACTAATAAACACCCATTGCAGTGTTATTGACACACATTTCAAACTGGATCGTGAAACTGACTTCTTAACTACATATTTTCACTCAGTAATAAAGGATGGTGAAACCGATAACAAATGTGAAGTTCGAGTACTTGTACATAATTCACATCTATTGAATAAAGTTTAGTTATACCACCCGACTCTCTTAAGTTTCAGAAGAGATGTATGCACGGAATGTGGGAAGAAATGACTGAAATTTATACGCACATACACAGTGAGGCAAAAAATGTAATATGTGGTCGTGTAAAGACATGTCAACCAAAACAAGAGACACTGAAAAAATTCAAATATAAAATTGTACACTGACAAACTATTAAAAAACAATACTTTTTAATAAACTTGATTAGTGTGCCTGAGATGTGATGAAATGGCAGCGAATGACTTTCAGAGTAGTGTCGAACCAAAAAGCACAATAAACGAGCTGGCGGTAGCGACGTTGAACTGTTCAGTTGATCACAACACCAAAATATAAGATCTTTAACAATTATTTCAACCTAAAGAACCTACTGTTTCGATATTTCGTGTCTAAAATAATTGTATTTAAACGCGCTTCCGACAGAAACACACACAAAGTATTAAAAAGTCCTTGGTGAAGGAAAGCAACACTCTTATCTTTAACAATCTGAAGGAAGAAGAGCGCGAAATCATTTAAATTGATTGGGTAATTTCCTGGAAATATTAGCTCGAATACATACTATCTAACCTTTGGATCCATGCAAAGCAATAATTTGCAAAATCTTTAAGTATGGAGTCAGTTCCATATTTAAACGTGATTCATTCACATTCCCGCGACCGCTGGGAGATGGAAGTTCAGTTATCATAACTTGTACTACGCTCTACAAAATCCATAAAAAGCACTGATCTACACACCTCGATTATGAAATTCCATGAAACGACTCGAAGGTTACTGTTTTGGAACTTTTTGTCGGAACAGGCGCTAATGATTCGCCGATTAGTCGAGACTTGTAAAATATTCAAAAGTCTGAAGACATTATTCTTGAGACTGAAAAAAGTGTTATTTTGATTCATACTTTTCTTTCCCGTTTTGTGCACGTCACTAAGTCATCTACAAGCCTTCTAATCCCACACTGATCCATGTTCGGAACGCTTGACCTTGAAACCTTAAATTCAGCTCCTGAAACTAACACTATCGGATTTCCCGCACGCTCTAATATTTGATAATATTTGCAATAAGCTGATGTAACACGTAGTACTGTGAATAAGGTATTCCAGCACCAGGAGTACATGACCTATATTCTTAAAAATAAAAAAGTGAATTCAAATTGTTTAAATAGTTTTGGACGGAAGAGAGAAAGCTCTCGCCTTCTGGGAAATCCTTTCCATGTCTGTTTCCAATTCCGGTAGCAGTGTGTTCTTCGGCCTTGCTCTTTCCCGCTTGTCTTCAAGATCTCGAGTTAGCACTTGTCTCGTGATGCAGTTTGATTTCCTCAATCTATGTCTTATCCACATAACGATGCCACAAGTAGTCAGAGTTTGACAATACCTTAACCAGTAACAGCTTTCATAATCTCGGCGTTCCAACCTGATAAAATTAGAAGCGAAGAAGTTCAAAGATAAATTTGATGGAATATCGACATATCGAGAAGTGACTAATCTAATCTAGCTAGCGTTTATAGGAAAAGTGAAGCATGATGTACTCACCCGTGGTCTGGTGCTAATGCATGACCACTACACACTTCCAGAGTCTTTCCCCAAGTTCCTCATCAGCTTGAGGCTGGTTTGTTTCTTTCTACAGCAGGCTGCTGCTGATGATATTTTGTAAACGGACGATGAGTAGGTTGAGTAGACAGTTGTTTATAAATGCCTTTACCTTTTTGATGACTTTCTTAGTAGTTTCATTTCCACACAGTAGAACTGTCTTGATGTTCGCACAGAAGATTCGAACTTTGATGATGGTTGACAGTTACAGAACCATGTTAAGCCAAGAAATCAGAAGCGACCATAACAACCAAGTTCGAGACAAAACACATGCCAAACAGATTCGAAACCAGAATATCGGCTGAGTGAGTTGAAAAAGGGCGTTGGTGACCAGGCCAGCCTTCGCCAAGGTTGACTGAGGTCGACGGTACCAAACGGACGATGGCTGGCGGCGTGGGTTCAGGAATCCTGTACTGTATTCGTCGTTGACTGGGCGTTTAGTCGCGTACTCAGCTACCGGAACGTGAGACGGCAGTCTCATTCGTACTTTGTGAGCCTGCAATCTCTTCCGAAGTCAAGGGTGGCGTGGTCTGTTTATCTGCACGTGAGACTGAAGTCTCGCCCGTAGATGGTGCAGATGACACGCGCTGTTGACCGGGACGTGAGAACAAGGTCTCTGATGTATCTAGTGTGGGATCTGAAGTAGATGAAGAGATCCCGCTAGATGGTTTGATGAGTCTAGCATTGAGTCTCAACTTATCAGGTAGGGCACCGTCATCGACGTGTGCTGGTTTGAGACGATCAATGCTGACAATCTCGACGCGGCCATGTCGATCAACCTTGAAGGTCTTTTCTTGACGAGAAATCTCGTGAAAGGTTCTTCGTAGGGCTTTTGAAGAGGTTCGCGTACCGAATCTACTCGTATGAAAACATGTGAACAGGTAGACAGCTCTCGAAGTAGAGCAACCTGTCGATGTTGTATTCGAGTTGAAACCTGAGGCAGTGTTCGCATAAACTCAGAAAGCCGATGGACGTAGTCTGATTTACCGAAATCATTGCTGCTCCGTGGTGTGAAAAATTCCCCAGGCAGACGCAATGTCATGCCATATACAAATTCAGCGGCGGAACATCGGATATCTGCCTTTATGCTTGTTCTGATACCTAAGAGGACGAGCGGTAAGGTTTCGTACCAATTGTCGTTTTCGTGTGCTCGAAGAGCACTTTTAAGTTGGCGACGAAACCATTCAACTAAACCATTTGATGCTGGGTGGTAGACGGTAGTGTGAATGCGTTCCGTACCAAGCAGCCGGGTCAGTGAGAAGAACAATTCGAACTCGAATTGCTGTCCTCGGTCGGCCGTGACAATTGAAGGACAACCGTACAGCGCTATTCATCGTTCTATGCAACGGTGAGTAATTGTCTTCACTGTAATAGGGTATAGGGTATAGCTTCGGACCATCTTGTAAAGCGATCGATGCACGTGAGTATGTGGTCGTACCCGTAAGATAGTGGCAATGGTCACACAATATCTATTTGAATGTGATCGAAGCGAGCATCAAGCTTAGCGAACGTGCCAATGGAAGCAGCTACATGCATGTACACTGTTGGTTGTTGACATTATAAGCATAGCTTTACCCACATACGAACATCTTTATTCATGGACGGCCAGACGTATCATACTGTGATGAGGCGTAACGTGACAGAGATACCTGGATGATACAGTCCATGCGGAACATCAAAAACGAGACGACGGTAAGCAGAGGGTACGATGGGTTGGGGAAGACCAGTAGAAGTATCGCACAGGATGGTAACCGAGCTACTAGCTAGGGGTACTTCTCGGCACTTGAGGGATGTAGGATGTTGTGCTTCTGTACAGGAGGGATCGCTTGTTTGGGCGGCAGCCATTTCAGAGAGATCGAGCAACGGTAAAGTAACTGCATTCACTTGGGAACGTAAAGGGGCATCGGCAACATAGTTCGATTCGCCTTTATTATGACGAAGGTCTGTCGTGAACTGAGAGTTATGGTCCAAATGTCTGCACTCTCGTGGTGAGTAGCGGTCATACCTGTCGTGCAGCGCATCCGCTTAAGGCTTATGGTCGGTGAATAAGATGAAATAGCGACCTTCAACTGTGTGCCGGAAATGTTTAATGGCACAGTGGGCTGCTAGCATTTCTCGACCAAAGGCTCTATATCTCGTCTCCGTGGAAGTGAGGCGTCGTGAAAAAAAATTCGAGACGTTGGTAACTACCGGGGACATTCTGTTCCATAACAGCTCCTATAGGAAAATTCGATTCATCTACCGCTATACTAAGCGTGTATAATGTTTCGAATTATTTGAATTATAGTACGAACTAAGAGTCTCAGAAATAACGTAACTGGATCAAGAAGTACTGGACAAGCACAAACGAATGTACTGCACTTAGAATTCGAAGCCCAGCACTCAACAAGTACAAAGGTATCATTCGTTCATTCAAACACCACAGCGTGGCTGATGGGTCAGGATGCGCGAGGAGTGTGACTTGAGTCAGAGCTGTTTTGATCTCTGAAAATGCAGTACGCGCGGCATCGTTCAATCACAATTTGCGTGGGTTACTCCGAAGTAGGCCGGTTAACGGTCGTAACCGTTCTGTCGCGTGTGGGATCAAACATCGGTAGAAGTTAACTTAACCGAGAACTGCTTTCAGTTCTTTGAATGCGGACGGTACGGTGTACTTCATTATTGCACGTACTTTGTCCTCACAAGTTAAAATACCCTCTTAATTAATAATGTGACCTAGGAATTTTATTTTCGATTTGCCCAACTCACACATGTCCGGGTTGACTTTTATCATTTCAATATCCGAAAGGCGCTGGAATAGGAGTGTTAGATGCTGATAATGTTCGTCTGCGTTTGATGATGAGATTAGCAGATCATCAATATAGACGTGGATGAAACCTAAGTCTTGTACTATGCTATCGATAAACCTTTGAAAATGTTGAGCAGCATTCGGCAATCCAAACTGCATACGTAGGAACTCAAACAGACCAAAAGGAATCATGATAGCGATTTTCTTGATGTCTTCAAGAGCGACTGGGATCTGATGATATGCTCATACTAGATCAATCTTAGAAAAAATAGTCGTGCCCTCGAGTGATGCTATCATGTCGTGCATGTGGGGGATGGGGTAGCTATCAGAGCGTGTGACTACGTTTAATGCTCGGCAGTCGCCGCACGGTCTCCCACTAACCTCATACGTTTTGCAAACCCCGTGAAGAGGTGAAGCCCAAGGACTGTAAGAAGGACGAATAGTAACAGTAGCTAGTAAATTGTCAGACTCACGTCTAGCGGGAGCTAACTTGTCCGGTGTCAGTCGGCGAGGTTTTGCCGTGACTGAGGGTCTGCGGGTGACTGTGTGGTGTACCACACGATTGGTCACCGATGGGATCTCCTCGAGAGGTTTAGTTTATTAGAGAAGTTTCTGAATTGAAGCACGGAACATATCGTCACGCGAATGAAATACGCCTAATATTCGGTACGCGTATGTTTCCGTTATACCAATCGCCTTCTCTTCATAAAAGTAGATCACTACAACATAAACGTTGGCGCTCAAACCACCAGCAACCAATTGTAGTAAACACTGATTTCGACCTCAATAGTTTTGCTCGACACATCAAAAACCTTTCAAGTACATCTTCAAACCCATCTATCCCTGACTTCTGGTTTGACTGACCCTGATACTCTCTATTAGAAAGGTGTTATAAACAGTATTGACTATCAGTGTAGCCTCTAACTGAAGTAATGTGCTTGACAGTCACATACTTGTCCAGGCATCGCGCGGATTCGACATGTCTGTATTAAGCACCTATTATAGTTAGAAGTATTGGAATCAATGTGCTAACTAAGAGTTTCTGAAACGACACAATTTCAGGCAGGTAGAAGTAGATGAACACAAATGAATGTATTATATTTGGAATTCGTGATCGACCAGCAATAATGTAAGAAATCATTTGTTCATGGAAATAACACAGCACCATAATATCTTTTCCAATAAGAAAGAAGCAGTTAGTTTAACCACATTGATTCGTACGAAAAACCATTACAAACAGAAATTTCACAAAATTAAAGATGTAACAAGTTTCGGATTTATTTTTAGGCTAAGTTATGCAGCTAAAGTTTTAATTTGAAAGTTTAATATAGGATAAGGAATAATGTTTATGCAAACGTTTTATCATAGTAAGTTGTATATAGTTTGGACACTAGTTAACACAATTGAAACAACAACACTTCATGAATAATGAAATGATGTGTTGGTAATATATACTGAACAGAAGTGTATGAATATTTGGTGTGGTCTGTTAAGAATCCTAGTGACTTCGGACACATTACTGTCGTCACAACACTCAACGGCTACCTAACACGACAAATGTCGGAGCAGCTGGATCAAAATTTTAAAAGTAGTAATACAGATTCATTTGTGGATTACTAATGACCA